GATGATGCTCCAAGCTAGGACGGACGGGCTAGACGCCTTCAGAGAAACAGCATCAGAAAATATGTCGTTCAGCTCGTTGACTGCGGCGGAAATGAGGATGTAGGGAGAGCTGCCCTCTGAGCCTGTTGAGACTCCTGCAGCAAAAGACTGGTCGAGCAGTTCGAGTGCCAAAGGAATGTTGAGGATAGACAGAGAGATAAGAGCAGTGAGTGATTGTAGAGGCAAGTCGTAGGGGCCCTGTAATGCAGGATGTGGCTAACAGATTCGTCAGTAGCCAAGAGATATACGTTGTTGTTTAGAGGCTCACCAGCTGCAAGCTATTAAAGAAGCCGCATTCGTTCATTAGTCTATACCAGGGAAGGATTGAGTCAGGAGTAAGCAATTTCGTCGAGGATGTATCGAGCTGAATTAGGAGGATCTGCATGATATGAATCATCTCTAGGATCTGATTTCTGGCCCAGGCAAGCTCGATTTCTTCTTGCTGGCTTTCGTCTGACAACCATCCACTTCCCCTCATCAAGCTCTCTATCCGGGAGCGCAAAGCCTCAACTGCTTCAGCAACGAAATTCTTACTTTTGCTTTGGGCTGATCCATCACCCTTCCAATTAGAAATAACTGCAGTCCCTACATCTTCCAACCAGCTAGATGCCTGGTTCATGACATTATTGGGGGATCCATTTTGTGCTTTGCAGGATGCTGCGAGTGTGACGTATTCGCTAGATTTGAGGATGTATCGTCGCTCGGACAAGTATGTCTCCAGCAACCTTCGTCGTCGCGGGCCTGCATCGTTGAAAGGAGCTGGCGCGTTTGCCCGCAGCCCAGATGACTTGCCGAACAGCGACGAAGCCGCATCAGAGAATGACGCTTGAAGTTCGCTTCCTCCTATCCCGTTTGCCAGAGGTGCGATCTCGTCAACAAGACTGCCTCGAAGCAGCTGCACGGCTGGCCTTGTTTGCCATTCCAAGACAGCTATCCTCAAGGCCGAGACCTCGTCAATCTTCGTCTCTTTGCTGAGCCATAGAGTGTCTTCTTTTATCTGTCCAATATCGTAGCGTGTATTACCAGAGGGTGGAACATGAATGGAAGAGGTCTTGGTGTCAAAGGTAGATTTGCTTTGCGAAGTGGGAGCCGAATAGGGCGAAGACGAGTGCGCGAGTAGGTGTACCGTCTGTGGGTCTGAAAGATGTCGCCTGAGGGATCCGGTGTCGGCTTCACCGTTCAGTTGAGAAAGCGCTGCATAAGTAGTCTTCCAAGACCTGTATTCCATTTTTAGCACAATGTTATTCAAGGTCCCTTAGGTTGCACACAGTAATTGATGCTCCCCGCTGAAGCATCTGTCGAGAGGCGGGAAGTAAGCCTCTCCAATTGGTGCCATCAAGGCATCTGGGCGACAGCTCCGAGCTCCTACACAGAATGGGCAATTACCTAAAGCAGAAGCTGTTGTTCTGAAAGTTCGTGAACTTAAGCGCGACTTGACGCGGCTGTAATTTACATGGGCACTAGCGAACGTATTATACAATTTATATGTCAAACATTGACCAACTCTGGTATCAACACAATATATCCATCGGTCAACAGATTTCTACACATTTAACACCAAGAACATACGCTCTACGTGGCATCGTGTACAGAAATTTACCGAAGACTCTGCAACAATGAATGGAGCCGATTTGATAGATCATTCACCAAGCCGGGCAGAAGCTGCGCCTCGGATTCCGACGGCTTCAAATCTAGTTTTAATTGACAATTTTGATAGTTTTACCTGGAAGTGAGTCTACTCGTACAAAATACCCTCCCAATCAATTTGGCTGCGCGTGCCTTGGGGCAAATCTTGGGGAGAAGCGTTCTAGGGTTATCTCATTCACTCTTGAGCACTAGTCCCATGACCATGACTTTCACCTTTAACAAGACATGCTGACTCCGCGGATTCCAGTGTTTATCAGTATCTCGTACAGCTCCACCTGATTTTGACGCATATCATGGTCTCATTTTTCAGTCTGTCTAACCAGCGCTCAGGTACTAGAGGGAGCCAACGTGACGGTTTACCGTAATGATGAGATCACCCTGGACGAACTGATCACGATCAGACCTACCCAGTTGGTAGTGAGCCCCGGCCCTGGTGAGCTTAGCCCAGCACATGATTTGATACTCGGTATTCATCAACGTCATGAACAGGCCATCCAGACGCAGACGCTGGCATCAGTAAGGATGCAATTCGACACTTTTCGGGTAAAATACCAGTGTTAGGGGTTTGTATGGGGGAACAGGTCATCTACTCTGTCTTTGGTGGGAGAGTAGAGGAGACCGGAGTAATCCTACATGGGAAAACGTCTCCTTTACGACATGATTCGAAAGGCTTGTTCAAAGGTCTTGCTCAAGATCTCCCAGTCACGAGGTATCATTCTCTTGCTGGAACACATCCCACTTTACCTCAATGCTTGGAGGTAAGCTCGTGGGTTGCTAATGGCCGTGACTGCGGAACCAGCATTATCATGGGAGTACGTCACAAGGAGCTTTTAGTTGAGGGTGTTCAATTTCATCCAGAAAGTATCCTTACTGCGGAAGGTAGAGCCATGTTTAAGAACTTTCTCATTATGCAAGGCGGCACGTGGAAAGAAAATGATATGTTTCAGGCCGAAAGAGGTGCTGGTGTCCGCGTCAATGGTTTTGGCAAAGACGGCAAAAATTCGGCTGAGAACGGAACTTCGAACACGGCGTCCGATGAACTAAAGAAACCTTCCATATTGGAAGAGATATTTGCGCACAGAAAAACCGCAGTCGAGGCACAGAAGCAAATACCTTCGCAGCGACCGTCTGATCTTCAAGCTTCTTACGATTTAGGTATAGCTCCTCCTCAGATTTCGTTTCCTGAAAGACTTCGAAGATCACAATATTCGCTATCGCTGATGGCTGAGGTCAAGCGAGCGTCGCCATCGAAAGGCGACATCGCACCACATATCTGCGCTGCTGAGCAAGCAAGGAAGTATGCTCTGGCGGGGGCAAGTGTGATTTCAGTCCTGACCGAGCCGGAATGGTTCAAAGGCAGCGTGGAAGATCTACGGGCTGTCAGACAAAGCCTTGACGGGATGCCGAATCGTCCTGCCGTGCTGAGGAAAGAATTCGTCTTCGACGAGTACCAGATACTCGAGGGTCGATTGGCCGGCTGTGACAGTGTGCTTCTCATCGTGAAAATGCTGGATGAAGAGACGCTGAAGAGGTTGTACCTCTTCTCAAAAAGCCTTGAAATGGAACCGCTCGTCGAGGTAAACACCCCTGATGAGATGAAGATCGCCATTCAACTTGGTGCGCAGGTTATTGGAGTTAATAATAGGGATTTGACGACTTTCAAAGTGGATCTTGAGACCACCAGCCGTTTGATGGACAAGGTTCCAAACGAGACAGTTGTCTGTGCACTATCTGGCATATCCGGTGCAGATGATGTCAAGTCATATCGATCACAAGGCGTGGGTGCAGTCTTGGTTGGTGAAGCACTGATGAGGGCTGGACGGCCTGACGAGTTCGCCAGCCGCTTACTAGGGTCTTCTGAGCCCACTGAGCATGGTCATGAAAGACACGATGTGTTGGTCAAGATTTGCGGCACACGAACACCAGAAGCTGCCAAAGTTGCCGCTGTAGCAGGAGCAGATATGATCGGCATCATCCTGGTGGAAGGTCGGAAACGTTGCGTCTCAACAGAGTCCGCCCTTGCAATAGCTGAGGCTGTGCGCACGACTCCAAAATCGGGGACGAGGCGAAGTCCAATTCTGAGTCCCGAGGATTCTCTCAAAGCTAGTCAGTACTTTGAATATACCACAAAATTCTTTCGCCGAGAGGACCGAGCCTTGCTTGTGGGAGTCTTCCAGAATCAGCCTCTCTCTTACATCCTCGGTCAAGTAAAGCTGCTGAATCTTGACGTTGTCCAACTCCACGGTTCGGAGCCTGTTGAATGGGCAATACTGATACCAGTCCCTGTCATTCGTCGTTTTGGGCTTAACGATCAAGGTATAGGTCGAAGAGGCTATCATGCTCTTCCGTTACTTGACTCTGCTTCCGGTGGGACTGGGCAAAGACTCGACGCAAGTGCGATCAAATCGGTACTTGGGCTGGATGAAGGTCTTCGGGTAGTTCTGGCTGGTGGTCTGGATCCTGATAATTTGAAAAGTATCCTCGCTGATTTGTCCGAATGCTTCTCACAAGTCGTGGCTGTTGACGTAAGTAGTGGAGTTGAGGAAAATGGGTCACAGAGTCTCGAGAGAATCCAAAGATTTGTCGAAGCTGCAAAAGACGCTCGGGTGAGATAAGTGCTCTCGTGAGCATTAAGAGATACGATTATTGTCTTCAGTCATCATCTCTGGATACATAGAGTTTGACATTTACTCCAAATCTTGAAGCCACGCACTTCGATCCTTCGTCTTATACTTTCATTGGAGCAATTTGCTTTGAGAAAGAAATCAAGCTATGTAGCAAGATCCTCATTCTTCCTGACTTTGGCTGGCAACGTCGAACCATTCCTGGCTACCATGTCTCTCAGCCCTCACACGTTACCTAGGGTAGTCCGTCTCACTTTCTGAGTCTTGGCAGCCTCACTGGGAGGGGTACTGCCCGCCCCTTTTGACATTTTGCTCAGTCTCTTACCTCCTTCTAGACCTCTTTCACTTCAGCTACACCGTCTGGCTCGCCAGATTGACGGTCTCAGTGTCATTGCTCATACACCGACTTTATCAGGAGTGCACTGCAGGTCAGAAGTATTTGGCCCCAGCAACCTTTGCATCAAATTTGCCTGCAATCAACTCGCTTTGCATTCACATTGGACCAACTTAGCGACCTAACGACATTACGATCACAGTCCCTTGGGTCCCTGGATTGCATGCAATTGCACTACTGAACAGACAGCCCACACCGACGTTCCTCATCAAGCACTCCTGTCACGACTATCTCAAGTCACAAGTCTCAAGTTTCAGGCTATATCCTGCAACTTAACTCACTCAAGGACATCAACAATGCAAAAGAGGAATCGTTACCAGTCCTCCCGTTCCGCAATGGGGAAACAACCACTCAAACGCTTCACCATTGCGATTACTGGCTACTTCGGAGAACAGCGCTCGTCCGAACAGATGCGCAAATGGATACATAACAATGGAGGCATCTTTGCATATAATGTCTCTCCGAAGATTACCCACCTTGTTTGTAGCAAGGAAGACTTCAAGAAGAATGTGGCAATGGGTATGGCATATTGCACTTCCTAATAGCATCAAGCATTGGATCTCTTCACCTGCGATTAGCAGCATACTGATACAAGGTCATTGTTAGTCCAAAAGGCACGCCAGCTCAGGACCGTCAAAATCGTCTCCTGGGATTGGCTGGAGGACACCTTGATGAAAGAGCATCCCATGAAAGAATCCGAATACCTTATGGCCCCTCTAGTCAAGTGTGCTGCGGACAATAAAGAAAAGAAGAAGGCAGCCAGGAAAGAGAACATTAGAAAAGGCAGTAAGTTACGAAGCGCTGGTTTGTGCTGGGTATGGTTCCTGACTTTCTCTCAGTGGAGAACTTCGAGAAAGGATGCAAGGAATTCAAAGAGGACATGTTCTCCGGTATATCACCACTCCATTGAATACCATGACGGTCGCGACTAAACCCTTCTCAGATGGCTATCATATCTATCAAGACTGCACCAAGTTCAACTACGACGTTACCCTTGCCCGCACGAACCTCCTCGTCAACAAAAATGATCGCTTCGCCCTCAAGGTGTGCTATCCCTCCTCCCCAACGTACACACCTCCTCACAAACGCCATCTCACCCCCGACCCCATGATCACTACTCCCATATTCCCCATCATTCCCCTCTCACCTCGGGCCCGCGCCCGCATCCACTGTCCGCGCGCTCAGAGATTGCAGCTCTTCGAGTCCCACGCTACGCCCAAGTACTACGCCTGCTATGCCAAGTACAGTTCTCCCGGCCACGCACCCACAAGTGAGATGCTGGCGCCGATTGGGAGCCCGTGGGAAACCGCATGGGACGCGTTTCAGGGGTTTTTCGAATTGAAAACGGGAAAGAAGTGGGAGGAGAGATTCGTCAGGATGGCCTTGGGGAGTGAGGCTTTCACGTACACTCCGCCGAAAGTGGGACAGCCAAGGGGCATGTTCTTGGAGATCTGAGGGGAGAAGCCCCACGAGACTGGCGATACGATGGGATCTGGCCCTGGGCGCTCTTGCCTTTCAAAGGCCGTTGGCCCACGAAGGGTTTCATTTTCCTTTCCGATGGAGAGAGAGGCTTCATGAGCTCGACATTATTGCTTCTCTCCCAATCATAACAGCCTACTCTTCATTTCATATATCTATCCAATAGGCAATTACATAACATTTCTTAATTTCGCTCCTGCTCTTTCCCTCTTATCCTTCGTTCCCACGGACCTTCTAACCTATACATGGAAAACCAAATCAAGATTCTAATCCTCCATCGAGCACCGGACCATCGAAGCCACGCTCCTCACCGCTGAATGACCGCTCCACCAACATCCAAGCGACTCAAACATTGCATCCGCCAACTACTGCAACGCCCCAGACATCCCGAAACGCCCCGAAACCACCTCAGACATCCTCGGACGCCGCCACATCGCTCCAAACGAGCCTTTGGGTCGGCAGATCAAACATCGCAGGCACCGAAGAGGAGTTGCGAAAAGCCTTTGAGGGATACAACGTGTAAGTACATATCTCAGCGACTGAGGCATCGAAACTGATGGAGTTGCGTGATGGCCGTCAAGATAGTATGGCAAGGACATCAATGGATTGGTTGATGGGATGGACGGTTGTGGATCTTGCTTTCGAGGAGGAGAAGGAGGCAATCAGAGCCACCGCAGAGATGACATTGGAATGGGATCGATGAGAAGGGGAAGAGGGGAGAAGGAGGGTGAAGAATGCTGAAAATAGGGCCGTCAATATGGATGAGGGGCAGGGGTTTGTGTGGATGCAGAGTCGTTACGTCGTCAGGGGGAAGGGAGATGGTAGATCTGCAGAGGATGTATGTATCGAGATCTTGAGAAACATTGAGAGGGTTTTGTGTGTATACAAAGCTTTATGTATAGAGCTTCTCAAAGATCAGGTCAATCGTTTGAGTGTCTTCGAGGTATGGTATGAATGACACTTCAAAAAGCTGAGTATCTTATCGAGCTCCACTTCGCTCTCATGCGCGATCTGTAGGTGATCAAGACAGATTCGAATTAGGTCTTCGATCTCTGATGCAACGGCCCAATTTTCGAAAGAGAGTAATGATACCGGTGTATATGCCCACGGTGAAAACGAGCAAGATATCACAGACGAATCTAACAATAACGTCAATGATAAGAGGCTCCGAGGCGATGCTCTCATCTTTTCTGGAGCCCAATCCAACGACACTCGCATCCCAGCTCAAAACGAAAATGGTGATCGCCAGCAACGGGAGTCCGACAAACGCAGCCAAGTTGATGTTAGTATAGTCCGAACTTTTGAACTTGTACAACCTGCAAAGACGACCTCTGGCTTCTTCAGGGGTCACTTCGACGTATCCAGGTCGCTCGCGGTCTTCGCCAGTGGCGATTTTCCAAGCGTCGTACTGGATTCGGGCAAGAGAAGTGGCAAATAGCTGGCTTGCTTCGAGCTGCCATTGATAAGGGCTCAAAGGAATTGATACGGACTGACTGACGCTTTCCTGGGCGAGAAGTGCGGTACCCAAGCGCCACTTGATCGAATCGAAGGTATTCGAGTTCGCCAAGGACCATTTCATCAACCAATATTCTGGAGAGGACTGGATATCCGGCGGCAGAGGCGAAGTCATAGACCAACAGGTGGTACCATCGGGAGAGCACAGCTCACTTGTGTCCACGCAAGCCAGAGCTCGGGCTCGAGGGTCGGCGTTGTAATAGTAAGGTTTACGGAAACCCTCAAAATAGCGTGGTTCGTTGGCGGGAAATATAGGATCAAAGCTCGGCTCGACATGGTAAATGTGCATCGAAGACACGAAAATGATTGTGAGCGTGCTGTTGGCTGGTGTCTGGAGCTCTGGTATTGGGTGCCAATAATCGATTTCCGGGTAGAGCGAAGAGAAATAAGTGCTACCAGCGATCAACCTCTGATCTTTATGTTTATAGGTGACAAGAAATGATTGGAGCAACAGCACTCACCTTACCGAGTACACCGGCACAAGCCATTCAAATGGTCGGCCAGATGTATTGAACGTGTAACTCGTATAGTCCTTAGGGCCATAGTAATAGTCATAGGCTGTGCCATTGGTGCCTGGAGGAGATCGCAGGACGTATGGTTCCGACATGTTCAGTGGGGAGCAGCTTGTTGTTCGACGAAATTTATGAGTCGTTGGAGAGTTGATACCGATGACACTGGCGTCAATATAGCCAGTATCGAAGGAGATGGCAGAGTAGAGTCCATCGTGACAGAGCTCAGATGACGCGAACGGACACGGCTGATAGGTCTTGGTAGAGTATGCAATACTCTGGTTGTAGAACACCTTACAAGACAATGGGTCTGTAGGATCCGGGGAGTTGTAGCAGGTCCGAGCGTACTGGCTTGCTCGTGCTTCCTTCTGATAATTGTTTAAATCATCCCGATCTGCGGGCTCTCCACCAGCATTTTCATTGAATTGCCAAATGCCACAATGCTGCGACGAAGACAGGCCAGCTCTGTCGGAAGCAATCTTGGCTGAAAACACGCCGGCTATTGCCTGTGCAATGAAGAGACCAAAGAGAACAGTAGTTATCACGATCATTATGGTGGATGGGGAGTCGGCTTGCTTGGCTCCACCATGCAGTAGAGACTCGACGAACTCCCATACAGTCTCGCGACTGTCTTGGGATTTCTTCAGTATATCTGCGGGACCTTGGTCTCCGTGGGCCGATGGTGTTCGTCTTTCTGAGTCCGGACAACTTTCTGCAGCTGGTAATGTTGCAACAACTTGTGGGCTCTGTTCCTCAGATACAGGTTTGGCAATGTCACGCTGGTTATCAGATTGGCTTTCCACTGCGCTTATTGGTGTTCCATTGGGCTGCTGACCATCTGGCGTATTCGATATCACATCATTCTCCGGTCTATAACTTGTTCTATAGTCAACGTGCTGACTTTGCATTAATGGAGTCTGGCTTTCAGCGACACTAGACGATGACGAAGGAGGTTTTGCTAAATGGGCATTGTTCCACTCTTTTGTGAGCCAACTAAGAAGACCAATAAGCCAAACTAGAAAGCTCTTGGCTATCTTGAAAACATAAGGACTTGTGAGAGTGAGGCACACAGCGACAAAAGCTGTCATCCATTGAGACCAAAAGTTAGTGGCAAGTATCTGCCGTTCTACTCCTCTCATTGTAGAATGTTAGCTTTCATGTCTTGGCCCTTTCATATATTGATCATTGCTCACGGTCAAGGTAGCGACGACTATAGTCCCTCCAGAAGCCTAGATTCGCTTCACTCGTTGTTGCCATGACCTGAAGTGAACGCTTATATAATGTGACCTGAACGCGTCATTAGCATCCTTGAGAGCGACATCAATATCGTTGACAATGAGGTTGGTATTGACATCAGCCCAAGCCAAGGACCCCCACACCGCCCTGACGAGGCTGGACTGATAAGCCGACCTCATTGGTCGGCATGGCAAGCGCCAATCCTTCTCCTTTCGACAAGGCACAGCCTCAGTTCATCCAGTTTACTATTCACCACCTATCAGGACTGGAAAAAGCACATCATCGGAATCAAAATGAGCGCGAAAATGGTAGCCCGCAGCATGCCTTACTACCAGGGGAAACAGAGCGACGACGATTTCCAGCGGCACAACGCCAATCGCCATCACCGCGAAGAAAGCGGTCAAGACCGATGTGGGCAACAGGCTCTTCATCCACCTTACAATCCAACTCCTACCAGGACCGAAAAAAACCATCATCGGGATCGAAACGAGCGGGGAAATGAAAGCTAGAAGCCCGGCTTACTACCAAGGGGAACAGAGCGACGACGACAATTCCAGCGGCACAACGCCAATCGCCATCATCGCGAAGGAAGCGGACAAGACCAATTTGGGCAACAGGTTGTTCGAGACGACGCTGGCGTGGTGCTGTACGCTATCCGAAGTCAGAAAACGCAGCATGACGAGTGCTATTATCTCCTGCGGTGCGTTGGGCCCTACGGACCCCGAGATGGACAGTGGGTGAACACGGAGGATACTAGGCACGCGAAAACCACGAATCAGGGCGATAGATTGTATCGCCTCGCATGATGCGGTGTACCTTGTTGGCCAAGCCTTGAGTACGAGATATGCTTCGTTATGTGACTACGAGTTTGGTGTATGATATGAGATACGGCGTTGGGGTGCGCTTACGGTACGGGACGAGCATGCTGCTCGGCGATTTGCAGCTTGCTTTCGACAATGGTTCCATGACTACGATATTTTGGACCTCCAGTGCGCCATGGATACCGACGACGGCTTGCCCTTTCTATAATTATAGCGGAAAACCTGCTCGGCTGGCTTCCAAAGTACATGGCACCAATTTGAGTCCAGAATCTCGCTAGACGGGCAGGTTGAGAATGAAGATCACGAGAAAACATCTCTACGGGTTTTCATCCTCTCCATTCCTCAGATCCAGCACAAAGATCTAACAAGAGCAAACGAAGCATGACATTGGGTCCATCAAAGACTAGGAGGTCTTGGAAACTTCTTGTTGAAGGGTTCGCAACGCTGAGGTGGCGTCTTGAATTGGATGAAAGGGAGCAGCAATTGGACGGGTCGGATGGAACTCTGCCTGCTCATATCGGTCTTGACCGAGAGTCAATGTTATATGCGATTAGAATTAATGCGCCTTGAGGCCGGCCATAGTACTCGTGCTGTCCAGGAGTGAGTTACCTCGCTTAATAGCGCCGGGAGAGTTAACCAATCAAACTACTCAGTTCTCCGCGAAAATCGTAGTTTGATTGGTCAACTCTCCCGGCGCTATTAAGCGAGGTAACTCACTCCTGGACAGCACGAGTATTGACTATTGAGGAGGTCAGGCGCATGCTCACACAGACAATTTGACAAGGTGTTTATCATAGCACATTAGCAAGCTAACTCGAAGGGGCTTAGCGAGCTTGGCAGATCTGAGATGAAAAGGGTGATGATACTCATGGGCACGCGTAGCTAGTCTCCTCGAGGTCTTCTACCAACAGCATGGCTCCCAAACTCTTTGCAACAGGCACAGTGTGTTCCTTACGCGTTTATACCAGCTCCCTAGCTCCATCTGATTCCAATACAGACCGGGTACGTCGGCGGTGATTTCCTCGCCCTTCTCCTTGAAACCCATCCGGAATGGGCGATTCACATAACATGTCTCGTTCGTGACCAAGCGCGAGGCGAGAGCCCAAAGGCCACATACCCCGGCCTGCGACTCGTCTACGGTACGCTCGACGATGGGGAAATCCTCGAGGACGAAGCGGCCAAGGCCGAGATCGTACTTCACTTCGCAAGCTCTGATCACGTTGGAGCCGCTGAGGCTATATCGAGAGGTTTGAGGAAGAGCGGGGGGTATTGGATACATACCAGTGGCACGGACGTCCTGTTTTTGCAGCCGTCAGAAGGTCATAAGGATGTCAAGACTTTCGACGACTGGGATGGGATTAAGCAATGCACTGGTCGTCCCGGTACGTCAATATCAGTCAATTCAGAAGACAGCTGCTGGTACTAGCATCGATCAAGACTCGGCTCCCCACCGTCCAGTCGACAAAGTAGTTCTTGCAGCCGCCGCCTCGTCTTCAATCAAAACAGCCATCGTTTGCCCCTCTTTGATTTATGGAGAAGGCCGCGGCCTAGGCAATCGACGCTCAATGCAAGCTTACGAGCTCAGTAGACTGATTCTCGAACGCGGCGCAGGATTCGTTATTGGCAAGGAAGATTACATGTGGTTCAATGTACACATCTACGACCTCTCGCGTCTATATCTGTCGCTCCTTGAAGCAGCTGTTGCGGGTGGTGGCAAAGCGAGCTGGAATGACGAGGGCTACTATCTTGTCGAGAACGGCGAGCATAGATGGAATGAACTTGCCCAGGAGGTTACAAACGAGGCGCACAAGCAAGGCTTGATCAAGTCTGCCGAGGCCAAGATCCTTGAAATTGAGGAGAAAGATAAGCTCAAGGCAGTTGGCGTGGCGCTTTGGAATGTAAAGTCCAGAGCAAAGGCTATTCGGGCTTCAAGATTGCTGGGTTGGAAACCACACGAAAGATCCTTGATGGCCGAGGTCCCAGATATTGTGGGCAGCGAGGTCAAGCGGATTGGAATTGCCTCAACATAAACCCCCTGCCGTATCATGAACTTTTCGACTCGCTCTTCTGGGATGCCGTCCGTGCTTTATCTCTACTATCGTTCTCTACCCTGCCTTCAGAGCACACGCTTTAGCCACATGTTTAAGCCGTCCACAGTCTTGCATGTCCTCAAAGAATGAAACACTGTTTGCAGCTCTGCCGAACCCAAAACATCCCACAGGAACTATTCCTGAGCCAGCAGCGAAGCCTTCACGTAAAAGCTAGGTAAATTGACCGAGGGAGCGACAAAGCGCGGCTAAGACCGGCAGTTGGGTTGCGTGAGAGATGTATAACCTCCCCCCAACTGCCGAAGCAGGCCTCTACTGCCAAGTAATACATACAGTGCTTCACAAAGTCGGCCCAGCCACTTCGTGGAGCTGGTCAACTTCGCGAGATGAATACGACACAGGTTGGGGCTGTAGATAGGACAAGATCCTGGACGAATGGTGCATTGCTAAATATCTGGGTGAAGCCTCCCCTCCGAGGACTCCCGTGACGAGGACGGGGTAGAGTCAAAGTTGAGATGACTTTTGGTTATCCTCCGTGATGTTTTCTTTCTTCACAGCCCCCTTCCTGACGGAGCAATGTTGTATGCACTTATTTTACGAACCCAATAAGCCTCTGAAATGGGAAGACATGACCCCTTGTTTGCTCTCATGAGACATCCGTTTTCTAAGAATAAGCTCTCGCTGGGAAGAGGTGGCCCTTTCTTTGCTCGCTCTCATGACATGTCATCTAACTTGGGTTAAAGTCCTCGCTGAGAATAGCAGTGTTGCTACCCACCCTCGTGGCTCCGTCAAGGTACTTCGTTTACTGTTGAAGGGCCATTCTTACCGGCTCTGGAGGGGGAAAATTAATAAGTTGTCTGGCCCCCAGACCAGATATACAGTGATTTTGTAAGTGTTTCCGCCGCCGCCGCCGTCTCGTTACGGACGTTTCTCTCCTTCTATTACACGTCTTGCCATCCGTCTCATCGAAAGATTAGAACAGAAAGCCAGATGTCACAAATCATTACCACGAGATATTGAAAGTCATCTTCTCCCCTGATCTGCGTTGCGTTAGTCTCGACTCACTCATATGCCAGCTTGCCCCGGAACGCCAAAGGCATTGACGAGGAAAAACCCCCATCGTTGTCCTTCCCCGGCTCATTGATGTAGCCCTCCCGTCTCAGAGAACAGGTTCCGCAGACGAATTCTCCAGGCCCATGAGATCCCAGCCGGGTTCTGGCTTGAGCGCAGTGGCAATGATGAGCGAAGGCTTTGAAAGGGTCGCCACTGTCGCACTTGAGCGCGTCTACAATCGAGTTCCCGTCTTCCGCAGACCCGTGGTCTAGGTCGTAGAAGCTTTCTGCGTCGTCGTCGTCTGGAAAGCGGTCAGACTGAGAGATCGTGCGTCTGATTCTCTTCGTCGGCTGTACCATTTCGTAATCCAAGTGACGATGTTTCACGGTCGTCGGCATGACTATTCAGTGTCCCTCGAAGACCACGCTGACCGCTTTCGGTGCTCCCCTAAGCGAGCGGACCAACATCGGTATTGTTATCCTGGCTCCTGAGCACTGCGTTGAACCGTTATGGTTCTGCCAGTCACCTGGCTCCTAGGAAAGTCTGAGCAGCTACAATGCCCTGCGCTTGTTTTTGGAAGGAACTTATGGTTGCGTATCCGGAGGCCAAGATCATTCTCGTAGAAAGGGATATCGAGGATTGGTATAGGAGTTTTGATGCAACCGTTGTCACGGAGCTCTTTAACAAAGTCGCCGATGTCATTGTTGGTTACATCGAGCCGTTGATTGGAAGCCAGATTGGGCCCATGAGTCGGAAACCACTTTACGGATAATTTCACGCCAATACTCCGGATGAGTTGCGCCAGAATGCTCGTAGCGTTTATAAAGAGCACTACAGGCGGATCAGAGAAGCTGCTCCGAAGGGAAGGTTGCTGGAGTATCGTTTGGGTGAGGAATGGGGGCCATTGTGTGATTTCTTGGGCAAAGATGTGCCAGAGGGGCTGCCTTTTCCGAGGATCAATGAGGCTGCTGCTTTGAAGGCGAGAGTCCGCGAGGTTCAGTGGGAGAAGCTCAAGGCAGGGGGCATGGCGCTGGGAAAACATCTTGTGCCGGCTGTGGTGATTGGTATTGCAATGGGGTATTGGTATCGAAGGTAGCAATCATGTCGACTCCTTTTCCGGGCGTTTTGCTAGGCGAGTTGCTAGAAGAATGGCACACTGGGCGTCGGTATGACTCGATGTATGCACAATGATTGTTCTGCATCCCCTTGTGTTGGCTGGTAGCGGGAAAGCGGACCTTAGGAGAGCATGTGACAGATCAGGAATCGGCTCTTCCATAGACCAATTATCAAGCCCTGAGGTTTTCGTAACTTGGAAACTGCCATCTTCGCTAACAGCACGCCTGCCTGTATGGAATCCTCCCTCCCCTAAACCTGTCTCTGCATCGAATACGCGAATACATCTTTCATCCCCAATGGGAACTCTGTATCCGCGCGCCCTCCACCATGAAATGGCAGCGATGCCATCAAAATGCTTTCCACATCATAGTCAACCAAGCCTCCTCGACAATTTCTGGCTGGTCAAATCCCTTAGATCGCATGTCCCAAATCACCTTTCATATATTGTCGAAGTAGATGTGCGCGCCCTCGGTGATCCATCCGGCCACTCTCAGTCCACAGTGGTTTCTTGCTCGCGAGGGTGAAGCATTGACTCGTTCAAAGGCCTCAGGGAAGTAGTTGACTGCGTGTCGTACGTGAGCATACATAAGGTCTGTGTAGCGAAAGACCTGCGATTTCTCGCCTGTGCCATTATAGCGGGCCATTAAAACTTTAAAGTAATTAATGGCAGCCATATGTTTTCCGTGTAAATCATCCAGGAACTCCACGGAGCGATCATTCAGCTTCTGAATGTACACCTCATGATTCTCCCACTGCTCTCCATAGCGGTAAAGCAGTTCCGCGTATTGATGGAGTATCGACCGAGGCTGTTTAGACACAGGTTCGTGTCTTGCATCTCTTTCAGCAACGAGGTCGTATAGACGCTTGTGGAAGACGACGAACCCTTCTTGTTGCTGCGTCAACCCGACTGCGTATCCTGCAGGCTGGGGAACGCGGACGATCGAGGAGAAAGATTGGCGAATCATGGGCGCCGCGAAGCCTGTTATGTCTGAGATGCCAGGAGTCCAGCCGGGATTTGCTCCTAGTATGTCTTTCACTCTTTCTGCGGCTTCACGGCTTGGGTCCACTACGATTCGTAATGTTGCAAGCACCTCCTCTTCTGTCCCTAGCTTGTAGTCTGGCACGCCAAGGCTTGCTTCGCCTGGTACTATGCCGAAGCCCATTTTGTCCGCTGCCTCGGAAGGGATGTAGAGCTCGTTCAATTCTTCTGTAGGATCTACGCTTGGCAAAAAGTCTTGGACGCCGATTTGCAAAACCGTACCCATAGATCTCACGCCCGTAGAAGTGATCGTGTGTCCATTGCCTTCTGCCCTGAAGTTCCCATCGAGAGGCTCGAATTGTTTCCATATCATGCCCAACGGTCTTGCCATAACTGCGAGGTCACAGACCGTCCCCAATGCCAAAGGCTGCACGACCTCTGGTGGTACAAAGTCCCACGATCTCTTTTGCAACTTCAAGTCCGGAATCAAATAGCCTTGCGACCCAGATGCATGGCGGGTAATATCCTCCAATATGTTTCCCTGTGCCACAAGATCCTTTCTGTTCTTCAGCTCTTTCTTCGACGCAACATCATGGAATGCAACCCCGAAGATTTCCAATGACTGCCCTGAGTTCTCGTGCAAGGCTTCTATAAACCTTAACCAGGAGACATTCTCAGTAGTACCGGCAAGATGTGGTCCGCGCGCAGTGTCGCAGTATGTGGCTTCTTTAGACCAGGCAGATCCATCAAGTTGGTAATGCATTTCCTTTGAGCCGTAGGCGTCTGTCTCTTTTGACACAAGGTGGCGGGGCATGTAGGGGAAGAGACCGAACTGCGGTGTCGTACAGAGCGTCTCGAATCGCATCTCACTCCAACGGAAATTGCGGTGCGTTAATTTGGCCGACCTTCCTATCACGGAAGACTGGCATCTTCGGTAGCCATCTGCTGTTGCTAACAACTGGCCGAGGACTTGGCTGATAGTTGTGACGAGCGCTACGAAAGCGACGGCCAGAGCTATAATGGAAATGGTGGTGTCGCTGGCCATACTTACCGCAGTTGCTGTAGTGTTTTATGTTTGGAAAGGGTGCCGATGAGAGTCTGTCGCGGAAGGCATAGCTTTGAACAAGATGTTACGCATCTTAATTGGAAATACGGAGACTGAATCTATGAACTTGAGAGGACGGCACCCTCCACGTTCGAGTAAACAAACGGGTGGTCTGTCAATGAGATACATCAAGAGTCACTGGCACATGGCGCTGTCTTAGGTAAGAGTATTATGCCAATTGTTGGTCTAGATGGACTGGCCGATATGTTGCCAAGTGAAACTTGTCAGCCACATCACGACGCGCGAGTTTTTGGAGACAGGATATGAGTTGTTGAGCACGCTCTATTCAGGAAGAATGACTTATGTTTTCTGGACAGACCGTCCCGAGTTCTTTACTCTATATACCAAACATTCATCAATCATGAGTAATCATCCTTATATCCCACCCACATATACGAAAAAACATACACCCAACCTTTTAGAAATCCTCCTTCCCGACTTGCCTCTCTCGAATACCGGTCTGCCCTTCCTCATCATCTTTGTATTGTCCACTACCCGCACTTACACTATCATCCTCATACCCCTCAGCCCCATAAGCAACACTAACATTCCTAATTTCATCCCCAACCTCCATCCACTTCTCACTGCAGGCCGGGATCGGACTAATTTTGCACAAGATCCAGTACGTCAGACTCGCGACAAGGAAACCGGCGAAAAAGTTGATGTTGTAGATGTATTTGGCACCCTGAGGCACAGGCTTTCCAATGGCTCCAACGAATCCCACGATATTGATGAGGATACCGCAGATGTAGGCTGTGTATCCGCGCCAGTGGAAGCCGAAAGTGAAGTAGTAAGGTGACGTTTTACGGGCGGAGTAGAGGTCTTTGATCTGGTAGTAGCCGCGGCGGACGACGTAGTAGTCGCAGATGATGACGCCGGCGATCGAGGAGAGGAAGACAGAGTAGGCGGATAGGTAGGTTGTGAAGTTATTGGAGGTGGAGAGGAGGTTCCTGTTGATGAACGTGTCAAGTGATGGGCTTGCGTATGGCAGTGGGAAAGACTTACCATGGACACATAGCTAAACCAACGGCAGCGCAAATGTAACCACCCCGTCTGATATTGAGATACCGTGGGAGAAGGGCTGTCATATCTGTTCCAGCAGACACGGAGTTGGCAGCAATATTTGTACCCAGCTGAGCCAGAGCGAAGGCGAACGAAATGATGAACACTCCAAATCTAGCAGGTCCGTTCGCCGTCTTCCCAGTGTTAGGATTCACCAAGAAGTAAGTAAGCAAATCCAATGGGTTCCAGACCGGGTCTCCATAGATAACCGCCGAGGAAGACGACACAATAATACCGATGAAGGACGTCACCGCAAAGCCCACAGGAATGGTGATGAATTGAGACCACAGCGCATCTCTCGGCTTCCTTGCGAAGCGGGCGAAATCAGGATCATTGACCTATCAAAATTTCGGAGTCAGCATTTCCATCTGAAGGCATCGCAAAACAAGTCCCAAGAGTACGATACTCCCAGATCATGCTTTGCAACTCCAAGTTCTGCTCGGCTTAGGAGAGACTGGTCCCGAATGGTAGCTTACGATCAGCGTTGCGAAATTGGCAATTGATGACATGATTCCTTGAATCATAGCCCATCCAAGAGCACCTCCATGCTTCGCCGATGGCTGGTGTACAATGGGTCCGATTCCATGAGCCTTGACGATCGACCAGATGAAGAAGGCAACACCGGCAGGGGGCACGAAAAATGCTTTGGCGGTGAAAAGATGGCGGATTTTGTGCACGGGGAACCAAATGGCTGGCAAGCTGCAGGCCCAAAAGAGGAAGAAGCTGACAAAGTCCCTGGTGACCGTTCCTGAGCTTTTCGGCATGCTATTTGGAACGTTTTCGTAAGAGGTCCAGATCGAGCGGATCATTAGGGTAACGCATTCGCCTGTGCCAACATCAGCATGGCGTTCAAGAGGGTATAAGTGAGAGAAAATACCTCCAATCCACGACTGAACACCATACCAGATACACGCCATGGCTGCCCTGTTGAACACCGGCCAAAGAGAACCCCAGATGCCGAAAGACGCCCTGCTAACGACGGGAAACGGTATATGGTATGTTGCACCGATGCGTCCAGTCATACAGATGAAAGTAGCCGATATCACGTAGCCGATCCATACGCAGAGCCATGATTGCCACCATGAGAGACCATTGGCGACCATAGACGACGATATCATCCAAGTATTCTAAGATTTGTCAATAAATGTCTAATCTTTGACAGGTCCCCCACATACAATGTTGAACGAGTCGGAAATCCAGAAACCAACGAAATTCCATGCACCCCATTGTCGGCGCTCAGGTTCCACTGTGATCTTGTCAACTCCTGCATGGGTTTCTCCCAAACGCCGGCGCTACTACTAACCAGGCTTCAGATCAAAATTGTGCAACATCAGTTGGGCATTGGTCAAGCCTGGCTCAGACGAAACAGCGATCTTGTTCGCGAAGTACGCGAGTCTGGAATTTTCTAGCTTCTCCATGGCAGCAGCGATGTACCCCAGATCCTGATGTTGTCGAGATCTATGACTGAATGAAGTCCTGGGATGTCGACTTGATGTTCTCAGCCTGGCTGTAGGGCCGTTGGATGAGGGCTCAGGGTGCTGATATATAAGAGGCTGTGTCTCGTGCTCCGGAGACAAATGGACTCTTGCGGAGGAGGAGCTGGCGTGTTCTGGCCTTCTATCCCCGAGTCTGTCAAGCTCGAAGTTGGCAATGCGAGAAGAAGAGTGAAGGCGCACATATCTGGGGCCAAGGGTGTATTATATTTGAGAGGATTGCCCGCGGTTGGCACCGGCCGATGAGAGAGCATGGTGGGGTTCTCCAGCGGCCGCCACAAGCCAGTGTCTCGACGTCGCAAGCCGATAGCGCATGCCTTGACGACGATAATTCCTTCCTAGACAAAGGATGGGATGCAATCGTGCAGTAATAGTCTGACGATTTGCAAGCGGGGAATTTGGGCGGGGACTCGTTTGTAGTGACGGAAATTGTTCGAGGCAATGTCCCCCGCACTAAGTCAGAAGCTTAGTGTTATCTCTTATCTGTCGCTCCACCGTACTACTCTTTGATTGAGCAACTGGATGCGAAAAAGACTTGATCATCTTAAAAAAATCGATTCATGTATAAAAAATGAGAAGAAGAAAACAAAAATCTAGATGATTACCATTACGGTGTTATTTACGTGTACATCCCATGCAACTAGAGACGTCTCTACAGGAGATCAGCCTTGCATATCTCATGGCCATGCTAGATAAACGATCTGAAAGACATCGGTCTCCAAGTGCCGTCACTATGTTTGTGGCTTGACCTGATGTGCTCACACGATAAAACAACCAGACATCGAAGCGATACCTGCCAAGCAACATGAGCTTATATTTGAGGAGCCTCGACACTCAAGCAAAACCCCGACCTAAAGATGAACTCACGGTGGCACCAGAGGTTCGGCGCCATCCAGTCAATGTTTCGCTAGCTGAAGCCGCCATGTCGCGTGACCTCATATGGCGTCCTGTCGTATTTCTTCGTACGGTAATAAGACAGCCATGCTGATCTTCTTGGTGGATACCGCTGATCATTTCCTTCAGCCCCCGTTCCACTTGCCAAACCGCCTATAGTCATCGTACAGCGCCTTGAAGACGGACCGACTGCTCGAATCCATAGCCGCATTCATTGTCCGCATGATATCAGGCGAAATGACCGCAAGGACTGCATACAGGCCCACGTTTAGTGCCGCTCTCATCCCAGGCAGCAGACGACCTGTGAGCTGGCATCCACAAAACTCCATAATCAGATACGGTAGATGCTGTCCTGCGATACTGCGTGCTTTCTTCGTTTTGTCATTCAATTCTAGTCGCAATCTGTTCCTCGATCGTGTGACAGACGAGACAGTGGGATCGCAGATCATGGTTAGAATTCGCCCATATGCTGCAGCGTGACTCTCTCCAAAAGTTGACGATTCGCGTCCGACTGCCTCGCTATCCTTGTATGGGACGAACAAGCATCGTAGTAGAGCTTGCAATGTCAACACCACCAGGTGGTAGCGACCTCCAATCTTGGCTCGGTGAACGGCGAGTATGGTGCCAAATAATCTGCAAAGACCAATGTAGAGCTTGCCTGAGTTCTTCTCCGTTTGAGTATCTAGGTTGGATGCTTTGACAGCGATCGCAGCAAGTAATTCGTCGATATGCCATTGCGAGATGACGCGCGTGTGATTCTGCAAAAGCATGTTGATGCACTGCATTGATAGCATGCATTCAGGAAACCCAATTCGTTGGGAAAGGCCTCTACATAGGAGAACCAGAAGTCGAGATAAATCATCGTTAAGCTCTTCCACCTGTTGATCTGGATTGTGGACTGTCAGCCTGTTAGATAGAGGGCGAGGATTTGCATTACCACCCAAAGACAATATCCCGATCTGAATTCGAAGTAAGTGGGAATAGTCTAGATATTCCTTTGGGTCGATGTGAAAATCGAAACAAAGCTCTTTCTTGCTTTGTAAACTAAGACTTGGTATTGCGTCTTTGAAATGGCCTAGAAGGTTATTCATCTCGTGACGTGAGTGCAAGTTCTTCAATAGTTCAGATTCATATGCCAAGTTCGGGTGCAGGTTGTAGTCGTACGTATACAGACGGAGTTCCACCTTGGCAAGGCATACTGCCAGATATTCAATGCTGCAGCAGTCTTTGTAAGCAATTGCTGCTCTATCGAAATCTTCGTGGTTGTCTAAAGCCTTCAGTGTCTGGAAGGGCCCGTCACCGCTAAAGAGTCGACCCGATATTTCTCGTAGATTGGGGTGAATGGCGAGAAGGTCAGAGTAGCCGGCCAGACACTCCAAGTTGACTCCACAGCTGTGTCTACGCTCCGGTTCGGTGAGACTAGTCTCATCTAAACCATCGAGACAGTTGAGAATACTCTGTAGATGGTACTGACGTGTAGTGTCCAACCCCGCTGGCTTCAGAGAGTCGGGCAATTCGTCTCGATGACGAGAAAAATGGGTCAACGACATTTCGAACAGAGCCGCGAAAGCCGTGGTACAGGCGATGTCATTTTTGTAATGATTTTCCAAAGAGCGGGCCATCTGCCCATAGAATGCTTGGAGGTATGTAATGGTGCTCTTCTGGTCGAGCGTCGTGAATAGATAGCTGAAAATAAGGGTCAGCGAATCTAACCAAGGGCAATATTCTCGGGATCATGCCTCATCACTGAACGTGTAAGCTGTCTCAAAGCCCTTACACTGTGCACGTTATCCTCTGACCACCCTACAACGCTATCAATCCCTCGCGCAAGACTAATCAGAGCCATCTCATCATTAAGCTTTCCAGAGCCCTTGTTTGGCATTTCGTTCTCATTGGTGAGTATGTTAATTGATTTGTTGGGCATTTGGATGAGCTTGGTCAGTAAAATCAGGTGATCCGTGGTCCTCGTGAGTTTCGACATGTCTGCAACCAGGAGTATGCGAAGGACACGATTTGCCAATTTGGTCCTCTGTCCTCGATCGAAAGCGTTGGTAGGAGTTACTTGAATGCTTCGAAGGGCTATTACGTAGTCCGCGGCTCCAATGTCCCAATATTTGGGTTCTCCAAAATCTGATGTGCTCAGGTAGCGGTCAACCTGGAAAGTTCGTAGACAACCTACGGATATTAGCCTCTAATCAACTTGTCGTCCACTTCGAACACGCCTACTCGTTACAGATCCAATCTCAGCTAATGCATCACACCGTAATAGCTTTTTCCAGCAAGAAGAGTAATCGATAAATGGACCTTTCACGGCACCCAAGAACCTTTGCTGGAAGACTGATGCCCAGTAAAGCTGCTGCACGAGGCGGTTTTGGGTGCCCCCATCGAGATGACTACACAGATATTAGGTCAGCATGACGAGCAATAGGACCAATCCAGCTCCTCACCTGAGAACTTCTGGCGACTCGATGATCTCTTCAATACAGTCGAAGTAAAAATTGTCCACAGGACTGATCTTTGATGAGGATTTCTCGCTTTGAGAATTGGCGTCAGAACGCATCATAGTCCCAAAGTGATCATGACTTATGCGATGGCAAAAAGGCTCCATAATGTCTAAGAGCTTCGTCACGGCTAATAGGATCTTTCGACGCGATGAAAATTGCAGGTCCTCCCAGAAAGAGTTTTTCATCGCTGCAAACTTGAGCATGAACCTGACAGCATACAGCTCTTCCGTAAGATCGACGTTGTCGCGGAGCGTTAGTTCTGAGGAGATGTGTTTGATCAGTTCAGAGGCCATACATATCGCGGGATGGGCTTTGCGTTTGAATACTGAAGAGTCGCGCAACGATGACCATCGATCTGTGATTGTCGCCTTGATCCTCCAAACTCTCCAATAATGGGGCGAAGATACTTTTGGGGGTCTAGAGACCAGTACCCCTAGCAAGCTGAACACTGACAGGGCTATCGAGTCAAGCTTGACCAATGTTTCGTCCTTGAATAATCCGGTACATACGCAGTCGAGTATTACTAGGCTCGCCAGAGACATTGAATTGTCACTGAGTACATTCGGGATAGAAGGCGCTAGATCACGAGTAGCTGTTGATAGGACTCGATCAACTTGGCCTGCAGTGAGCGATGATTCTACCACTTGTGCAACGTGCAGGAGTAGTCTTTCATCTTCCCAGATACTGGGAATTAGCTCGAAGTAGTTCCGCTTGGATTCTTGTCGGCCTTGAACTATGCTAAGCTGCTCCCTCCAATGCTCTAGACATCCAGTCAAGTCCCGCGCATCTGTGAAGGCGCTGCAGAGCGGTTTAATGACATGTAGAAGCTTGAAATCGTAGTTCTTGTCCTCTTCCAACGATCCGTAGCACATTTCGTCAGTGATATTTCGAAGTAAAGCAGATAGATATTTGTTAGGGGGTCGGTATGCATACGTCCCGTTGTCACTAGCTGAAGAAGACGGAACTACAAAGGTGTTTGAGTCGTTGAGTATGCACAAGCTAACGAGGCCCCATTCGATTTGACTATCATCCTCAACATCAACGCGAGTCTCGGTGTGACTGTCATCAGTATTCTGGAACAGGCCTGAAGCTTGATCCAGAAGTGCCTCAATAGTGGAAGGGCTCAATTGCACCTGATGATCCACAGCTTTGCGCAACATCCACTTGATCACCCGGATGTGGTCTTTCTGCGCTCTGACTGATGAGAAAGGGGGAAAAAGGGTTTCAGCGCACTTTGCGAGGTTGATGAAAAGCTGTTCTAGCCACGGATTCTCAAGCCTGCGTAGTTTGGGAGTATCTCGAGGGCGGCATCTGATTGCAATATCGAACAGAAGCGATAATATCGTGAGTGCAAGGTGCTTATCAGTCTTCCAATCTGCCCGAAGAAACGGGCTCTCGAGCTGCGGAAGAAATCGTCTCAGCGAAGAGACCATCCGATCACCAAAAGAAGTAAAAGATACCTCTTTCTCAAGCTCAGTTGGAGGCTCCAGGTCCTGGAAAGAGCTGCGAAGCGGCAGTACAATAAAATCGATAAGCAACCCTTCTAAACATCTGATCATTTCTGCCATTTCCTCCCCGGGTGCCGGACGTTGTCGGCATGTATCCAGGAGCTGGAGAACGGGCAGCATACAAGAAGCCATGAATGCACTCTGACAAGCATGGCATTAGCAGAACTCTCTACAAACTTTCTCTGGGTTGCGTACATTGCTTGAAGTGGATGAGTGCTGTCCTAAAAGGGATCGTCGGTTCCAGAGGGCAACCACGGGGAGTATGCAAGACCTATAGCCAGTGTCTGCTAATAGCTTCTGAAGTCCCACTGTAAGTACTCTTTTCTGGTGCGAACGTTTTTGAGGTGTCTGTATGATACGATTCGTAAGGTAGAAAGAGCTTCCCAATACATGAGCCGCATCCTGCGGAGAGATTTGCAGAGTACTCTTCATGTGCTCCACCGCAAACCCTTGTGTCTTTTCCGGGTCCATTGTTAAAAACTCCAGCTGCCTGATACTACCGCAAATTGCCAAATACAGCACCCTGAAGGCGCCGGTAGCAGTACTGACCGTTTCCTCAGACGCAGTGACCACTGTTCCATCCAATTTGCGCTTTTTTGAGGTCCCACGCTTACTGGAGGAGCTCTCCACCGTGTCAGAGCTATCTTCGAGCTGGTCCATTAAGTCTTTATTTCCTACTCCCACATCCGGAGATACCGTTACACGGCTCACTTGTTTTTGAAGCCACCCCAAAGTATTTCGTAGGACACTTGTAAACTGGTGTGCGGTGAGTAGTCGTGCCACGCTCGAAAGTGGAGTACGTATGACCAGCTCCTGAAGTAATACCCATGACTTGGGCTGTAGGTGCGGACTGCCTGGAGATAAGTCCGAGTATTGCAGTTTCTTGAGCAGCCATCTTAGTGCCCATTCCGCTCGTGGGTCAGAGGTGGTGTGTTGCTGCAGCACTCGCCCATCAACTGAATTCTGAAAGGCTTTCCAGTGCCCATCAAGGTCAATCTCAAGGATGCCGCACGCTTGGGCGATTTGAACAGCGAAAGGTTCCTCGCTTTTGTCAAGGGAGAGAATGCTCTGCTGAGACCTACAGCGGCTTGTTGCCTCGTGGAGTCAGTGTCCGGTCCTGAGAAGCTGGGTGTAACTTACCGAAGACATTGTAGCCAGGCAGTTGATTTTTGAGCGCGAAGCCGAGAACCAAAGAAGGTTCAACAAGATGTTTTTCTTAAACGGAAGGTGTGCCGAGGAATTTCAACATCCGGCGCCAAAGGTTGATCCGCTCCGGAATCCCCAGGAGCTCCAAGTTTTCGGAGGCACACGACGCCGACAACAGCTCTCACTAGCGAAACAACCGATCCTGTGAGTTTCGATTCTTCGAGCGTGTACAATGCCTGCTAATGAATTTCATAGTCAGTCCATCACACAATGGCCGACGAGCCGCCCCCACTCACACCCTCGACGCACGCAACGCGAACCGCGAAACCCGTCAGCGAGGCATTGCTCAACGATAAGGTACCCATCGCCGCGTTCCTGCTGCGGCTTGTAAACTCCGGAGCGAGCTCTTGCTGATATAAGAGAATGGTAGTGGGACCATGCTCTATCCTCCCTTCTGATCCGCTCCTCCATCGGCCTCTCTTTCGGCGTCGTCTTCTCCGTTCTTCTGTTCAAGCGAAGAGCATGGCCCGCGTGGGTAGGGTTGGGATTTGGAGCTGGGAGGGCTTGGGAGGAAGCTGATGGTATGTGCTTATGTTACGAGAGCTGGGATTGGACGGCGAATTCCAGGACGCTGACTTTGGCTGTGATCCAGCTACGTTTAAAAGGGGAGGCACACCAATGGGGAGAGATGGGTTGAGATTGGTGAGGTCATAGGGAAGGATGTTTGGGGACGATTGAGCGCCATTGCTGGAGAATAGAGGATAGACGTGTGTACGATGGGCTGTAAATACTCTGACATGAAGTTTTTCACAGGCCAAAAATCCAATTGGCTCCCCCTTACGCGTCCAATAACTTCGCTCAACAACGTTCGCCTTCAGGATTAGCTCGAATGACTGAGTGGCAACGTTTCTTTGAAATCTGTCTAAATCATGAGATTATACAAATTTGACAGCCACAGAGGATGGATCTCCGTTCAGGGCAGCCAAATCTGCGATTTACCAGAATCACATTTGGCATGTGGACAGGGTTCAACCCAAAGTCCTGAAGTCGTCATGGCCTCATTCCTTGTCAGGTCCACATTCCCTCGTCAGATATGGCCATACCTCTGGATATCTTCTTGATCAGCGCCTTCTTCAAAAATTCTTCTCTGGCCAAGCTCCTTGTTTGCTGCAGATGACACAGTGAGCGCCAATCCAGATTTAACAGCTTTACTCACGTACCTTCGCCCACACCCCGCCCCCTATCCTCCCCTTGTCCAAAGCTTTACCCAAGACGCCTCTACTTTCTTCAATTGCCTTCTCTTCAGCTACACTCTGATACAACTGCCCAGCTACGACTGTCGGCGCAACAAGTACCTCATCTACATTGGGTACCGTTCTGCGCTTCGCATCTTCGAGAACCTTGTCAGCATCACGCATCGCCTGGTGCAGAATATTTTCATTCGAGGAAAGCAGCGCTTCGAGGTCATTCAGCTGCGATATTTCCCTGTTGATGGCGTTCAAGGTTTGCGTCAGTGCGGCTTGTTGAGCACGGAGGGGAGGCAGTGCAGAAAGGTTGTAAGTATGACTTGAGTGTATCTGTTGGGTGAGAGTCTCGGAGAAAGCCGAGAGTAGTGCGTCTTTCTGCGGGTTGGGTGGAATTGGAGGTGGAGCAACATTTGTTGGTTGTGCTGGGAGTGCGGTTTCGAACGAAGAGGTAAGCAGATCTTCTGGCGCTTTAGGCTTTGATGATTGCGGAGGTTGCTGAGGAGGGTGCCTTTGAGCCTGATACGACTGTGGGGGTGGTTGTTGGTAGCTGGGTTGAGATGGAGGTCGCTGAACACGATCTTGGTATGCTGGAGGATATCCCTTTTGATACTGACCAGTGGGTGAAGGCCGTGGTCCTTGCTGGGAGTATCGGGGTTGATTAATGCTCATCTGATCGGAAGGGAAGGTGTTCTGCCGAGAGCCAGGCCTCATGGGGCTGACGTTGTCGAGCCAGGGCTGCTGATTCGGGTAATGAGAAGCTCTGTTCGGTTCAGAATGTGCATCGTTATCATGTTGTAAGCTGCTGCCTCTTTGAGGCGCCTGCCGGGGCATAGGAGGTGGAGCTCTCGCGTACCCATTCTGTTGGGCTAGATAGGGACCAATGTACTGCTGTTCTGGTCTAGACGGAAGAGGTGGGAGTGGCGTGGGGGTGCTAACTTGAGCATTCGGCGGACCACGAGCATCAAATGGTTTGGGCGGTGGCGGCGGACGTTGGTGTCCTGCTGGAGACTGGGATTGTCTGACACTATTATCTGACCTTCCTAGCTCTGGTGGCAACGGCGGAATTGGCGGTGGTGCACCGTTTTGCTGTGACGCCGAATTTTGCTTCGCGATGACGGGTGGTTCCTGCGCAAAGATGTTTTGCAGAATGGAGAAAAATTCATTTAGATTGGACCTCTAAAACCGCAAGTCAGTGCGGCTTCGAATATGTCGCCTCCAAGTCCCAGCGTAGTTTGAACTTTATGGCCTGGAATCCTTGCTACAATACTCACATCATCTCTCCACCCTGCCAGATACGGATGATATATCCTCCCTTCCCCACTCACGTATTGCCCAGGCCGGACCGCCATATCTTTGGTCGGCGTGACAAATCCGATGGGCCCCACGTTTGGGTACTCTTGAGGTACCCATACCGAGATCGGAAAAGCATATGTCGTACCCCGGAAAGAAACAGGTAGAGTGCCTCGTAGGTTCAGAAGGAGGGAAGACTGGCCGTTCTCGTATGCTTCGATAGATCAGTGGGCGTAAACGAATGATTGGAATCGTGCACAGGAAAAGCTATTCCATACTATAGACGTCTGTTCGGAGAGCGAAGTTGGGATTGTACGAGAGCGTTTGGGCGACATCCGAGTAGGTGCGTGGGATATTTCGGTATTCCTGATACTATTAGTGACAAAAACTTGGAAGATAGCACTCAGGTATCTCACACTGTTTATCGCCCCATGAAGCCAATTGAGGACTTTCTGAGGAACTGCCCCCATATCTCGAATCCTCAAAGTGTTCAGAGCAGTTTTGCGACTGATGCCTTCAACTTTCGGCCCACTTTCGGCGATAGGTACCTAGGCTAGCAAGGATTTAGCCCTATCAAATGCCAAGAAACCACGATGCACCAATAGGAACGATGCTGATGATGATTTAAGAGATATTCAAACGACTTTGGAACAGCACTTGATCATATGTGCATGATGAGAATGGTCGATTTTGGACCCACAGGCCAGACTACATCAGACTTAAGCACCGTCGTTGCCTCCAATCGCTGCATAATTACAGACATAAACCCAACTTTTTGAACGTTCTGGGCAGCGTCCATCAAGCAAAATGACCAAAGAGTCTTGGACTCGTACCATAGAGTTCCTCAATTTCAGAGCAGGGGAGCGACGATGGAAAATCAGTCCCCGGCCCCTCCCCTAAACAATACCCAATGCTTTGGCAAAGGACCAACGGCGCCATCTGCTAAAGCCAAAACTTGCGGTCTTTTATGTCCAGTGCCGAGATCCTTGACCCATATGTGCAGAAATTTGCCGTTCATGCACGGTATATACACTTTGTTATGCCCTTGATTTTCATCACCAATGGCACAACCCTCCTTCACTGTCGTCCATCTTCCATACCCCTGCGAGACCCACAATCTCCATTTCGCCATCCACATTCTCCCCTAGTTTTCCCAAGGGAGCAAAAGGAGACATGTTTCCGCTCTCGGCAGGCCCATTACTTAGGATTCGTCTCGCCCAAGCGTCAATGGCAGGTTCACCAGTTTCATCTCTCGCTTGCTTGAGGAACGGTATGAGTGACGTCCCGCCTGTCCCCCTGAGCTTTTTGCTGCCGGGTTTCTCAGTCTTCGAGGTTTTATGCGTATTGGCAAGATTGAGTGGCTGAGGCTGATTTGGCGCATTTCTTGGGGAAAGCGACCGAGAGTGTGAACGCGACTCGCGAGACTTGACAATGATGTAGCGGGACACCATCTGGATATGCTTGTCCCGCAGCGCGCGTACCATAGCCAAGCAAGCGTCGTACGCAATACTCAATGATCGGTTCGATTTATGGGCTTCGACATATTCGCGAATATTGGCCACAGAGGAGACATGTTCCAGGAATTGGCGGTGAGGACCAGGCATATAGGATCGCATCTCATGGATAAAGTTGTGGCGAGAAGGTGGAGCGGTGGGCCCTTCAGTGTCACTTTCGGTGGAGGAGTCTGATGACTTCTGGGTGCCAGTTGGGCGATGCTCGACTCCAAGCACAATGTCGAAGAATTGGATCAGGGATGATTGAGCGTTACTACCGCCACCATACTGACGGTAAGGTTCATTTCCAGCGCCAGTATCGAAAACGACGCCATTGGGAAGTCCCGCATCGGCCATGTTCTTGCTACCAGCGAGAAAAGGACGGATCCGGTGGTAGAAGACATGGGGGTCGCAATTCTCGTACATTTTCGTAAGCAAGGTGCCTAGCTCATCCAGTCTTTCTGCAAATGCGTGAAGACATTCTGTCACTGTACGACTGTCATTTGCACGGGCGGCCTCAATTGCTTCTAACATGAGCGGGATTGTAGGCCCACCACGAGCCTCGATGGCGACGGATACCAGGTAAAACCATGACTCGTCGAGTGAGCCGGTAAAGGTGGCAAGAGTTGAAAGATTGTCAAGGGTATCAATTGGCTCGTCAGGGAAGATTGGCTTGAAGTTCCAGAGGCATACGCCTGCGTATGTTGCCACTGTGGGTAACTCCAAGTAGCGGCATACCTCTATGAAAGGTATAGAGAGTGACGGAGGGACTCGCTGTAATGGGATAACAGTTAGCCACCACCATGCACAAAGTACCCGGGGCAGAATCGCGTTTCTGCATACCTCTGCTGGTTTATCTCCTCCCCAAATGTAGGCGTGCGTTATAAAAGACAAGAGCACATATGCTCTTCGCCATTCCGCAGGGGACCGTAGCCTCGAGGCTGTGATAATATCCAGGTCATCAACCACATGCCTCAACCTTTTGCTGAGAAGCAACGCTTGTAGGTTTGACACTATTGCCTCCCATCGTCTGTAATACGGATCGGGTAGAATCTCGAGCGGGAATGTATTGGGAAGGAAGCCGTATTCAGAAATGCCATAGTGGTCGAGGGAGGGGACCGGTGGTAGCATCGTCTGCAATTGGATTGTATCGCTGCAGCTCGTGAGTTCCGGCTTTAGCGCACCTAGGCGGCCAATCTATTGTGTGATATGGCAGCGGCTCATTGGAGCATTCGTGGCTCAGCGTGATAATGGGATAGTATATCCAAAGAATAGGCGGCCAGTGGCGAGTGTCGTGTCAAGAGGCTCAGCATTTGTGGATACTATGAAAGTGGCGTGTTGTAGGGAAACAGGGGCTTAATTCATATGGTACAGTGAACAGAAAAATCAGTGATATCGGACCAGGAAGCGAGAATTCTATGGCATTATTCAGCGGACAATGGCCCGAGCGAGAGGAAAAAAGCTTGGGTACGAGGCCCGGAGATTTGGTAAGCTTAAAAAGCAAAAATGGGGAATCTAGGGACACGGCTAGTAGCTTTTCAGATCTTGAAGGTCTCTATGGCAGTCCCTTTGCTCTTTGTCGGGCGCCTTTGAGAAGATTGTGGCAGATCCGTGAGTGAGGCCCCGACTTCGGCCACGGCAGGGCTGGGAACGTTGGGAACATGTCCACCGGATAAAAGGGAGATGTCAGTCATCAAAGAGCGGGATGGACAGGATACATAATCGTCTGTTTTAATTTGTGTATCTCATTCCAGCCAACCAGGTGAAAAAGATAAAGTCGATGATTTCCAAGGAGACCGGGAATTAATTTGCTGTCAACTGTGCATTGGTGCCGCGCGGGGGCATCTTGCCTCAGCCTTACCGGGCAAGCTTTTGACTCGAGGACTCTCCACATGTTTAACATTCGATGACGCATTACATGAGACAATTTGAATGGGTCGAAACAATCATCTCTTATAAACTAATGACATCATCAGATTTCAATTAATCGTTGGTGTTACTGGCCGAAAACCCTCACCGCCCCCATCAACGCTTGATAATATGCTGCTGACGTCTAAGCGACAGTGAGGCATCCTTAGGAGACGGGTATGCACAGGATGGGCAATCAGAAGGCCTTATAAACATGTGTACAGCTCATTCGAAGGCGGCAGGCCAAACATGAAGGACCTGAAACCCTGCCTCTCGTTTTCAGATAGGTATCACGATGTCTCTACCAGAGACGAGCCATTATTCACGCCAACCCCCCTTGGTCGAAAAAAGACCAGCGTCCCCGTTCCCACTAGGCCAGCCTCATCATCCAATACCATGAATTTCACCGCCACCCACCCATACTCTTCCATAAATTGCGCAATCCCCTTGAACGCCTGCGCCATCATCAACCACGTCATACGTCCTCCCCTTCCCGGCTCGATTCTCATATACAACTCCCCTGACCAGAGAGTGAATGCCAACCGTTGGATTGGTGCATTACCATGGCTGGCCACAAGGCCGTCGACGACGTCGGATTGCCCTTGAAGAAGGATATCAAGGACGTCTACGCGCTCGATGGCTGGGCCGTAGTTGTGGAGGATTAGACTGGTAGGGGTGTTGTAGACGCGGATTTCTACAAAGATTTCGACGTCAGCATTGCTTCTTCGGCGCAGACACCTCGAGTTGCAAGACAGGTGTTGGGAGTAGAATCGTCCCTTTGCTCCCGGGAGTTCTGTCTTGTGACTCGATTTCGATACCAAAGACGAAGGCTTAGCTTCGAAATGTACGTACGGTAGGGATCCGGAGGAAGGGTGGAACTGGGGGTGGGTATGTTAGTGATCAGGATCGGTGGGTGGATGTAGTAGGGGTTGATGGGATGGTTTTGGCTCACAGGGATGCTGAAGTCAAAGTCGTGAAATTGGACAACAGATCAAGTCCATCAGTGGCGTTGATGGGAATTGTCGGTAGTGCTGCCACAGTCAGAGTACACAATTGGAGTAGGACGGCAAGCCAAAGTTCGCCGAAATGCTGCATTGCGATGGAGTCAGCTCTGGATTTAACAGCCCAAGATGGAGCAGAGCCGGGGGACTGGGGAACCACACCCTTAAATATGGCCCAACCGCATCGCTAATTTGGAACGCGATTTGCGGTGACGGTTCCGGAGCGTCGCTTTTTGGGGCAGGAGAAGAGCACAGTTTCAAACCTTTCGGCGCCTATAGAGACGCCTGTAGAGAATTGTCCACTGGCTAGCCTGGAGATGCATGGACTGAGAAACATGGTGTGAACAGAAGGCGCGATTTTGCACGTTGATAGACTGGGATGGACACTGTCATATTAGAGGAAATAAAGCCATTTACCGACTTTGCTCAGGCCTAAGGAAATTGATTGTTCATGTTTATGATGCTTTGAATTACAGGTCGCAGGGGTTTGTAGGAACAGTCTGACTCCGCTCTTCTCTTGCTCATGTACCTCAAGCTGTGCTAAATGGTGTCCCCGGACGTGGAAGTCGAAAGCAGTCCACCGGAAGCAAGACGCCCGCGGCAACACCTCGCAATGCCCGAAAATCGTCAAGTCGTAAACATGCAAAGGACCCACCCCTTAGTGCTGACTCCACTCAATGCTGTCAAGTGCAATGCCGTCCTGAACCAACTCCCACAAGGGACTGAGCTCCCTCAAGAATGTAACCCGCTCTTTCACTGCCTTAAGCACGTAGTCGATTTCGCTCTCCGTGGTAAACCTCCCGATACCGAAGCGGATGCTGCTGTGGGCGCTCTCGTCGCTGTTGCCGAGAGCTCGGAGGACATAGCTGGGCTCGAGTGATGCTGACGTGCATGCACTTCCGGATGACAGTGCGATGTCTTTCAGTGCCATCAGTAGAGACTCGCCCTCGACGTAGGCAAAAGAAACGTTGACGCAACCGGGGTAGAAACGTTCTGGATCTCCGTTCTGAGAAGTATGTTCGAGGGATAGCAATCCCTTCAGGAGACGGTCGGAGAGCATTTGAATCCGCTTGGAGTCGTACTAGTAGAGACAGTCAGTAAAAGTAAGCAGCGTTGGTGTGAGTCTCAGTACTCACCGGCATCTCTTCCTTTGCTATCCTGCAAGCTTCTCCAAAGCCAACGACTAACGCCGGGGCAAGAGTGCCGCTTCTCAGACCACGTTCTTGGCCTCCTCCACTGATGATGGGATCGATTCTGACCCTGGGGCGTCGTCGAACGTAGCAGGCACCCATGCCTTTTGGTCCGTAAATCTTGTGTGCGGAAATCGACATCAGGTCCACATTCCACTTGTCGACGCTGATTGGCATTTTCCCAACAGCCTGGGCTCCGTCTGTGTGGAAGAAGGTTTTCTTGGCTTTGCAAAGCTTGCCTATCTCCTCCATTGGCTGAATGACTCCGATCTCATTGTTTACCGTCATGATACTGACGAGCGCCGTGTCCGGTCGAATGGCCGCCTCCAGTTCCTTCAAATCCACCACTCCACTGTTTTGCACTGGCAAATAGGTGACCTCGAAGCCTTCCTCTTGTAGATGGCGGCAACTGTCTAGCACGCACTTATGTTCCGTTTGCGTAGTGATTATATGCTTTTTCTTCCCACTTCTTCCAAAGAACCTCGCCACTCCCTTGATGCTCATGTTGTTGCTCTCGGTTGCTCCGCTGGTGAAGATGATTTCCTTCGGGTCTGCGCCGATCAGATTCGCTACATGCTCTCTTGCCTGCTCTGTGGCTTTTTCGGTCTCCCATCCGTACGCATGTGTTCTTGAGTGAGGATTTCCGTAGAGGCCGGTGAAGAAGGGGAGCATGGCGTCAAGAACGCGAGGATCCGTAGGAGTAGTCGCTTGCATATCGAGATAAATTGGTCGTATTCCTTCGTCCATAATTGTAGCTTGCTTGAGGATACCCGCCGTCGGGCTCATCATGACATCCGCTGACATTCCTGTTCCTGGCATCGTTGCATTTTCTGGTAGGAGACCAGTCTGAGCTGTGAATGCCTTTTGGTCTGCTCTGATGGCTGTATCAACGCTCACTTGAGCCTTATCTGGCTTTGACTCTGAGACGTAGCATCGACGCGCTGCTTGATTTGCAACGGTTGCTCTAAAATGGGACGCATTTCTGATGAAGGAGCTCGAGGATGAGAGCCGCCTTGATGAAAGGCGTGAAACTTGCCTCAACGCTACATTTGCTGACTTTGCCATCGTAAGGAGCTCTACGATGGTGCGAGGAATGGGTGTAGGTGTGAGATAGATGCCAGTGCTCGCATTTCTGGAAAAAGCGAGCAAACGCCTTCAGCCTTACGTCAACTAGTTTCCGGATCGCCAAGAGTTCATCGCATCCTCACATACGAGTAGCAATCAGATCTGAAAACAATCTTTTGCATTGTATTATGTACACCTTGTTATGATCACACAGTTATGCTGCGAGCGAATTTTGGGAACTTGAGACCCTAAGTACTTGTGGTAGACCTTTTTTTTTTGAGAAATCTGCTGCTCTCGAATATGAAAAAGCGACCCGAACAGGAAGCAAGTCGAGCTGGTACCCTAAGCCACGACGACAACCTTCTAGAACGGCTTTTTGATGCTAAGAGATACACATCAGAAGAGAGGGAAAAGACTCTGCGAACTCATGCACGATTTTCAACGTCATAGTTCCACTGAAATCACGAAATAGCAACAATCAAATCGTTGAGCGACGAAGAGCCATTTTACATAGAAATTCATACCGTGACAATATTGGAGGTCAGTCACATTGCCAAAAAAAATCACTAAAAGTACAGTGTCAGCTGGTGCAGGTATGGAGGCTGCTTCTTGTCGTTGTATAACTTATGTGTTATACATTTCTTGTGCATAAATTCGGCGTCTATTTAGCGCGCTATCGGGAATCCGGAAGGCCAAGCCTCTTCACATCTCAAAGTCACCGGGAAGAGAAAGCACTCGAGATTACCGAACTATCAGGCAGAGCAGCTTACCATGAAGTACACCATCACAAAGAATCATCGCTAGCGGTACAGATTCTCCAACCAGAACTATCCTCACCGCCCTTAGCCTACGTATTCGCTGCGCTATGGTCTAAAAGCCAAGCCTCTGAGCATACATCATCTTGCATACGAGATCGTAGCTGTGCGCAGCCCGTCAGAGACCTACAACTCGCGAGGACCGCTGCTCGGTACCGTCGAACTTGAATTGGGAAACCTCCGGTGCATCTGATTGTGACCAGCTGATTGTATTCCCGGGGCACAATGAGTTTGAAGGGTTTCCAGAAGGCAGCTGTTCGGGTAAGCATTTGACGGAAAGATCTCCGGATGATGAGGAATGTACCTACAATACTGACACTGTCATCTCTGCCAGGCGCCCCAAACATTCAAGCAGAGATTCAACGTTGTGCGTATTTTCAACTTGACTATTCCAACCACGACGTTGGCTAGAGTCTAACCCTCGGTCAATAGGGCGAGCACACCAAGGACGCTGTCTACATCGATTCAGAGAGACGATTTCAGGAGCTCGAGAAGGCATGTCACTCCCAATGAAATGCTGCAAGTCCTTGCGACTAATAGGCATCCGTGGGCATAGGAGACGAAGAAATTACATGATGAATCCAAGAAGTGAGTTCATCTGGCTACCAACATCCATAAATTAAAGCTGAATATTGAAGATACTTCGATGCCATCAATGGTCTGTGCAACCCTCATAACGCTTCCATCGCGTCTGGCTTACCATCGTACAGGCATGCTAAATCACCAGATCGAGTTCTCCAAAGCTGTGCAGGAAATCTACAAGCCAATATCAGGGCGAGTCTCCGATCCGGATTCGATAATACCGGAAGGGAATCCTGAAGGTATCCAAGCGTGTGAGGAGTATGAAAACATTGTTAGAGAATTACAAGCAACGCTGGCGCCGGAGCTGGAAATGATACAAGCAAGGGTAATAGGGCCTGCAGACGAACTTCTCAACGTCATAAAAGTTGCGCAGAAGTCGCTTCAGAAAAGAGCACACAAGCAGCTTGATTACGATCGGCACCGAGCTACCCTAAAGAAGATTCAAGATAAGAAAGACAAATCATTGAAGGATGAAAAGGCGCTATACAAGGCCGAGAACGATGCGGAGCAAGCTACCCAAGAATTCAATTACTTCAATGACCTCCTCAAAGACGAGCTGCCTAAGCTGTTCCAGCTCGAACGCGAATTCATACGCCCGCTATTCCAGTCGTTCTACTATATGCAACTTAACGTTTTCTACACGCTTCACGAGAAAATGCAAAGCATCGATATTGGCTACTTCAACCTTACCCTCGACATCGAAGAAGCTTTTGATGCGAAGCGGGGAGATATTCGAGAACAGACCGAAGGCCTTTCCATTGTTAGATTCAAGACAACAGGAGCGAAAAAAGCTGGACCCCCGAAGTACGGCCCTGGCAGTAAAATGGCACTGGAGGGTCCAAGCAGCCGACTGGCAATAGAAGGAAGGAAATCATCCGACGCCCCAACAAGAAGATCCACCCACGACTTTGTGGAGAACCCACCTCCACCATACAATGCATCTGGATCCCCCAGCCTTAATGGCGACAGCTCCATGGCTCGCGCGAACAGCACCGGTAGTTCTTGGGGAGCAGCAGCCAAGGCCAAGGGAGCAGCCCCTCCTCCACCAAAGCCAAAGCCTTCACGATTGGCTGGAGCACCCGCAGTCGCTGATCGAGCTGAGGCCTTATATGACTACGAAGCACAAGCGGCAGGTGATCTGAGTTTTGCGACTGGAGATATCATAGAGATCATAGAGAAAGGGGCCACGGAGAATGAATGGTGGACGGGGCGTCTAGATGGCCGACAAGGGCAATTTCCAGGTACGTAATTTGGCTCTTAGTCAGATGAGTCTACAGCGGTGTACTGGATGCTAACATGACACAGGCAATTACATACGAATGCTATGATCTTGACGTTATCAGACCGCATGCTTAGACATTGACTGATTTTGGGAAAGGCCTGAACCGCCATAGATCGAATCCGTCATTCGGGCTTGGTCGGGTTATTGCTCCCGGCATTAGCATATCCCAGCATAGCCAATAGTTCTTCAACCACCATTAGCTGATAATTATAGCAAAGTAATGTAGTTGGATTACTCTGCATCTCCACGAAATGAGAGCCACGATGATCTCGATCTTGCAGCCCTATAATGTGGGGTACATTAGTTAGATAGTGGGGTGCAAGGCCGAGGTCTAAGGTATCCCCGGCTTTCGCAAATTCCGCCTGGAATTGAAAGGCAAATGCTCATTGTCTAGGTAAGTCTTATTGCTTTGCTCAACAAAGCTTTTATAACCACATTCTCTTTCTACCTTACACACCTTTTCAAATCCTTCAATTTCATTCCTCCGCCCGCAGCTTCCAATTCCACGAGTATCAAAAAGTACTCATGATTGAAGGATATACTGATTGCCACTCCCACGCACGCGCGTGACACACTTTCGCCATAAGACCAAGCCTGCTGAGCGCCCCTACCATTTCCAACCTTTTCAGCAACTCTCCACCCCTACAGCGGAAAGTCACAAGAACCCACTTTGACCTCCATGGCCTCCTCGAATACCACCGGCACATACTCCTCATCCTCCGCACTCTTACCCTCACCTTCCGCCAGTCAACCCTCCAGCCAACCCTCCCAAGACTTCCCTTCACAACCACAACATCGACACCGAACCTCAACTTCGTTACCGCAATCACAAGCACCAACTTCGCAATCACAACTCCAATCACAATCACAATCACAACAACAACCTCAACAACAACAACAACCAGGGCAAGCACAGCAGTATGGGCAGGATCCCAGTCAAGGCAAGAGCAAGGATTTCTGTCTGATAGCGGAGGCGGCGAAGAGAGCGCAGATGGCTTGTTTGATGAGAGATATGGGCGAGGTGGCGTTGTAACATCATTGGATATTCTACGCAGAAGGAGCCTGCATAACAAGGGTCCGATTTCGGAGCTCCTCGCATGGACCGATCTCGACTTCTACAGGCGGATACCTCCGGATGGCTCGAACTCCACATCAAGAACTGGACACAAATGAAAAACCCTTATGGATCGAAAATGAAGGATAGAGTGTGTCTGCAAATCGCAAAACCAAACTGCCTCGAAAGAGTTATCCTGGGATCATTACAGCGGGAAGGATTGCTTGTGCCACTATTTGTATCTGGGCGCGGGCGTTAAAGTATTGAAGACAAGGAATGCATTGGTATACCAGGAGGACAATTTTTGTTTCAGCGTTGGCAAAGCATTGTTTTTGGTGTCTTGCGCAGAGTGGACAACCTCGTTTGATTTTGCACTGTTGTATGTACATCATTCTTCTCATGATGCAACCTCATATATAAAACAAAGAGAAGTGGTATCACCCCTGACACCCCTTCGAGAACCTTGCTTTGAATCTCATATCAAGTCGCCGACGAGCCACATGCCAGGGCAGCTGCCATCCAGGAAAAACACTTTCTGCTTTCAACAACGTTGCTTGTTCAGGAAAGTTGGCCAACTTGCCACATTTGGCTTACTTAATCGCCAAGGCTTACATACCCTGCAATTGAGTGGCTCGAGTGGTCTTATTCAGGAACCCGGCGTCGCCGTCGTCATGGAATTCCCAGGGAGGTTGCTAAGCCCAAGGGATCCCGAAAGTCGACAAAGCCTTCTGCTCAGTCATCAAGCCTCGATTCGGGAGGGTTTGGACGACGTCTACTCGTAAATCCTGCAAAGAGTAAGAGGGACGCAAGCACTACAGGCCATCAGAAGCACCCAGGAGAGATGTGCTCCCTACAGGAACAGTAACCTTCCCTCAGGCTACTTTCGCCTTCGTTCCATGTGATTCAAGCATTGAAATACCCTTTTTGGTTAAAAAGTGGGGGGGGAGAGTATCTACACCTAGACAATTTGGGTCTTTGACCATTGGGGCAAACTAAGGCTCTTGGGGACCAAGCCGGCGAGCCTTACCATGACCTTTGCGTTCTTTTTGAATCTCTAGGTCCATTCAAAGCACAAGCTGGATTTAGGATGCGGACTGTTTTCGTAATGACTGTGGATGAAGCGAATACTTGCAACACTGCCGGTAGGTGTTTGGCTTACTGTGAGCATGTCGTGGGTTCTTGTACTTCTACAATACAGCGCAGGTAGGAAGTCGGAGCTGAAATTACCTCGATTTAAGCAGATTGCTTGCATCATTTACGACCTCTTTGTGGCTTTTTGTTTCTTTCTGATTTCAATTTGGAGTACCAATACTAGTATAGGTTACCGGACGGCTCAACTGGTGCTCGACTCCATTGCTGCCGCGTTCCACTAGTCCTCTCGGTCGACTCCATGATCGAAGAGTCTAAGGACCCCGTTCGCTTCGCCAATACCTTTCCTTAAGTTCCACTGGCTCGGTGGTTTGAAAATTGAGAGTTGCAGGTCAAGCTTTCCCGGGCAAGCGCAAGAGTCCTTGAGCGCCACAACTCCCTCAAATTCAATGTCCAAAATTCAATGGACCCTTCAATCTCAAGCCCTCAACCCTTTGAGCCAAAGAGCATTCGACAGTTCGCATTAAAACCGAATAGCAACCTCTACAGATACTGTGACTCGAGAGCCAGATCCTCCGGCATTTCCTGACCAAATTCGTCAGTGTATTACTGCTTGGTCTCTCAAAAATGCTGTCGCTCATGCGGAGATTTTCCCGACGCCATGTTACAGATGCAAGCATCATTCGAAATGACTCACGAAAATGTTTACTGGATTACGCCGAACAGGAAGAGATCGATGAGAAGTCTGTATGGGAAACGAATTCGGACACGACGCAAGACAAAGCTACGCAGGTCACCGAGTCAACACTGCGGGCTAAGGATGTCCAAATACCTGAAGCTTCTTGTCCGCTTGAAATGCTTCCTTTAGAAATAATTCGACACATCTTTGGGATGCTGGACGTTGTCTCGCTCATTTGCCTTAGAATGACCAACCAGCGGCTGCGTCATCTCACCACTGTCAAAAGGCTACAGCTCCACCGGTGTATAATGTGGAGAGTCAAGTGTCTGTTAGAGAAAGACTCGAGGGCTAGAGGCGTTCCTTTACCTCAAAGGCTCGTCTGTGCCTTCTGCAAACGCACACATCATCAAAGAATGTTCGGCTTACCTGGGTCTGATGTGGGATATGGGATTGAGTGCTTGAATATGACAGAAAGCGATCCAGAAATTCGGCATTGTTGGCTTCATATGCCGAAGAGGTTCTGCTACTCTCCAATATTTCGGGATTCTCAACAGGAGAATTGGGCTCGATCCTTGGAACGAGAGCGCTGGATCCGCACCCTTCATATGACGTGTCTACATTGCGGTACACGACTGGAGAATAACGTCCAGTCAGGAGAAGAAGAATGCCCTGCTTGTACGCGCAAATGTGATGTATGTGGATACATCGAGCTCCCCATCCTCAGCAGGTTCGGTCCGGAACGTCGGTTCGAGAGCTTCAAGTGTCTACGACTGGTCAAAAGAAAGAAAGCCGGATTTATGTTGGAGATGGAGGATCGCAACAGCATTGGCCGAGAGCCCAAAGGCGTCAAGTATTCCCGACATTCCTTCATCGACACTGATGTCAGCGAGAATGACTTATACTGCGCATCACGAAAATGAGTCTCTACGCGGCTACGCCCTTTGATTCATCATCATCACTGCCGCTGTCAGGAATGGCTATGACAATCGCGAACGCCGGCACCTTGGCGAAGATATCGCTGTCACGGATAGGCCATCGAGCTGGGATAGCCCTCAACGAAACACAATTCAAGATGACAGCGACTGCGAGGAAGGTCGTCGTTTTGGCTCTTGCTTAACAAAGCGCTGTCAACTCATGTATTCCAACAAGCTTGAGTAAATATGCAGGCACACTAAGCTATCTTGTCAATGCGTATTGCTGGTAAAACGCTTGTGATAAGCTCCCAGCGGATTTCAGCGTGTACAGGTGTATTTGGCATTGAGAAAACCGCGAACCCCTTTCGGTACCTATTACACCCAGCCTTCAGTAAGAGGGTAGATGTTTAGATGTGAAAATCAAACAGATTGCTGTTGAAGTATTTTTTTCTATCTAAACCCTGAAGAAATGTTCAAATTTGCGCATTTTAAGAACTGGTGAACCAAACGCTAATTGTCTCGGCAAAGACCCTCGGACCGAGCCGAACCACTGCATCTAATTGTGTAGAGTGTGTGAGAATCTAGAACCCCTCCTCCCTCAAGTTCTCAACCCATCAATCGATCATATCAGCTAAATTGCTTTCCCAACAATGTGTCGGTAAGTTCAACGCCTCGAGCTCTAAACAATCGAGGTCCCCCGCTGATTGGAACTACGGATGGTTCGCGTACGTCTCAGAGAGCGAGGAATGCCTTCTGGAGGATGTTTTGATAGCACCCGTGTGTCACGCATTTTTGGACAATCAAGAACGTTTGCACGCAAGCAGTAGCTGACTCGTCGTATCCGCTAGTCTCATTCTCTCGCTAAACAAGTTCATGAGCAGTATGTTCTTCGTGTATCACTCAACTCTGAGCTCTTGAGGCTAACCCTGCATCACAGCTATCTTCCCAAGCTGCTTTCCCACGACCCAAACGAGATCACCACGGCGCATGAGATCACAGCTCGCAACCGCCTCTTCAATGTCGATGGTTTCGGGGTTGCTTGGTACACGGCGACCGCGGCAGAGTTCAACAGCGATGGTATAACTGCAGAGCAACCTGGCCTCTACAAGAACGCTCAGCCTCCTCTCCATGACACCGACTTCCGCAGCATCTGTGCAAACACAGCTAGCAAAGCCGTCTTCGCTCACATTCGTGCTGCTACAGCCACCCCTGTTACTGCGGTCAACAACCATCCTTTTGTCTTCGGTCGACACACCTTCATGCACAATGGAGAAATTTCTGACTTCTCCAAGATCTGCCGTGGCATGGCCGATCTAATGGACGATGATTCGTACGGCAATGTACATGGGTCGACAGATTCTGAACATTTTGCGGCACTGTACATCACATACCTTACAGATGGGAAAGGCCGGAAGAGCTGGGAACAGCAATACACCGTCAAGCAGATGCGAGATGCCATGAGAAAGGCGGTTGGCACCGTTGTGAAGCTGCAGCGAGAAAAACTTGGAGACAAGGCAGAACCCAACAGCCTGAACCTGGCAGCGACTGATGGCAGCCAGCTTGTTGCTTTCCGGTTTCGGAATCATGCGACCGAGCAGCCACCTTCGCTGTACTATTCTACCAAGGCAGGCGTTACATTGAACAGGAAATATCCCGATCAGTGAGTGGAGGCGGCTTTCGGCGCTGCATTGCCTTTGCGATGGTACATGCTAATGGAATGGTAGCCCTGACGGGAAAGAAAATCCTCTCGCACACAAAAAGGCCGAAGATCATGGTAGCCATGTGATCGTTGCCAGCGAACCTTCAACGTACAACTCGAAGGAATGGGACCTTATCGAGAAGAACCATTGCTTGATGGTGGAGACTGACGGTAAAGCCCAGATCGAGAAGCTGGAGTATCCTCAAGAATGTATGTGTCTGTCTTCGGAGCATTGTCCTTCTCATTGTTATGGCCGTTCAGGTTGCAAGAGTTGTTCTATGACCCATGAACTTTCCTCCGAGGTGTCATGCTGATTCCGAAATTATACAGGGAATGCGACGATGAATTAGTGGCATCGCTTGACTGGAATGGCGCAGACAATTTGAACCGATTGACCCGTGTCGTTGACCGGACATTGATCTGGAAATGAGGTTTGCCCCGTGTCTAGTCTTGAGGAAACACTTGATATACCATATTATTCCAAGTGCAGTCTCGGCTAGATGCCACTGTTTCATCCCACAGACCGAACCTTCGTTTTATTGCTCGTCGTGCACAAGACGGGCTCGCAAAGCACGTCTCAGGAAACTATTGGACGTAGGCACCGGAAGGCGGCCCAGAGATTCCGAATTCTGGTATGATCGATGAGCAACATCCTTGTGAGTATCCAAGAGCACGTCCAAACAATAGTCTAGTCCAAGAGAGACGGTATGGGAAAGGCTGCCCATTGCGCAAGCAGCCCCACGTTTTGCTCTTTGACCACTGTTTCACATCGTCATATCTCGTCTTCCTTCCGAGAGTACGTCTCATTACCAAGATCGTCAAGCAGCGCGCGTTTCATTTCTCTACGTGCTCCCGCTCCAAAATATTCGGGAAGATTTACTTGCTGTATAGGCGCCATTAGGCCTATTTCTTCGAACTTTCCATAAGCGCGTCCACTGAGACACTTGCGCTTAATCAACAAGATGATATTTTCCTAGTGCTAAGTCAACTGGAAATATCGCCTTCTGCCTTCACGATTTGGTACCCAGCAATCTGGCAACTCTCGCGGCTAAGAATTTCGTGGTTGGTCGACTTCCAATTGGCTTGTGGACTTAGATACTCATGGCGCTGTCGCGTTAGAACCTTTCAAATCTTACATATGTCCAAGTCAAAGGGGACGGTTCATGAAACCCCCATTGATTGTGGGTTCAAAGCGATGGAATACATGCCCATCGTCCGTGGGTCCAGGGACAGACGAGACGTTTGAGCTTCTGCACGATACGTTCCATAGTGGCTCACTCGTAGCATTTACACATCTCTCTATTGTCTATAAGATACTCCCAGAAGCCGCAAAAATGTTCCTGACAGCTGCGCTTCGGTTTCGTTTCTCTTCTCTCGGCCTCCGCAGCCGCCTTCCCTTCTTTCGTCAGGTCTCAGTCTTTGTCTCGGTGTCACAATGCGGCTCACACACACTCTAACAGCCGCCTTCGCCATCCTCGCCAACGCCCAGCGATATCGCCCATACGGCTACCAGTATCAGGAAAGGGACGCCACGCAGGTCGTCGGCTCCGATACCGGCTCCGCTTCCGGCACCGGCGCCACCGACTCCGGCCCCTCTAGCAACAGCGCCGCAGCCTCGACCGCGTCGTTCACCCAATACTCCCCCTGCGACGACCCCAGCAAAACATCCTGCGCCTGGTACAGCAGCTCCGGCTACAACGCCGCCGTCTCCCAGGCCGTCTACGGCGGCTACCCGGGCTCCGGCCCAAGCGGTGCCTGCGGCGTCTGCTGGAAACTGACCCCCGAATACGCCGGCGCGAACGAGATCGTGGTCAAGGTCAACAACCTGTGCCCGGACGACGGGAATGCCCTTTGCGCGCAGGCTGAGAGTGAGTTTTCCTATTTTTTTTCGAATCCTGAGTTGGAAATGGGGAATCGGAGTCGCTGATTGCGGGTTTCTTTCAGATGTCGATGTCAATTTCGACCTGTGCAAAGACAGTGGCGCCGCGGCTGCCCTCTTCGGCAGTTCGGGGACGGAGCAGGTTAACGGGACGGCGGTTGTTGTGGATTGTTCCGAGTGGAGTGGCGGTGCTGATGTTTGTCTGCCGGGTGTTTCGTCCTGTTAGGTTGGGGTTGCTTCATCTCTCTCTCATGACTGGCTGGCTGGTGAATGGGCGGCGGTGGGCTGGTGAGCATCGCTGGACTGTGATTTTGAAGTGGTGCCCCTGGTGGGCACATCCTCTACGAACGGGGCGTGATCTTTTTTTTCTTTTTTTTTTCTTATTGGCTGTTGACGGCCAAGTACGATTGCTGGCATTAATTCATCGAGTAACATATCTATGTAGCTTAGCTTTAACGCGCAAACAGTCAGGGCACGGTGCCGAACAGAATCCCCTTTCTACTGCTCTTGTCCAATCACTTGTAATGTATTTGTAAGGATAGAACCAACAGCGGAGCCAAAAGAAAAGCTTGAGAATCGCAGGTAGCCCAACCACTACTGTGAAATTTCTAGCTTAGGTATCAAGAAGCGAAGACCGCTTCTCCTAACCCCAACCAGCATCGAAAACCCCTCGAGGTCCCTCCCCGGAATATGTGCCACCGTATTCGGCTACTTGTCTACAGCGAGCGGGTTTCCCAAACGTAAAACGTTCATATCACGGGGGAGGCAGCCCCGGCCATTCCGGTGCTGGTTCTGGCGATCCCACCTTGCTACCTGAATGTTAGATTGCTCGGCTCGATCAGCGCACCGAGGACGCATCAGGTTCTTTTCAATAACTGCTGGAGTCGACTGTTGTTGCCGTCGTCGAAGTTGGCAGCGTCGCCGGGGTCGGAGGGTTCAGAATGGAATGGTCCTGTGGCAGGGGAAATCTAAAGGTGCGTATGTGGTGTCTTTGGTGAAGGTTCGTGAGGCGGGATTTGGAGAGGCGAGGCTGAGGTTTTTGGAAGACTGGTGGGGTAATAATGGGTTTTGGTATTGTGAACGAGTCGCTCTGGTTTGTCCTTGGCTGGCTGCGGTTCTTTTATTCCTGTATGACCCATGGTTTGTAAGTATTGTCGGAGGCTTGAGTAAGAATTGATTACCTGTGATGCAACGCTAGGCCGAGGTTGTCATGAAAAGGCTGTATAGACATTATTGCCAGTTAGGAGAGGAAGACTATATACACCGAGCTAGGGCTGCCATTTTGCAATTCAATTGGTCTGATTTGGACTATGGCTGTGTTGGGATGTATATCTCTTTGGCTGCAACGCGTATATGCTGTGGCAAAAGCTTAGATGGTATTTGAGTATCACGAAGCCGGGCAGAGCTGAGCGTGGGTAGATGATGTGTAACTGTGGGCCCTTCACATGTTTCACGAAAGGTCAAAATGAAGCGCTGTCCTCGCGGTAAGGGGAAGGTTGCATCCAAGTAGTGAGTATCATTCAGCCCAGATCTGAAGCATGGAACGCTTGATTCCCTGGGCTAGAAGCCAGCATGGTGGTGTCTCCGCGTAGCTAGCCAAATGCCTTATGATAAAGGCCAACCCTTGGGTCACATTATAGTCTGGAGAGCCTCTGAATGATAGCACAGTCCCAGGGTTTGAAGTGGACCCAGCTTATGGTCGTGTCTCAATGAGATCCTTCCATCTCACTTCATACCCAAACACTGTCCTCCTCAGCAGCTCGTCTCCCTCGTCCTTCTCGAACATGACCTTCTCCATCACCTCCTCTACCACTTTGTCCACCTCCAGGCCCTTGTCTCTGCATAGATCGAAAAACGCCATATCTTTCTCGAGTAGCCATGGCCTGTAGGGCGTGAAGAAGACCAGAGCTCGAGCGTCAGCGGTGCGAGCGAGCGTATGAACGATAGTTGACACGAGGGCGTTGTGGCAGGAGTGATTAAAAAGTAGGTCTGCTAATAGCAGGACGTCGAATCTTTGATGGGATAGCGGTAGATGTGCGAGGACAGATTCGGTGGAGGAGCCCCAGAGGTATCCCTCAGCTGCAACGGTAGTAGCAGGCTGCGGCAGTAGAGAGCAGGTAGCGATGTTCTGTGCGAGGTTGTCGATCAACTCTGCATCCGGGTAGTCCGTCACGACCACCTTCTGGGCACCGAGTATGGCTGCCACAAGACTGGGGAGGCCTGCGCCTGCGCCCAGCTCGAGGATCGTTTTACCGTGGGCTAGGGTGGGGGCATGCTGTTGGAGGTAGGTGGAGAGGACTTGGCTGCCGTTCCAGAGGTAGTGGCCCTGGATGGCAGGTCGGTCAGCTTGGCGGTTGAGGAGTCGAAGGGTCAGTCATGTGTAGGTACCCACAAGGGATTGTGCCCTACGAGGCGCAGGCGTAGCTTTTGTCCAGAGAGCAGGGTGTAGTCGGTGTGTGTATATGGCTCCTCGGGCTGGAAGTAGTCATCGGGCTCTTGAAACATGGCATTATTAAGATTGTCGTCCTCATCAGAGGACATTGTTGCCTTTCGGGTGTTTAGGTAGATATTGGGAGTTCTTTACTCGTCTCTGGGAAAAATTACGGCAGTTGGACGCTAACAATGGTCACGGGATAGAGAACCTAAGGTGGAATCTGTGTGCAAACGCTCTCTGGGTTCCGTATGCAATGTTTAATCTAGCTTGGTATAACGCTCCCGCCGCATTCATTCATGTAGGTTCCTTCATCGTCTCAGCGTGCAATTCCATGTCGCTCGCCTAAGCATCTGCCTGCTTCTGGATATCGTGCTCAGCGCTCCTCTGCTTCGTCTTAGCATCATCATGCTTCAACTGCTGTTCTTGCCTTCGTTTTTCAGTGTCAGCATTTTGATTTGAAGATGGAGTTCAAGCTACAAGACAGGTCTGGAGACTAAGATCCCGTCGAGACATGTCCTGAAATCCGAATTTCGATAGAATTGAGACAAAATCAATACGGAAAGTAGACTCACTGTTTCTCACTATCCCCTGTAATGCCAGCCGCTATTCCTCCAACCGTACCACCAACGCGGTCCTTCAATCCATGGCCGTAGTCTGAAAGCTGGCCCTCAGCTTCTGTACCTTTTCCCTGAGCGTTCTGCTGCTGGCCTTCCTTCTTTAACCCCTCGGCACCAAATAAGCCGCCGACAGCTTCTTTAGCAGAGCCCATGGTCTGGTCGTAGCTGCCCTCGGTACGGCGTGGGTCGTCGGATGAGATGCCGCCAGAGGAGGATACTGCATACGGGCCAATCTTGCCGATGGTGTGGGAGGCATCCTTCTCGGCTGCTGCATGGTCTTTGGTAACATCGCCCTTAGCCTACAGAAAGTGTCAGCTGTGTTATTTCATAGTATTTCCTTTAAGAGTGATGACCGAAAAAGGGACAGAATAGACAGTATCTTTGGCGGACTCGTGGGTTACATGGGGAAATTGTACAGTAGCGGAAAAGAAACCCTCGAGGACATGGAAGATTGTAACACTAACCTGGTCAGCAGTATTGCCGGTGAGGCTTCCCAAGGTACTCTGAACCGTGCCAGTGGCAGAGTCGATGTACGATTTGAGAGAAGAGGTTTGGTTGTCAGACATATTTGGTGTTGAAGGTAGGGATTGGGAAGATTGGTAGAGTGGTGGTGATGAAGATGGAAGTTGTTTTGTGTTCCGTAAGTAGGTGTAATAGTGAGGGCAAGAAAGAATGGGAAAGAGAAAGGAAAGAGATTAATGCTCGGGCGTGTTTACTTTTGACTCGCAGAAGCGAGGGGCAGGTGGGGCAGAAACCAGGGTCTTTTGACAGGGCTTGGCTGACGTAGCGGGGCATGTCAAGGTCATGAGATTTCTGTGACATTCCCATCATCTAAGACAACACCATCACCAACGTCGCGCAGAAACCTACATTATGGTGACATAGAGCAATCACCCGGAAATGCCTGTACGTAGACTTGCCATCTCTTGACTCGCACGCATCACTGACAGATGCAGCTGATCCTCATCTCAGGCTACCCTGCGTCAGGAAAGACCTATCGTTCCAATCAGCTGGTCGAATCCTTCAAGTCCAAGATACAAGCTTCTTCAGATGCACGAATCAGCCGCCTGAAAGTCTGCCATATCAATCATCAGTCTCTTGGTCTCGATCGCCACGTCTACCGAGAGGCTCGAACGGAGAAGGATGCCCGCGCTACCGAATACTCCGCGGTGAAGCGAGCTTTGGGAAAGGATACCGTCGTCATCGCCGATAGCTTGAACTACATAAAGGGATTCCGCTATCAGCTGTATTGCGAAGCAAAAGCTGTGCACACCCCAAGCTGCGTGGTCAGCATTCGCTCAAGCGTTGACTCATAGGACTTAGGCTGATGAACCTAAAGGTCCACGTAGGAACGCCCATTAGTTCATGTCGAGAGATCAACACGAGGATCCTTGAAAGCGGTAGCAAAGACGATGGCTATCCGGTGGACATCTTCGACAACCTGGTCTATAGGTACGAGGAGCCAAACGGCATGACGAGGTGGGACAGTCCGCTCTTCACGGTCCCTTACGATGACGAGGCTCCACCATGCCAGGATATATGGGACGCTATGGTTGGTTCCGAGGGCAAAGCAAAAACAGTCAAGCCGAATCCGGCCACCGTGATGGTAGGGTTGCAAATTTCCCCACAGGTACAATAAAAAGAAGCTCATTTACCATCGCAGAAACCCGCCACCGAGTCAGATTACCTTTACGAGCTTGACAAGATCTCGCAGGGAGTATTGAACGTGATTATGGAATGGCAGAAGGATCACCCGGGCGATGGAGGAGGGGAGCTTGCAATAGCCGAGGGCACCATCGAATTACCTGCAAACCCGGTCTCATTGCCACAACTGCAAAGACTTAGACGCCAATTTATATCACTCAACCGGCTGCATAATCTTCCCAAGGCCAGAATCAGAATTTCTTTCATTGAATACCTGAACGACAACCTCGTTTGAGACTTCGCATGCTCTTTTGCGACTCAGTCTGCTGCAATTTTGCTGTGTTGGAGAAAGGTGGCAATCGAAGTGAACACATTCGAGTTGCATATTGATCCTCCGAAGGCCGATCCGCAAGGGCTCCGACCAACGCAAATGCTCATTCCAGGGAATTTCCCACCAGCAGCCAAGTCTGTCAGCCAGAAAACCTCGCTTGCTGCACCGTTACAGTGACCTGTCCAGCGAGCGGTATCTCTCTATGATGGTCCAGCAACCACGACACCATCGAACCCCACGCGAAGCAAGGAAGCTACCAGGGTCAATCTCGGGAAAATCCTCGTACCAACGAGTCTTATCCACCAAGCATGTGTCCTCCTTGCCCAACGGCCTAGCTTTCTCACACCCTCGACATCCGAAAACCTCTCTTTCATTAACCTTGAAATTGCGCTTGTCGTGAGATCCCTTGTGGATCGCACAGCTGATGCACAGGCGGCCCTTGTTGAGTAAATTGCGTGCCGCTGCGTCACTGAAAACCCCCTTGTCCAAGAGTTTCTTGCAGCCCGAGCAACCGAATGTCTGGAGCTTGCGGCGCCTGCGAGCTTGTGTCTCAAAAATCGAGTGGTACTGTTGCCATTCCGAAGCCGATAGCTTGGGCGGATCTTTGGTCCACGTGTCGATACCCTTGCAGACGAGCTTGAGGTTGCAGAGAGAGACGGCATCAAGCTTGCCTGCAATCATGCTCTGCAGCTCGGGAGGCATTTCCAGGAGCCGAGATTTGCTACTCAGAATTAACACTTCGTCCACTGAACATAAAAACCACAGGAATTTCTTACCCTTGCTTCTTTAAGCGCCTCATTTTGGGTCCCATGCTTTGGAATCTCGCTCTAGCGTGATGTCGCGATTCGTGCTTAAGATCTGCTCACATAAGACTCATTTAGTTTGCCGTTTGGAATTGACTATAGGTCATTGCATCACTCTCACCTATGTAAGTAACAGTGATCGGAGATGCAACCTAATTGAGACGTGCAGGAGGAAGAAATTTGCCCCAACGTTGAAGTCTGATGCGGAGACTGTGTGGGTACTGTAGGAGGAAGAGTTCGGTTCAAGGGGTTCAATGATGGGAAGGACAGCTTTGGTACTTCACTTCTCCCATTCACTGCTGCGGAAGACTTTCAAATTCACAATTTATGATTTCTTCTCGTTGCACACAGTGCTTGCGCTTTCAGTCTTACGCGCTATTGCTCGTTGATCTTTCCTCCCGTCTGTATTTTTTGAATTGCTGCTGAATATCAATGGAGTAAGATCTCATCCCTTAGTTTGCCGATCTCGTAGTTTTGCAGAGATATCGATCGTTAGGGGGTATCATTTGGCTCAAGTGTGACAAGCATCAACCCGTTTCGCTTGCAAGCTTTTCGATTGTCACATCTCTGTCAGAGCATTTCGTATCGTCTAATGTACAAGAATTTTCCTATTATCCCATTTGTACAGATTGTTCTTGTGAGCGACTTTCCTTCCATAAAATACATTCATCGGTCCATTTCCTCCCGCCCGGCTGAATTAAGCTGCTTCTACCATATAATGCCTCTCATCTCGTGTTGACCCGCTTTTGTCCCAATGCTCATAGCCTCAATCGCCATCTCAACGCCGTTTCGCAGCTTTGATCACACAGATCGGGCCACGCAGCGAGAAATTCCCTACCATTTCAGACCAGTCTCGCATTTACATACATCGTCACCACCCTCCAACATCCCTTGCACCACCTTTTGCTCCCCGTGTCCGCCCGACCAACCCCAGCGTGCACCGGCATTCCCGCCTCGCGGTCCGTATACACCGCCTCCTCCTCCACCTTCCTCGGCTCCGGACACGCAAAGCAAGAAAAACACACCTCCTTCCCGTGCAGAAAGTCCCGCACGTTGTAATACCCTTCCATGACCCCGCACTTGAAGCACACCCGTCCCTCCAGCCTGTCGCACTTCCGTTTCGCCTGGCTGTCTTGGAAGCTGGCCGGCGGAAGCAGCTTCATGCAGCGCGAACAAGCCAGCCTGATGGGCGCTTTCGTGCGCCGCGCGGTGGTTTCGAAGTCCTGGTGGAAGCGGCGCCAGGCTTGTTTGTCGAGGGGCGGGGCGGGCTTGGTGATGGCGTGGAGGGAGTGGCATGCGAGGTGCATGTTTGCGACGGAGGCGGCGGGTAGGTGGGATGTTATTTCGGCTATCATTTCGGCCGGTAAGCTGAAGAGGTTCGCGGCGGGCATCTGGAGGCGTTGAGCTCTTTGTGTTCTGGTACGCTTGAAGCGGGGGAAGCTTGCCTTGTGTGGTTTCTCTGGCGTTGTTTTTGTTGAAGGCGTTGGGTACTCGCGGGGACGGTTGAGGTTCAAGATGTGTACTTTGGAGATGCAGGGTAAATTCTGAAGGCGGCCGAGATCGAAGTTGTGTCAGTTGGAGGCCGTTGGGTACTCTTGGGGGCTGTCCAGGTCGGGAGATTTGCAGGTTGGAGGGCGTTGGGTAAGCTTGGAGGTGGTCGAGGTCGGAGATGTGTAGGTCGGATAAGAAGTCGATGAAGGTCGGACGGAGAAGATATACTCGCTAGCGTGGCGCCAGCAGTATTCACCGTCTTGATTCACATATTTTTTGATTCACTGATCCGATTCCCCAATTCGATCTATCATGTCGATTCTTTATTTTACTTCACTAATCCGATTCACCGGTTTATCCAATTCACTGTTCGCGGCGTGGATTTAATAGCAGATATCACGCAAACCGATATGGTATGTCCAGGGGGATAATCCCTGAAGATATTGCACGTTGAGTGGCTCCTTCCCCCGAAAACGATGTATATCTATTAGGATCGATCCTTCGGAAGGTCAAAAAGTTTGTACATTTGTTGGGGATACTACCTGAAGTTCAGGCGCTTTGAGTGGCTTTGTCCCTGAAATCGTTGCATTTTTTCGGGTTGGGGGTTATCAGAAATTTGACATCACATGTCAAGAGGCTTCTGACCCAAGACTGTTACGTGTCTTTAGAGATAATGTCTGAAGATATCACGGGTCGAGAGTGTTTGCAAGGCGATTGCGCTCAAATTGTCACGGATCTAGAGTCTTCAAGACACAGAGCTTTTCATTAACAGTCCCTAACAGTGGCACACATTGACGGTTTCATCTCCAAAAGCGTCACACGTTTATAAGTGGGTGTTCATCTAACCACTGAGAGCCATCTATTTTCCATGACTGTTTTTTGCTACTCATCAGGCATATCCAGAACGTGGAATCATCGCCTATTTGGCGTTCCAAGAGATGGAACAGATATCTGCAAGGATAGGTATGTTTCGAGTACCTAGGATGGGAGACAACGCAGGTTACCCTTTTGAAATAAGTCCTTTCTTCGATTCTTGAGGTATTGTTCGGACAAGAAAGCGGTGGATGTGTGCGCTGGCTGTGATGAAAGCAAGATGTGTGGTTGGAATGCTCGACGCTGCTGTCGAGGGCGGAACTGAACTAGGGTACAAGACGCCAGATGCTCATGTCAGGATGCTTATTTAAGTGTAGTGGTCTTTCCGAAAATGGATAACAATTACGTGCTAGGGTAAGTTGATGCTAAAACAACGTGAGAAGTGGGATACCACCCCACGCTCAACAGAACGCATTCGCATCGATCGATTTTTTTTCTCCAAAACATGAGTTATCGCATATCGAAGCAAACCACCACCAAAATCAACGCAAACAAGATCAAAAAAATCGCCACCGCACCCGTTCCAGCAGTATCCGACTCGCCCGCCCGCCCAAACAATAAGCCCGCCGAAGATATCCTTCGCTTTCGTGGACACAGCCTGCTTTTCCGCGTCGGTGGTGAAGTCGGCATCCATGATGGATTGGGAGATCGATTCGACGGCCGTGTACGGCAGCACGTAGGGGTAGTCGGTTCCGAGGAGACGCTTGACTTGGTTGTAGAAGACGGGACCGGCGCTGTCGTACCAGAATCTGGAAAGGGGATGAGTGGTGCTGCCGGGGGGGGGAGGTGGGAGATGGTTCGGCATTGGAGAGCCCATGGGGTGCATACCGCGTGTTGTAGATTTCCTTTGACGATGTCTCTACGGCCGGTGGACGGGATTTCGGAAATCGGTCCTCGACGCTTGGCCAGGCGTCTCCTTCATGGGTAATTGGTAGTCGATGTGTGTGAATTTTTGAAGGGTTTCACTCGATGTGAGGCTTATGACGGTGCGGGCGGCGTCGAAGCAGAATTCCGCGAAGAAGGTGGGATAGGGTGCGCCCAGCAGTAACGTGCCGAGATGACCGAATGGTACATTCGCGGAGAGTGGTTTATGTGTCAGATAAGATGGTACGATCGTCATCTCTCAAATAACGAGGCCCTATGGTTTCCTGCCTTCAAAGGAAGAAGAGGGAAACAAGAGGCCTGGTTTCCTTGGGGACATGAATATTTACCGCAGCAGCTTTGCAGGAAAATAAAAATCGTGGAATCATGTCCTCTAGAAGAGAGACATTGATGACCGACCGCTTTTGTGACAAGGAAAGATCGTGGACCCATGCCTGCCCAATGTTGGGGATGTCTTTGTTTACCCACTCGTGCAATGGAATCTCCGTCACCAAGCTCTTCAATTGGCATCTTTAAACCGCGTTTATCTCACGAGCGCTTTGATTTCGAACTCGATCCCATCCTTCCTAAGGAACAATGGGGCTTTTGAGCAGATGTTCTCTGGCTCCCTTCTTTGGGCAAGTTTCATCCTCATCCCTTGTGCCAAAGCCACAACCCTCAGTGCAGTTTACTCCGAGGAACGCGTGGCCTTGGAAGGAGTCTGCAAGCCATCAGAGCTGGGGCGGACCTCGACCGCCCGGAGCATCCTTGGGCTGGGGAATGAATGAGAATAGAGGGAACAAATGAGAAAGAAAATACTGCTTTGGGGTTAAATGAGTGACTTGCCATTTTGGAATTCACATACGCCTAAGATCAGCGGCATTACACGTCGCTCATAACAGTCCCCACGCCATCCGCATCTCAATCCAGTCGGAAAATCCACTGGAGTCCCGCAGCTTCTCCAAATTTTAAACGTCGATGTGAGCTTTGTTCATTGGAGGAATATGTTCGCTCGAGTGAAACGATGGCTTCTGGTGCTGGTTCCAAAGAGCCGAGGAACCGTTGCTCCCGTGCGTCATGGTAGAGGCCTGCTGTTGCCCCGTCTTGTTCATAACGATATCAGATGGACTCTCCTGGGATGCTTTGCTCTTTCTGCTGAAGAAGAAGATATAGCGGGAGGTGGCATCAGAATGACCCTCGGCATTGCCATCCGGGAGGCGTTGGTGTTTAGCACGCTCGGATTTCTCGAAAAGGGATGGAAATGAGGCGAGACATGCAACTATTATGGCTGTTTGAAGAGCAAATTGTAAGCTTGTGCGAAACAGTCTGCTAAGGCCCATAGAATCTGCCAAGGACCATATTGAGGAACTAGGGCAGAGCTAACTTACAGACTGCTTGTTCGATTGAGCTCCACATATAAAGCCATGTCTCATCCAATTCTTGACTATAGGAGCTCACCACGATTGCGCGTATGATAGCAAAAACCATGATAATAACTGTGATGCAGAAGATGCCGCCTAAAGCAAACTTCTTTCGAAAACTCAGCTGGACCTTCCAGAGTAAGTTGATGGGAACGAGGATGACTGGTAGGCATTGTCAACGGGCAGCTCCAAGGGAAAGTTCGAAGGGTATAACGGACTTAAAGCGTCAGTGACAACATCGAGAATCATATTACTGCGCAGTGTGTCCCGTTGATATCTGACTGGCCCTGACGTCATCGCACAATGGGCTGATGTGAGTTAGTCAATGCTATGTCTAAGGGGATCCAGTACTTACTCTCAATATACATGAAGGAAGAAGCAAGACAGGAATACTCAATAGTACCCAGACAGGTCACATACGAGGCGAGAGTAATTGCCAGAACAAGCCACCACACTATACGCTGATTCCTCACATTATGCCCAAGTCGTTTGAAGAAGACTAGAAAGGAGAACTTGACACTCCAGAGACCGGTATAGAAGAAAACGATCACAGCGACAGATCTTCGCAGGTACTGTTCCGCTGCGTGTGCAAAACCGGGCGGCGGTGGATAAAGTTGGCCAGAAGACACTGCAATGTTCTCGTAAAGGGCGTCTTGGCCGAATTGCCACAGTATGGTATTGATCAGGAGAACAATCCAAGCAAAAAAAACCAAGCCATCATCTGCATGCAATCGGCCAAAGACCTTCAATCGGACTATGATACGGAAGGTAAAGAAGAGTACCGTAAGGGCCACGCTTCCCCACGCAAGGCCCTTTACAGAAGTCAGAAATACTCGATTTGGAGTGTTCCAAAACCACGTGTTGACGTACCATGAAAGTGGATTGGCCAATCCTCGCAGGACTGATGTGCGCGGCCGGCAAAGCTGAAGCCATTGTGGACATTGGGCTCTTTGCAAAGCAATGATAGCTGGCCAATGAAACGACTGACTTTTTTTAAGCTTGAACGCTACTTATATGAGACTCAAATATGAAGCGTCCTTCAATCCTATGGACATGGATAAGACTATATGTGCCTCTCTGACAGGATTCACTCGACAGCAAGCAGAGCTGCCAGTAAGGATGACTGTGCGGCGCAGCCTATTCTACTGGCCCTATTTCTGGCTGGCTAGCGGGACACCGGAACAGCTTGTCTTGGTAATGGTGGGTGGTAACAGTGCAAAAAAGATTATTGGTGAGGCAGAGTCTTACTTTCTTGGGATCATGCATGCAACGGAGCAGACTAGCCTCCGCGTCAACCCTCAAGTTTGCCGGAAGTTGCATGCATGAAGCAGACGCAGCTTTAGTACCATTCTAACTATGCGAGCTTGGGCTTGTTCTTGCAGGAGCGATGCTTCTGGCTGATGTGCTTGCCCGTCATGAGTGTTCGAATCGACGCAAGACTGCAACTGTCGTCTGGATTCATATCTTCTGGATGCAAGTCTGTCTGATTGTCTCCACAATATCAGAATGTTGTCAAGTACTCGATTCAAACATATTCCTGCTCGACTTCGACTGTTGGTTACGGATCTGTACCTCATCTCGGGTTCCGAGATCATACAAGCTATCTGGAAGGAGCCAGATTTGCACAACAAAGCCTACAAAGCTCTTTCTGTCCACAACATGTGCAAGATGCCGAAGGACGCGTTGGCCTTTTGGATGGATGACGATTCTGGTCATCATCTGCAACCGCACCCACACAGTAAAGTTCCGCCGCATCTCCGCATCGAATATCTCACATACTCGTCGGTGTCAACATTCTTAACAGGCGATGGTTTGAAGCCTTTCGCTAGGCGCTTTACGACGAATCTGACCGAGCGTCTTTTGCATACTGACTCTGTACGCCCGTAATGGTCAAGTTTCCCAAGCAGGATTGTTTCCCGCAGCTGTTGAGGCCATGTGTGGCCAAAGTCTTCTTTTGAAGCACCCCACTTTCGTTGAAGACTTCTGGGCGTTCAACAAGGTCTTACCAGGGTTGGCCAAAGGCTATCCTCGATGGCTGTTTCCTCAGAGTTATAGAGCGCGTGACAAATGCCTTTCCTCTCTTAAACGATGGCATGAACTCATATGTACTCACTTCGACGAAGCAGCAGTCGGAAACAAAGGCTGGAACCCGGCCTACGGCACCGAGTTTGGGAGCGCAGCATTTTCGACAGGGGCTAGCAGCATGATTGTTGATTTCGGTTTGTATGTGTTACGTGAACGGCACAGATGAGCTGGAGAAAATAGGGACCCCGGATCTGAAGGATCGATATCAACCCTCAGTTCCCCCTTTGCCCCCCCTGAAGAAATTTTCCACAGGAAACCTGAAGCAGTCGATCAAAGCAAAGGCTGTCATGCATCGACGGATTGAGCCTCGAGGGTATGTCAAGGGTGAAACATTATACGTTCTATCAGAGCTGCTGTCATGCTGACCGACACCCTATTGCCGGTGTACGGATTGGCATTCATCACAAAAAAAAAGAAAAGCTCTAGGATAGAGAGGCTAAGAGATAGGGCATGATCGTTTCCTTGATCGAGCATATCCCACCGCTTCTTTACTAGGGACAATATACGCTACTGCGTGTCAGCCGTTGTTGAAAGTGTTGCAGCTCGACGCGTACAAGGTTGATAATGCGGCATGTACAACGTACATCTAGTGATTGTTGGCGGAAGAGAAGAATCTAGGCTCGGCCCCGCAAGCAAAGGCTACTTATATACCATGTGAAGCCCATGCTAATTTGCCACCTGCGGGGTAGCTACAACACAGTGTGCTGCAGCAGATTCCAACAAGGGTAGTACGCGAACGTTGCACCTTGGCGCGGGTATATGAGGCTGAAGCAATCGGGCAAGCTTTGCGGGCCGGGCGTCAAATATTTTAGTACCCGAGGGCGGAGGATTTGGACCCTTCCCATCAATCCTATTGCCTATGCAGGGCGGGACCCCATGATCATCATCAGCCAATCTTAGAAATCACTCATTCCATATGCATTGCCTTGGACCGTAATTGATATGTATTACTAATGCGTGCACACCCTCTTTCCGTCTCTCGAGCGATAACTTTGAGCTATGTTTCAAGTCGAAACTTGATATGTATATTACTCGCGGCATTTCGAAGAGTACTTCGTAGGTGCTATGAGATCTGGGATTCCACTCCCATGATACCTTCCCGTTCGACATCTCCAAGCTTGATACCAAAACACCCCTGAAGCAGTCCCACTCTCTCCTTCTCGCTCTTGCATCCCACCTCCAATTTGACCTCCCCGTGAATTTGCTTCCGCAGTATTCTTTCAAAAAGCGTTACATCTCCAACGATCTCCTCCCTCTGCGTGTCCAAGATCATCCGCCCCACGAGTATCTTATGCGTTATCTTATGCGTGAACCAGCTCAGTGGGCTTGTGGCCGTATACCATTTCATCATCTCGAAGTCCACGGGCAAGAACTCGATCTCACGAAAAGCATAGGTGGGGGTCCACGGGCATGCCTCACGATTACGTACCTCAAGTCGCCACAGTATGTTCAGAGCGTGCGAGGTCGTATGCTCCGGGATCGAGCCGTGCAGCAGGACGAGTCTTGCGTGGAGAGACGGAGAACGTGGAGGTGCCGGAGATGAGAGGCAGAGGCACAATGGGGCCGCGGGCGTTCATGCCAACGTCAACGAGGTAGCGTTGTGATGATAGCGTCACGAGGTTGACCAGATGATCCCTGGCAAGAGGTGCAGAAGTCAGCCAAACTCGTGTACCCACGTCTCCAGAAGACAGCCTGGAGACACACACTCTGCCCATCGCTGTTTGTCCTAGGTTCCACGGGCCTTGAGTGGCTTGTTGGGGTCGATCCGACCGCCGGGAGAAAGAACACAATTCACCAGGCATTGTAGCTCGGGCCCTTGTAGTCAGGACTCCTGGCGACATCCTGGCACGCCGTATTGGTTCTGGCAGCCGTGCTCGTAACATCAAACCCCAAGCTCCTGAGCACGGTACCAAACATGCTGTTCAGTTGTATACATTGCCAACCGCGCCACGTACCTCCTTCTACAATGAGGCTGTAAAGCGCTTGCACATCCAGCATGACGTCGCTCGGCGTCACATTGCGATGGGTCGAGTAGTGAAGCGCTAGGTTTTCGTATGGGATAGCAGCCATGCGATTGCGCATAAGGGCAGACAGAAATGGTAGCCCATGGGTAGAGGTGAGCGCAAGCGCAGGCTCCGCCAGGAGTGGTGAAGATAGAAAGATGGGGGGGAAGGGCGATGAAGGAGAAATAGGCATAGAGTTGAGTGGGGGAGTACTGTGGACGCGCCGAGCGGGAGTGAGGAATTTCAGAGGAACCTAGTTCCGTAGGGGTGTCAGAAAGGACCATCATCTGAATTGCAACGGTCCAGCAGAGTTTGGATCAGATGCTCGCGTTGTGTGTCGGTGGTCTGAGAGTGACAACGGCCTCATGTCTGGAAGCGCAGTTTTTTATTTCGATTACAGGATTCCCATTTCCAATACAACATACTCACGAAAAACTGCGAAGAGAATAATGCCCAAATGAAGAACCACCTACACGGCTTTTACTGCACCCGCAAAGAAACATTACGAATTGAAACATCGTGTCAAGGGCGCCCTGTAGCTACCTGTACCTTATCTCGCCCCAACACTTACATTGTTCCTCGCTTCCAGCTTTATGTTCCGAATCCCATGGAAAGGTTTGATCAGGATTGAAAGAATGTGTAAGTGTGTGTGTGTGTGTTTGTGGATGGAAGATCTATCCAGTTCCTAACCCTAACGCGCGGTGTCAGGCAAGGCTAAGGTACCTTACCGGGCACCACACATGCGGCACGGGCCATAGATCGGAGTAAAATATGAGGCATCTAAGGGATGCAGGATTTCATGAAATCTTCGATCGATACATCTAGGTGACAGGTACTGACATTTCAATGATTTGTGGATCCATAAGGTAGCCTCATTCCGAGGAAAAGCCGTCAGCAAGTCCTGTTTGAGGTTCTGGGCACCTCGTGACTACCGAGGAAAATCCATATTGAATACTCTGGTCACGTACGCCAAGACCCGCTTATCGGGCTCATTCAAGGTATCTAATTGCTTAGTAACCATAATTCTACGGACCAAGATAAGGCCACTTTTTTACCCTACCTTATGGGCGTATTAGGGTTAGGGTTATCTGCAACTGCGCACACCGTGTTGAATTAATTGTAAAGTGAGTACTATCGGTAAAAATTCTTGATACGGTTATAGACCAAGGCTGACCTCACAGAGCGAATGTTTTACTCTGACACTGTTAAATTTCTAGGACCGTTTAGGGCCCGTTTGGCTACCACCTAAAATCCATATTTTCAAGAATATTTTCAACATTTTCGTCTTATACAATTTAGTACTCTATTTAATAACTACATTTTCGTTTTGAATGCTTATAAAGTATAAAATATATATGAAATATATAGAGATTATTTTATATTTCTAAAAACTTAAGATAAGATAAGTTTTTATTCGAAATATACGCTATAGATAGACTATATCGCTAGATCTAAGACTATAATTATTATAAATAGTTATATATATTATAACTATAATTGATAATAATAGTTAGCTAGCTAAGAAAGCTACTATTATTACTATTTTAACTACTATATAATACTATTCGTATTATTTTAATAAGACTTCGCAATATACTTCTATTCTTTCTAATTATATATATATATAGTTACTTCTTAAAGAAGAATACTCTATAAATATTTAAAAGACTTTTATATATCTTTATATACTCTAAATAAGCTTTAAAATTAGCTCTTTAATTATACGTATTTAACTTCGTCTTATATTATTAAAATAGTAGAGAAAGTCGTTATCTTTATTATAATAGTAGGTTATAGTCTTAGCAATAATAGATTATATAATCATTTTTAACACTTAGATAAGACTATTAGTCGATATTATTATAAGATCTTAAAGGCTATATATATTCTATATTAGCATTTTATTTAATTATCTAAAATACTCTACTCTATTCTAGTAAAAATCTTATTTAGCTTTAAATTTACACTTTATTTTAACGACTATCTAGATATATTAGATAATATATATATCGCTATTTATATGCCTATAATAGAGTATATATTATAGCGAAATAAAAAGAATACTCTTACTTAAAATGTTTTAGTCGTATATAATTTTAATATACTATTTTACTATATATTATCTAATTAAAAAGACTCTATATATAACGCCTTAGTATTAAGAGATACTACTTCTAATTACGACTTTTCTATTTTAGTAAGTAAGTATTATCTTATCGACGCTAAATATTTTAATTATAATTAATTACTAATTCTCTATATAGATATATAATATTATCTAAAGAAATAATAATAGATTATAATAAAGTCTAAGAATATAAAGGAACTATTTAATCTACGTTACTCTTAGCTACGAAATATTATTAAAAGAATATTTAGTATATTTAAATGGCGATTTAAATCTATTAAGAATTCTATAGAGTTTAATATTTCTATTTAGATAATAAATTAATATATCTTAATTATAATATATAACTTTATTACGCTATATCGCTCTCTTAATAATATTAACTCGAATATATAACTAGCTAATAAGTCTAATAGTGACTTTATTAGTAATTTAGATTTATTAAAAAATAAATATTTTATGACTACTAAAATAAATAAGAAAAGAGATGAAATCGCCGAAGTAATATGAAAGGATTATTAAGAGTATATTTCTTAAAGAATAATTGCGAAGATATATATATAAGAAGTTTTATTAATAAGAGAGGCTTCGATATATAAAGTTTAAATATAGTAGTATTTAGCTAATTCACTTCGATATACTTAATATATTCTTCTATCTACTTACGCGCCTCTATTATTTACCTCTATAATTAATCTTTTCTAATATTATTAGATATTATAATATATATAAAAACCTTATTATAGTTTAGAAATACGTTTACGACTTTTATATAGTTATTATTATTAATAGAATTAAAGTCTTTACTTAGTAGAGCTATAGCTTTCTTAATAATAGCTTATAATATTTCTTTAATTCGCTATATTTTCTTTTATTACCTTTATAATATATCTCTTTCTCTTTATTTTATAGATCTTTATAATAAATCTTCTACTTCTTTAATAGTAGAGTCTATAAACTATTCGCCTATCTTCTTAAGACGCTTAATCGACAATATAGATATTGCTATTATAAAGCTCGTATATCTCTTTTTCGCTATAATCTATAATATATCGATATTAAATATAATATTTATATCGATAGCTTATAAAGTATCTTTCTAAGTGTTTTTCTGAGTATTGGTATATAGAGATGAAGAAATTATTTCGAGAGTGAGATCGATGGAAAGATTAAGAGGTATTATATAGTTTTCTATTGTTATTCGCTTAATAAAGTAAGTATTAAACTCTTTAATATATAGAAGAGAAGTCTAATAAAGCTCTTTTATAAGCTTATTCTTCTAAAAAATATTAGCGAAGAATTATTAATAAGACGATCTTCTTATATCTTAATTTAGGCTTTTTATTAATTATTATCGATTATATAAAGTATAATTCTCTTATTAAAGTTTTAGCTACTTAATTTATAACGAAGATAATAATAGAGAGTTTATTTAGCCTTATATAAAGTTATCTTTCTCTATATTTAACTTTACTTAACTTATTATCTTATAATTATTATAGTCTATATAGTAGCTAATATATATATTTATACCTTTAATTTAAAGCCTATATTCGAGCGTTTATTATTCTTATATTATTATTTTATTTTATAATATAATTTAGTCTCTATAATAGTAGTTTATTTAAGAATTCTATTAATCTATTATAATTTATTTACTCGAGCTAATACCTCTTCTAATACTTTATAATTAATAAGAAAATTACTAAGAGCTTTTATTATAGTAGCTATATTAATAAAAGATAATAGAGATAGTAGACTATCTATATTAAAGACTAATAGATATCTACTATATAAATCTTACTACGAAGAAAGATCTTAATAATATTTAGCGTTCAGCTAAATTAGTCGAAATGTAACTACTAAATAGAACCGTATATATAATCTATATATATTAAAAATCTACTAGCCTCGTTTTGAAGCCTACATTTTTGAAATTAGTGTGATTAAGTTGAAATGTATGAAAATGTGAATTTTCAGATGGTAGCCAAACGGGCCCTAAAGTATACTCGTATAATCCAGAAGTGAGTTCTTTGATAGAGTAAGGACACCAATAGATTTACCGATATTCGGCTAAGTGGAAGGATTTATTGGTGTCCTCGCTCTATCAAAGAACTCACTTCTGGATTGTACGAATAGAAATTTTGGAACCGTTCCGACACCGTTCCGATATCGACAACTCTACAAGAAAAATTATATATACCCCGCTATTGATATCCTGTTCCAGACGCATTATTATAAAGTCAAGAATCGTGGTCAGCTTAAACCTCAACTACAGTACCGTTGTAGAACAGACGCTCCATTCAGCTATGGCTGTAACCACTCACAGTACTAGTACCGTGTTGATACAGTGTGCGCATTCGCAGGCACGGCTACAAGATACCTCGTCGTGTTACAGCATTTCATTGATCTAATCGTTCCAGTAATTCCAGCAGAGCTCATGCCCGGCATCCCCATAGGCATTGAAGCTGCGGTCAGCGGACAGACGATTGTCATCGGCATAAACCTACAACATCCTACTTCGAGTAACGGACCAGATGTTGATTGACCCTTGATATCATGATAACTTCCTATGGCTATTCAAGCATGAGCGAGGCATTGGATCGATAACATTATCAACCGCGGTAGGGATGAGGATGGTTAACGCGGAGGATACCTGCGTTGCATCATGACTATCCATGTCTACCTCGTTCAGCGTTCTCTTGGTCGAAGTGGGCGGGCGGAGGGCTGCATTGAGCACCTTACCGCCCCATTCGCGATTGCAGCTTCCCCCTCCCCCTCTTTTCTACGGTGGTGTCCACGAAAATGCCAAGTTTTCTCTTTCCCTAGAGTACACATTCCTTTTCTCTTCACTTCTTCTCGTTTACTTTCATCCTCTTGGTTCGCTCCGAAAGAATCTGTTGTAAATATGGACGCTGAACAGATGAACGCGGTGGAGGTTGGAGGCATGAAGTCCAAACAGAACAATGACGATAAAGACATGGCTCGGATGGGCGAAAACCCCGTGCTGAAGGTTTGGCGCCCTATATAATTCCTTCCCCAGTCGATACTTGTTCTTCTTCTTTTAATAAAGGTGACAGCGGAATTTTGGCTTCATGCTCATTCTGGGCTTCAGCTTCACGATAGTCATCACCTGGCAAGGCTTTCCGATGTACGGCCCTGGATCGAAAATTCTTTCCGAGGCAGTAGCGTTAATGTAGCTAAGAACATTGGCGCAAGGCTTCGCAAAGTACGTGTTTTCAATTCGCCGTCTTTCTGCAACATGCTAAAAAGCCATGTAGCGGCGGTCCTGCGGGAGTCATATACGGCTACATCTTTGTCTGGATAGGACCGCTTTCGGTATTCCTTGCATTGGCAGAGGCGACATCAATGTGAGTAGCGGCAGTCGTGGCTCAAGACAATTAATGCAGTAGTAGAACCCTGACATATATGGATAGGGCACCAACGTCGGGAGGACAATATCATTGGGTCTCCATGCTCGCCCCGCCTAAGTATCCAAAATTTCTTGAGCTATGTTACTGGTGAGATTCCTCTTTGACATTGCACAGTCATCTGTTCCTGGCTAATATGAGACCGTACGATAGTTAACAGTCCTCGGATGGCAGGCCTTCTGCGCGTCGGTCGGACACCTGAACGGGACGATGACGCGGGGTTTGATCACTCTTACCGATCCTAGCTATGACCCTCATCCCTGGCGTAATGTCGTGCTCTTCTGGGGAGTCATCTTGTTCGGCGTCTCGGTCAATACCGTCATCAGCAGCTGGCTTCCCAAATTTTAAGGACTGATACTCATTCTCCACATACTCGGCTTCTTCGCTATTTTACTCCCACTGGTCATCCTTGGGCCTCATGCGCAGCCCTCACACGTGTCCCGAACATTCATCAACGGGGAAAACTGGCCTAACGATGGACTCTCCTTTTTCGTCGGGCTACTGGGTAACGTGTACGCTTTCTTTGGAGCAGACGGAGCGATCCGCATGTCCGAAGAGATACAAAATGCCGCGGCCGTTGTACCGAAGGCGATTGTGTTCAGCATCGTCTTGAACGGCTTGCTAGGGTTCGGCATCGCGCTCGCACTACTCTTTTGCATTGGTGACATCGACGCTGCTCTTCATACAAACACTGGTTACCCCTTTATTGAGATCTTCAACCAGGCCGTTCAAAATACCACTGGAGCGGCGCTCATGACGTCCATAGTTACTACGCTCTCTCTGTGCGCCACGGTCGGCATCGTCGCATCTGCGTCTCGGCAACTCTGGGCTTTTCCCCGCGACAGAGCCGTTCCGGGCCGGGAGCACCTCCAGCGTGTCAATTCCAACCCCGCAATCCCCGCGCTCGCCGTCTTCTCGACCACGGCACCGGCCTGTGTTCTCGCCCTCATCGTGCTCGGCTCTTCCACGGCTTCCAACGACATCGTCTCGCTCTCCGTCGTCGGCCTTTTCGGCTCCTACTCCCTCGTCGCCGTGCTTCTTCTCTGGCGCCGTCTACGCGGCGACATCGAGCTCTACCCCAGCTCAGGAGACGGACTCACCAACCTCCCTGGCAAGGAACCCACGTGGGGCCCTTGGCGTGTTCCTGGTGTTCTTGGTATAATGACGAACAGCTTTGCTATCGTCTACCTCATCATCGTCTTTTTCTTTAGCCTGTGGCCGCCCGTGAACCGTCCGACGGCTGCGACGATGAATTACGGCAGCCTCATGTTCGGGGGTACGATGGTTTTTAGCGTGCTGTACGACCTCTTCCGCGCAAGGAATGTTCATACAGGACCCGTCATTCAAGTAGATCGTTGAGATGGGCTACAAAGGGGTTCTGGGAAATGTACGGAACAACAGTCTACGGTGATGTAATGACAGAGAACAAGATCCAAATAGACGAAATAACATTTGAGTGTTTGAGCTAGCTACCTGGTTTAGACTCGAGTCAACTTTCTGGATTTCACTTGAGATCTAGCACCAACAATGGCCCAGTCGAGGTCAATGTTTAATGGCCCAGTCGAGGTCAATGTTTGAAGTATCACTTGCATTGGCCCACTCGATGAAAGCACGACTAAACAACACCTTCCTGCCCCTCATTCACACTTTCCACCATAACGGCCATCCATCGATAGATTCAGAGACACCGAGGGTGTCCGGGGTGAGAAATTGGCGATGGATGATTCCTATAACAGCGAAACGAAACCCCATTCCTCGGATGTGAAAACCCAACTCTCCCAATGAGTAAGCACCCCAAGCCCGTCAGTCCCAAGTCCCCCCGCTCGTGCGTTCCGTCCAGCGCTCAACAAAGAACCCTCCAATCACAACAGCACCCGCCGAGCCCGCCCGTCCCGACAGCCCAGCCGCCCCAATCCCTGGAGCTGATGGGGCTGGATCCGGATTGCGGGATGAATGCGCGAGGACACATGGTGAGAGCGGGGATAGTTGATGTGGGGGCGGTTGAATGTACGGTGGGCGGTATGGGACGTGGATGGCCGATGAGAGGCCGGAGGTGAAGCCGACGGGCCAGCGGGAAGGAGGCTAGGGAGACGGGGGCCATTGGTTCCGGGGGCATATTCTGCCCAGGGGTCACTAGGCGTCTTGGGGTTGAGTGAAGCGGAGACTGGTGAGTCCTGAGGTGTCTGTCTGGCGGGGGAAGATGGAAAAAGATTGCAAACCTTTCTGTGACGGTGGGTGAGCGAGGATGAACTTCTTGGTTTTAGCTTACGTCGATGAGGTCCCTCGCGATCCTTTCCGCTTGGAAAAATTTCAAGTCGACGAACCCTTTGACCGTATGACAGTTGTGCGCTGGCTCGTTCGGATCTACAGGTTTCGCTGGTTGGTTGGCTTGCACTTCGTGCGTAATTATAAGAGTCAACGATAGAGAGATACGTGATCCTGTAGAGGATAATGAGATGTGTTGCAAGAATGAGCCCGGTGACTACTTAGTGAGTAGATTGTTATGGATCCAAACCAGATCAAGCAAGATTCGGAAGAGGGTTCATCCGAAAGTCTTAGATCGACGTGGTCTCTAGCAAGGACACCTGGAGGCTGTTCACGGCTCGTCCACATATTATCAAATGGCGCTTCCCCACTTCACCTAGAGCCACTCTCTCCTGCCGGGGAGACCGTATAGAAACAGCTGAACCAGTCAAGGAGATTCCTTGGAGAGCGCTAAAGGGCTCTCCTACCATCGTGGGCGACATGAAACCCCTCCGCCGGTTACACTGTACAAAGTCTGCGTTCTCGGACTCGATGGTGATAGTTTGAGTCGACGAGGAAGCGAAAAGCGTCGCGTCGAACTACAACGTTGACACCAGCCACTTATCGGGCGGGTTAAGAAAAGGCTTGCTCCAAACAAACATAGCTTCTCGCGACTGAGCCCAACAGTGCTGTAAGAAATCCGGCCAGGACTTTTGCAACTGATGGTCGAACTTTGCGTATGCAAACGTCTGTACGACAGAGGGTACCAATCATCCGGGCGACAGGAAAGTCACGTACCAAGTCGCTCCGACCTAGCACTTTGGGTCAACTTTTGTTGATGTGCAAATGGGCTGCCGGTGACCATGAGCAGAGACTTTGCAGACCTGCTCCATCTGCATGATGCGATCGTCCTGAGCTCGGTCAACAGCAACAACAACAAGCAACAAGCAACTTCCTCAAAACGAAAAGCCGAAGCGGGCCCCTCCCTAGACCCCAGACTCCGACCTCCCAACTCGACCTCGAAACATCCCCCGGGCGGTGTGGGAACCGGGCACGGCTTCACTCGAAAGGAGAAAGAAAACCACCAACCCCTCCTAGTGCCGGCCCGGCGTAGCGGCTGACACCTCAGACATCTCTCACGACATGCCGACGTGCTGTCGGGCCATATTTGGTATCTGGGCCTGCCGCACCGACGCGCACGGTCTCACACCCACTATCAAGTCAAGTAGAAATCGACCGCAGACCTTCATCCCCCAACATGGCCAAATAACAAAACCCAGCGCTCCTTTCTCAACGAGTGAGGGATGGTGTACGAGTACCGAGACTGAAAGTTGACGGGCGGCGACATCTTCGACATGGACCCTGACGGAGATGTCGAACGCAGCAAACACCGTCCGCTCCCCATCCGATACGATCAGAGTACTAGAAAACCATCACCGTATCCATCAGGTACTAAAAAACCATCACCGTATCCATCAGGTAGATCACCGTCATCGTGGGCGTCGCCTGGTACGAGTTCGGCTCAGTAGCAGGCGTTACTTTGGCTTACATCCGATGACTCGGTGTAGCTGGGTGATGGGCTCCGCGGATTGTACAGATTACTTTGGGAAATCCATAGCAACTACCTATCTGGCATCCTCAGGGGAGACGAGGAGTGGTCGCGTACAGACCCAATGAAGGTTCAAAGCGGGGACAGCAGGTTGGGAAAGCGAGGGCAATGTTGGAGCTTCGGATACTGGGATGCTTTGGTCACTCGCACGGCGCGCGCACGAGAGGTTGGAGTTTGATACAAGCAGTGTAAATGGTTTCGAGAAGTTGGCAAGGTATAGAGCAAACGGAAAGGCTTCATGTTGATCACCAAAGCTCGGGAGCATCAAGCCTGTTCACGTGAAGACTTGAAGAGGTAGGTGGATTTGATCGATGGCATGATCCTGATTAATGACATACCTGCACCTGCAGCCATGGCACACGCAACAATCTAGATGGATATTCCCGAGACCAATCCCACTCTCCGCTCCGAGAGACACACGGTGAGAGGACGAAAGAAAAGAACATGTGCTCGCATGTCCCCACTGACTGGTATCACATTATAATAACCGTACTAAAATTGTTCCAACGCACCGAACATTTCACCGCGAGCGCCTGGGGCATCGGAAGGTGGGTGATTGTCGAAAGACATATGGCTTCGAAGACGCGCCGAAAAGCAGGCTGATGGCAGGACGAGAACGGCGTGGTATACAAAATCTCGAGCGCTTGCATGCTTGAGAACGAGGGGGCTGAGAAAGACCGGGGGCTTGCCGGAAAGGATTCGACCTTTGGGGGAAATGACTGGTGCCATTTAGAAGAACAGGCCTCCACAAATTTCAGCTTCTCGTCCACGTTTTGGGTTGGGTCGGGCCTATAACAGACCACAATCACGAAGGTTCTCTTGTATAATAATATCTGTAGCCAGTCATCAGCAGGTTTGAAGGGAAAAAAGGCGGTGATGAACATACCATTGACAGCCGCCATGACAAACCGTATCTGGGTGGTATCGGTAGCGCAGGTGAAGTGGGTGTAAATCTGCTTCGTCTCGTGCTGGTTCAGGGAAACGAATCGGTTCAGGATATAATCGCAGGCCGCAGCATAATCAGGTCCACCTTCAGCAATATTAGATCTGTGATGCTCCCCGCCGTTGTTGCCAGTTCGGTTCAGCTTGCCTTCATAATCCGGAAAATAGTTCTTCATGGGAGACACCGGGAGTTTCTCTTTAAACCTGTCGATCTTGTTCAAAAACAGGATGATTGAGGTCTTGACAAACCATCTGGAGTTGCAGATAGAGTCAAAGAGTGTGAGAGCTTCTTGCATTCGGTTGACGGTCTCGTCTTCGAAGAGTAGTTGATCGTACTCGGAGATGGCAACGAGGAAAAGGATGGTCGTGACGTTCTCGAAGCAGTGGATCCATTTCTTCCGCTCGGATCGCTGACCTCCGACATCGAACATGCGGTAGGTAAGCTCGCCAATGATGAAAGTTGTTTCAGTAATACCGGTGGTCTTCACTCGAGATCGTAGAACATCTTGGTCATTCGGTAGATAGTCGGGCTGGGCAATCCGGCCGATAGAATCGAAGTAACTAAGATGAACAAGTAAGCAAACGCACGTGTGGGGTAGTGAGAATGAACAAGGGCCTTGTTTGGAGACCCTTCGCAAGGCCCAAGCACCAGATTCCACATCCTTTCCGCCTGAAGGCTGAGACTACTCACTATCTGGCCGAATCGTTGAGCTGGTACTCTCTTGACCGTTTGAAGCATTCTTGAACGCCAGCGTCTTTCCATAGAGCATCTATGGCACTTCCAACCTCCGGCGGCAAACTCTCGCCCTCGATTTGTGCAGGCTGCATGAAGATGGTTTGGACGTGGTACTCAGTTCTCTGGTCGTCCAAAGGAAGCTCCAATGATTCCATAGCTTCTAGTATGACGCGCATCGATTGGACGGTGTTGCTGTAAATGATCTCTTTGAATGACTCTCGCTCGTCCCGCGAGTAGCTGCCTTCGTGAATGAGTTTCATCTGCTTGAGGATTGTAGATTTGCCAGACTCTCCGGCACCTGGTATGGTATTAGCCCTTGTAGCTGTTTCATCGAGACTAGCGATCCTGACCGAGAAGAAGCATCTTGATCTCATTCCGTTGAGATAGCTTGTCGCGCTTCAATTGATTCTCGATCTGCTCATTCCTCTCCTTCCCTTCCTTCTCCTCTGTACTCATTCCACAGCCCATCTTGGCGGTTGTTGAAGGCTTTCGCGATTACGGCACGAGCGAGGGATCTGACACGGGCGCTATCTGATTACGCGGTCAGTCTCCGCTATCGATGCAAGGATAAGTGATGAGGAACGAGAGGCGACGTCATGCAATGATGGGTGTAGAGGGTAAGCGCAAGACTGTGGTGATGAGGCTTAGGGTGGATGAAGCCTCTGTGATCCGAGGATTTGGTACCTCGGTAAGGCTGGGGCCAAGGCGGTGTGCTGCGGAAGCGCAGTCAGACGGACAGATTTAAAACTCACCGCAGATTTCGTGTGTGTCGATTGAGCTTTGCGCAAGTCAGAGACACCTCGGTATGGTTGTGAGGGAGGGAGTGGACGCGCTGATGAAAGCGACAAGGAGTTGGAGGTTGCAGCTTGCAAGATTTCTTTATGGGGGCTGTTTGTTCGCCGCTAGTGTTGTAACGAACGGCCCGTTACCGACTCTTGAAGAGGACAGACGGGGCAGACGGGAGTGATGCTGTACAACGCCCACTACGACAATGAAACCAGGAAACGCTATGTGCTGTCGTCGGGGGAGAAAGGGAACAATTTTGGAGGTCTTGGAGAATGAAGGAGTGTGGAAAGGAGGATGGGGAATCGATTGGCAGCAAAGTTTAGCTAAGCCGGCTGGATTTTAGACTATTCCCCTAAAACCCTTGTGGAACAGGGAGGAAGACCGGGACTTGTCTCAAGCAAGGGCACTCGGTACTCCTACTCGAAACTGTCGAGAAGGATACTAATGTAGATAGGAAGTCACGATACTTAAGTATCATGAAAAATTAGCGAGATGATCCAGCTGTACATTAGAGAATAGGTGCAGGGGCAAAGCTGAAGGGCGTCCCGTAGAGTAATACTACAGCTCCGCGGCGCAGCCAATCTGCCTTTTTCAAGCGATCCATGATAACGCATCATCATCATCTGGCTTGCTTTTCACCCACGGTTCAGATTTCATTGATTCATTGGTTTGATAGGCATCGACGTCTTTTCAAGCTCGGAGATCTGACACATTAAATTCTATCAACTACCGCAGAAAAGACGGAGAATTGTGATGCATGCGCTTCTAAAGCGGAAATGATGTCTAACTGTCTATGGTGTTTCGAAAGTATTCGGGCCATTCCTTCTCCAAGTATCCAGGCCAAGCAAATTGCAAGCCGAGCGGGCAGGGATTTCATTCCCTCCCGAACCGTGCAGATCGAAATCCTGCTTGGGAAAGTTGGAAGTTGGCCTCCATCATCCAAGTGTGTAAAGGGACAACCCTAATGCAAGAACTCCAACAATAAAATCTTCGGTATTGAATAGATGCCCTATTTGGATGGACATGCGACCCTGAGTAAGCGTGACTACGGGGCGCTTGCTCACTAGTTCCGCCTGTTCCCCGCATGGCGGTGAGCTAGGTACTACGTCTACAGCAGATCTACCCTGTCCGCCTTAGAAGAACAGCCTGTGAAGAGGTATAGGCACCAGTGATCGTATGATTTTGACCTGCGTGAATGGTGTCGGAGTATTTCTGACATTCTGGAGCGTTCAATTGCGGTGATTTATGCGTGATCAAGCTCGTTGCATCGAGGTCAGCAATCAACCACATGGAATGAGGCTCATCGTCAGGCCCACTACGCTGACAACAGGAGCTGACGTTTCTATATTGTGATTTATCTGTGCGCCTCAAACCCCTTCCGCTAAGTGTACCATTGCAGAGGAATTGCACCTATACAGAGATATCGTCCTCCACTGAAGATAGCCCCCCTGAACATAGACTAAGACGACGCTGATGCAAACTACGTTAGTTGCAGCGCCGCAGTGAACGCAGGACTTCTTTCAGAGTCCCGGACGCCGATGGGTCAAAACCGAAAGAAACCTCCCTCCCACTTCCTATCTGCTTTCCCCACCTGAGGAGCGGCCCTCGGCGAAGCGTGCTCAGTGTCCGCTTGCAGATCTTGCGGTTCATTGGATGGACCAGACGGGTGGCCCATGGGGTTTCCTTCCAAGAGTCTGCTACTGTCAGTCTCGCCTTGCGGACGGTTCGCTTGCTGAGTGAGATAGACGGCAGGGCCAGCGTCAAGTTCGACTGCGAAGGAATTGGCGTCGAGCCCTATTGCTGCAGATCTTTGCCTCGACAGTTCCGCCATCTCTGATTCTAAGTCCGAAGTATCTGGCTCTGGCATCATTTGCGCTGGGCTGGGGCCATTGTTGAGTCGATGGGCAATCCTTTGCAGCAAGCCCTGGGATGACTCTCCGATAACATAATCCTGCTTCGAGTAATGCGATATTTTATCAGAATCTGAGCGCTGTTCGGCTAGATCAGGTGGGATCCAACTCTTGTGATGTATTCGCTGAATTGGAGTCCGGCCAGCCCATCGATTGGAATTTAGGGTAACGTTTTGCCGTGTTCCTAGAAGTGGAAGTATGGACGTCAGCCACAGTACAGCACAAACGGATGGAGTATAGTTACTGACTTGGCTTCGAATCTTCGTCTTGCAAAAGAGACCTTGGAAACCTGCTGATTGGATACATCTCCTGGCCCCATATGGAGTAATATCTCGGTGTAAGCGATCTTAGTAGAGAGCTGGACGCTGACGTTGTCCATCTTGAACAGACGTTTTCTAATCATTCGTTCGATGACGTCCGTTGAGACCGAAACCTTCTTGGCATGCTGGCCCCGGTGCTCTTCTTGTATGACGAAGTACAATTCATAGCCACACTGCAGCTTATTCCGCATAAACTTTCCAAGCTCGGAGATCTCCTTGCTGTCCTTCAGTAACCGGCAATATATGTGTCCTGCAGACGGCTCTCAGCATGCTGTATTAGAAGACCTTCTGGGAAACAACCCTTTTATCTGGACAGAATCATCTGATGCAAGCTCCACAGCGTGAGATTTTTCGAAATAAAAGCTCGAAGCAATCAAACGAAGCGCTACATTTTGTATACTAACATCCGTGCTTGACATCTCACGGACTACTCCTTGGATGTAAGGTAGGCTCTCCACGTCATCCAAGCCAGGTGGATTCTCCTTCAATTGTGGGTTAATTCGTATATACCTGGCTTTTTTGTTTGGAGGTGGATGAAGCACACTCATGTAAGAACGCCAGGTCTTTTAGAGAAAAGGAACTTCAAACACTGACTGACCTGGGATTTTTGAGCACAAAGACTACCACATCAGAAAAGGTGTGTAGAAGACGTGGATACAGATGGGTGACCGTGAAATCCCTGCTCCTTTTAGCGTTTGTATCGGCCCAGGTGATTGCACGCTCTGATGTGTGATGTATCTTTTGCAATTTTCTTTCAAACGAGTCAACCCGGCCAGCTTTTGAGGACTGGTTCTTCCTTTTTAGTCTTGCTCCCAGTGGTCCTCGTTCACCGCTTTCCAGCCCCTCGCAATCTGCATACATAATAAGGTTATCTGACATGCAAGTCTGGGGGTCTGAGTAGAGATGGACGTCGCCAGAGTCTCTGAATGTAGGTAGCTCATCATCTTCTCGGACGACGCTGAACCATGTTGTGTCTTCGTCGTTTTTGTGCAGAATGTCTTGTTCAGCGGAAGTTGCCCTGACCTCCAAGATAGCCTTGATTTTCTCAGCGGTACGACAATCGGTTCTTTCGTGCGGAATGGATCCTGGAGCTTTCCGCTGCATCTTATGAGATGCCTGCTTTTCCCAACAGCTGGTACACAAAATGCATTCGCAGACATTGCAGTATTCTCTATTGATACCATATCTTTCACAACCATCGCAGAGTTGATCGCCAGAATTCTGCCGGCTTGTGCTTCTGCTCTGGGTATGAGTTTGGATGTTTCTGGGAAGAAGCGAAAATGTCAGCAGATGCGTCGGACGCAGGATAGCACTGTTCGAATACATGAGATTATATGATTGCCGGCCAATCCTGCTTCGCTCACCGCCAGCTATGCGACCATCTCGCGAAGCCGAATCTCCTTGTATGAGGGGATCTTCAAGATCGAGAAGAGTCATCTGTTCTTGAACACGGGTGCTTCTAGATCACTGTCAAAAGCCTGCATCAGTACTAGGATTTTCTGCTAGGTCACAGACGATTTGGCTTGGTATCTTTTAAGCCCATGATTGGATTCGGACGGGCTCCCGCATGACCGGTGGAGAGGTAGGTTGGAGTGTTCAGTCTGTATTTGAGGGGTCGGCGGCTCCTCGTTGAGTTCAATCAAGTCTTCTTCAGGTTGAAATTGGCGGAGGTCATAATAATGACTGCTGAGTGGGGTTTTCAGGCTGATGCCAGGCTTCCCGTTGAACTTCGGCTTCACATGAGCACCTGAGCCGCTCTGCATTAACGAAGCGGTATGCGGAGATCGCGAACTCATGTTGAGACAGCGTAAGTTGATCTCTAGCAATAGAAAGGAACTAATTGAGGAGAGAGGGAATGGAATCAAGTACGAGAGCAACTTCCAACCTCATCCGTCAAGTTTTGCGCCAGCCGTGCCAGAAGGTGAGGCGGGCTCATGATGGTAGCCTTGCCCGAAAGTGGAGGTTGCGCAAAGGAACCACGTACGTATTCTGCGAGCCAGCCGTGAGACATAAGCAGCAGTGCAAGACTGGGAACGGCCCAAAGGATTTGGAAGAGCCGCTAAGCCTCCATAATCTGCCTTGGGATGTCAAGTAGGCATACTTTTCGAAATTTCAGCTCCTGCCTCTCATCCGAGCGCTCAAGTTTTCCGTGAGCATTTTGAACATCGAAGCAGCTCTTGATCTTGCAAGTTGTGCGACGAGGCTGCCGCTGCCTTTCCAGCGAACAGAATTACATGGCATGAAGGATCAATTCAACTTGATAGTATAAGGAGCAGCAGGCTAACCATTGGTGAAGCATAACCGCATAAAGAGGAGGATTGGCTGGTCAAGTTCCAAGTTCCGAGTGCATGCGCTAAACGCTGTGTGTTTGAAACCAGGTGAGTAGACGCCTATGCAAGATGCGTTTCATCAAAATTCTCAGCACCAGTCAGGAAATGGTGGGGAGAGAGCTGCAGGTAGAATTCCACTTGGCTGCAGACAACGTAAGATGAACTTGCTCAAACGGTGGTTCAAAAGTGGCACCACGCCATCAGTCAGTCAGTGGACGTTTCCAGACTACGTAATCTGCAGAATGGTGGGGGAGATTGGTCGCCAAGTCTCTGGATGTATTTAAGTATTGAAGTATCCAAGTCTTCAGATATCTGCCTCTTAACGAGCTTACCATATGTGATCCGAGGGAGTTTGGGTCTCGGGGCTAAAGAAGACGGGATAAACAAACTCACTTGCCTCCCGGTGGCACAGAGGTTCCGTTTATCGGTAATCAATACGACTGACTGACGCGCGGATCCATTGGTCCTGTTGGCATTATGCCATTCATATCATAGATTGTTACTTGTATCTCGCAAATTACTACTGAGACTCGTTGGCCTGTGACGGACTGATTGGGAATATCAGAGTATTGTTAGAGCATGCCGTTTGGATACTGCAAATTCGCTATGCTCGGTGTCATTATTAAACCCCTTGGTTATGCCAGGCTCGAACGTCTGGGTGGAGACGAGAGGTTATCAGATTTTCCTTTGCTAAACCCGAGGTAAACCAAGCTCAACGACCTCTCTTCTTACTCGAGGCAATGTTCAGCACAAATTGGGCTATATCGCCGCTTAGTCAGATGCAATTGAGGAAGAGCTAGTCCATCAATATATGCCCCTGATTAGAGGCACATTGAATGGTACTGACGTCTGACTCCCGAACCGGCAAAGAGACCCCCTTTTCGCTGCCTCCGCCACAACAGGCACGCTTTTGGTTCAGGAATTTGGGCCATATGTTCACTGGCGCCGTCTATTTCAACAATCGCACTGTAGCCTGGCGTCTTACTGTTTTCATGGCGTTCGTCAGCGTCATTAAATCCACTCGCATCCTCGTTTACTACTCTGTGGACCTCTGTCTTCAGTCCTCCTTCAGCCGTGGATATATAATTCCAATGAGTATCTCTATCGACCGTACATATGACGGCTTAAAGGATCTTCGAGATGATGTTCCATCTCCAAAGCCTCCAAAGCCTCCAAAGCCTCCTGGTATACCTTTTAATGACGCAGCAGATCTGTCCGATCCTAGAGAATCCATAGACTTCCTCTCAAGTGTGTTTGCTCTGGTACCACTCTTACTGGTGTATCTTGCCTCCACAGCCAGATCATACGATCGAGTGTCACGCAAGCCTTCCTCAGATTATAGAAGCCTCTGATCCTTTTGGTGAGATTTTCATTCAAGACACCAGCAATTGCCGCCATCAATATTGTTTAGAGCCCGGAGGGCATGTTGGAGATCGGAAGGAGTTAGGATCTTGCTGCGCTCGGCTGTGATCTTTCCATGCTTGGACTTCTGCATCTGCAAGTCTGTCGGAAGCTAGGGTACGCGATTCTGTCAGCGGCCGTCGCCCCTCAGAATGATAATGGCTTGCCAACCTTCGCGCATAATCTCCTGCTCGAACCCCAACGTCGCTCTCAGGAAAGCAACTATTGACTAGCCAAGCTAGCTCCCAGGAATATCATCAGCGGGTAAACATGGCCCAAGCCTTCCTCCGGTGCCGTCGAGGTTATCGTTCATGATGTATATAGCTGCCCGCATTGCGGCCTCGGTGCCACCACTGCAGCTTTGACATGTAAAGGTCCGCCATTAAAGGGAGGGTACGGGAGCTGCCTTGATCGAGGTCGCTAGGAGGACAGAGAAATGCTGGCACGAGCTGGTAAAGGAATGTTATTATGAACAAGTATAGAATTGAGATGAACAAAAATCAAAGTCATTGGAAGTGAGGACGCACGCGACAACGACGGGGGCTATTGGTGGGGCGTCATCGAGGCTAGAAGCCGCACGGCCAAGCCGAGAGAATTGTGCCCAGGCCCCAACCTCTAAAGTATCAGCCCTAGAGGAACCTCTCCGCTGGCGCGACGCGGGAACTTGTAGGAATTACGCGAGCCGAGGTCATTCGGCCACGGCTTTGTTATCTACATGTACAACATTGTACAGGTTGACATTGGTGCAGCAATTGCGCTCCATCTGCTTCCATTCTATCGCCACTTTGTTTGGAAGTGTTTTCTCTAATTTTCTCGCTTCTGCTGAGATGGGTCACACATTCTCCAAAAGTGGAGCTGGATCCCTGCGCATTGATGTATCCTACAGAGTGAGGCTCGTGAGCAAGAGGAGCCGCTCTCAGTTTCGCCGCGTAGGCTGCACGATGATGCATAGGCTGTTTTAGCACGAGGCTGAGGAGACAACCTCGAGTCTGCGGCGTCTTTTCATGATCTCCCCTGCCGTTTCTCCATTGCGCTCGTGTTCATGGCCTGCTCTACGACTTCGGAGTCATAAGTTATATAAATCTCTTCTGCCCCAAATTCTTCTGTAGCCTCTATGATGTCGAACCTCGCTCAACAGTGTGCAGTATAGACTACTGCTCCGCTGTCTGAGCTAGGGGCCACTCACCACAGTTCTCTTCAGTGCATTTGGACCACGTACCTAGAGGCGGGACTAGCTTGAGACCTTAAGTGGCCGTCGCACATCGCAATTCTCCTAGTCATCCTCAAGCTCAGCTGAAGGAGTGCCTATAGGAAGCACTAGAAAGAGTGTACCCTACCATGGCATTCGATGAGAACGCCTCTGTCGGCACGGAGACCGGTGAAAGCATACCTCAAAAGCCTCCAGTGACAAAAGTCAACCTATGCGGCCTCGAGGGTGTCGAACGGCTCGTCGTACCCTCAGACAAAAGTACTCGATCTTTCATACCTTTTGGAGTTGATGGCACATTGGTGATAATAAGTCCATATGGAGAGGTTTTAAGGATGTCAAAATATATTGCTGATGACAATCCTCGCGTGATCTGTCTCAGCAGCCCTGGAATCAGTATGGACAGACGTTATCTGAATGGACTTGGTGCTAGGATGCAAAGGCGAGCGCAAATACGAAAGAGTGGACTCAGCATTCGCCTAATGGCCGATTCAAAAGTCGAAGACCCAATCAAGACACCACTCGAATGGATCAACGGTCGCTGGCCATGCATTCACTATGAGATCGACGGTGTTCTCGTCTCGGTTCTCTTCACAGTGAATGAAGGGGTCCTGTCACAGCAATTTTCCATCGAGAACCCTTCTAATGAGAATAAAGCCGTCCGCTTTGCGCTTCAGATCCGAGGTGCAATAGTCAGAACCCTGCGCGTCGCACATGGCCGGTGGGCAAACCCTGACGAAGACGACACTTTTCCGGATGAGTCGGAACCTCTGCTTCGGCCAAACGCAAGTGGCCCATACAATATAGTAGAGAGAGAGCGTGAAAGAAGTCCTGATGAGCCCTTGCAACAAGATGGTATTACCGTAACAAATGCCGTAAAAGGCGAGGCTGTGATCGCAGTCTTCCACAATGACGGACTCCTCCAATTGGATGGTACAGCTTCGGTTCCTATCCGTAATCCTTATGATACTGACAGCGATGATGAGGATAGCGACGGCCTAAATGGCGACACCCAAAGCAAGTCTGACCAAACAGCCCCGTCAGCTTCTTCCGGAGTCCTTCGGATTCCCTCCAAAGGGGTTCAAAAGCTTGTCTTGCAATACAAATTGCAATCCCATAGCGGTGAAGAGCCTCGGAGTCCAAATCGTCTGGATGTGGAGACTTTCCTGAAGACTGACCAGTCCAGAAATTGGTCTTTCAAGGAAGACCATGAATTCAACTCAATTTTCAGAAGGTATCTCGAACACATCTTGTGTCTTTGCCTGGTTGATGTTACGCCTGGCCCAGGCGAAGAACGTCGCATCCCATTCATGAACGACATCACGTTGGAGTCAGAATCGACACCGCTTGGAGATTTGTAAGTCGTTCTCGAATGCTCATCACCAGATCAGTGTCATAAGAATGCTGACCTCGAAAGCTATATTTTCCGTTATCTCCTGTTCATGTACCAACTCTTAAAGACAGATAATTATATCTCCACACATCTCATATGTCAGAATCGGGACAAAGATGCCTCGAGCTTTGAGAAAGCTGAATTGCAAGCTCGCATCAAGGAAGCCTGTATAGGGCATTTGCGGTGGTGCTTCGAAGAGAGTGTCTTTCTGGCCCGTCAGAGCTGGCCTGCTTCTCCAAGGACAGAAAGTGACAACAACGAACTAGACGAGTCACCGAGTGCGCAGTTCTTTGTTGGAAGCTTACAAATGCTCAAGCTGTCCGAATTCTCTCGAGTCTTCGAAGGAGAAGGGAAGCTGGTGAAGGCATGTTTACAAATGGGAACTAAGTTGTGGCTTGACGCGCTGGATACAGAACGAGATGAGAGGTCGAGACTATGGTACAAAGACACTAGGAAGACCTATATCGCATGGGGGGGCCGTCGCGGAGAGGGTTCGGAATGGCTCCATTTTCCGGAATATCGGTTAGGAGATCTCATCTACACCTGGAAGGCTCTCAAGTCCCTAGAAGCTATGTCGGTTGAATTCAAAGATGATACAAACGACTCACCAGACACTCTGGAACGACTGGAGGACTTGAAGTTACGAGCCCACGACGTACGAGAAACCATTCTGCAGTGCTTTGCATATCAACCTCAAGACGCTCGTTCTACTAATAGTAATCATATAGTCGATCGTTCGAACCGGCGAGATCCTGAACATGCTGTGGCAAAGAACGGATCAGCTCCCGTGTCTTTTGCCATTGCTGTACGGCGGTCTCGCGAGAGGGACAGACGACTATTCTATGCCAAAGACTCAATGCTTCACGATGGTATCACGTGGGATTTTTTCAAGAATGACATCCAATTCGAGGCGTACAGCGCAAAGAATGAGCCCACAAAGGTGGATGTACAGCTTTCATGGCAGAACACAATGCAGGCACAAGGCATTGACCATGAGACCACCTGGAAGAAACCACTTCGGTATGCATTGGCCATTATAATGGCGAGTCATCATATATCCTTGGACGACTCCAAATCTCCAGACGAGCTTGCAGAGCTTTCTTGGAAGAGGCTTCCCAGATGTGTTATGTCTCATGGGCTATTTGCTAATCAGCTGGACCGGGACACAAAGCTTCCACGAATGTTGAGACCCTTGTACTCTTCTGACAAACCACACAGTCCTTGGGCGACATGGGAGCTAGCGACACTGATGTTGGTCAGAAGGTTCAAGAATTTGGATCTCGAGATGTAAGTCCTCACTTTCCGGCATTCTCCATACTTTGTTTGAATTCAGGTAGGATGTTGATTTCCCTCAATAGATTAAAAGATGTAACGCTCCCAGTCCCACGCGAAGAATCTGCGTCTCAAGATGAGGATGTTGATACCAAGCGAGGAACTACAGAGAGGAAAACAATGTCTTTTCAGCCGCCAGACGGTAGTATCTCTGAGAAAATGAGGTCTGCCCTGATGAAAAAGGTTGTTCTAGAGAAGAGGAGAACAAGCTCCCACAAGAAGGTGGACTTCAAGCAGGTGTCTGACCCAAAAGGTATTCCAATTCGTTTCCCATGTCATCGATGTACCACGGCACGCGCTCGATCATGTGGCTTATTCTGGGCTTTCTTCTTTAGAGAGACGGGCAAAAGAATGGTTGTATCCCTACCCGGACTTCATCACTAAGCGGCCTCCTTACGACTCCATGAAGGAAGAATACGATGGAATGGAGCACCGTCTCGAGATCGATCTTCAGAATCGCCTAACTGATAGTCATCGAACGAAGTTCAAAAGTATATTAGCCAGAGGGTTTGAGAAGTGGAGCCAGGAAAAATCATTTAGCGCTGGCAACTACAGCGCTGTTGTTGTCAACGTAGGTCAACACAAACGAAACGACCCCGATATTGACTGGTATGATGCGGAAGACCTAGACGGTCACCTTCGTCGAGCTCGCAGCATACGTGACGCTAAGAAGAGGTTTCAGTATGTCCAGATAGCCCATTCAACCTACCCTTTAGCTAAGTCTTGGAAGCTTTCTTGGACCCTTGGAAGTCGAACACGCCCTTATGCTTTATTTGGCAACTCCAAGGAAAGAAAGGCACCATATGGCACGTTTCTACATACGTCATAGCAGTTATTCAAGCCATATACATGAAGATGTATGTCTGCTGATCCGCCCTATCTGTACTCCTGTGATTGACAAAAGCTACTTACTAGGTCCATCCTCTGGCAGACGCATGGATAACTGAACTTCACCTCAGCTTTTTCCAACTGGCCAACATGGAAGAGAAATCGCGTACCTATATACCAGAAGACCCCCGTAACGAGGAAAATCTTGAAGAAGAAGCAAGGAGTGATCATGTCTGTGACAGGCATCAACGAGCCTTCCCCCAGATATTCAAGGGCTCGAAACGCGCTTTTCTCAAAAAAGCGTCACTGAGTTATCGTTTCGTTGGAGATATGGGTGACAAATTCTGGACCGGCTATCTATTGACCCATCTTCCCGCAGATTCGGAGATTCTCCCGAAACCCGATGATTACTATGGCTTTAGAGATATACAAGAATGGTTTCATGAAGACAGGAAGATAGACCAGAGGAAGGTTCTTGAGCCCTTCCTCGTGGAGAAGATGGTGGCCGAGCTGTTTCAAAGCACCGATAAAATTCTCAAAACTATTGACGATTGGCTCAATCCAGAGATAGATGTCTCGGAAGACGGAAAGGCATTGACTCAGCCGAAAGTTTCCAAGGCCGATGACCGATTCGTGGATGTACAATATAATCGGTCCGCCATCTGTCTTGACCTTGACGCTACCCTTCGTATACTTCGTCGTCTATCCAAAGCAAACGTTGACTCTCTCAGCCAATGGGCCAAGCGGGAACAAACCCGAAGTTTTCAACCACGGTGGTCTGAGAAGGACGAATTCAAATTTCGAGAGCTGATCGACTTTCAGAAACGACGTGCCGAGCAACAAATCTCTCGGGTAAATGACCAATTCCGACGGATTCAGGATTCCATCGAGCAAGTCAGAACTCATCGGCAAGAGGTAATTCAGGGGCGAGCGAAGGCAGAGAACTAGTATAGCGCTGACACATTGCAGCTGATCAACAATATCAATCTTGCTGAATCGCGGACTGCAGCACATGAGTCGGAAAACATTCGAATATTTACCTACGCCACGGTGATCTTTTATCCGCTGAGCTTCGTCGCAGTATGTCCACTTCTGTTGTCCATTTGTAACGTTTAGGTGTATACTGACTGCTCAACTCTAGAGTCTTTTCAGCATGCAAGGCCCGCCGTGAGTACTCTCCCCGCTTGCAACTGTGCTAACCACTGATTGATCAAGCAACCACATCACGACTCCGCTCTTCCTTCAAGCTACTGCGATTGCATTGGTGATCACGCTACTGATGGTTTTCAATGCTGAAATTCTTGCATGGCCAATTCGAAGACTCAGGTACATCGTAAGCCGCAGTGCACGAGAAAGAATGGGGAGAACACCCAACACATTCCCAGTGACTTGGGAAAAGACTCTGGATCACATCAAAGATGCTGAAGAGCATGACATCTTACACGATCATGAAATGCCGAAATGGCCGAGGAGCAAATTCGTTTATCTTCTATTCTTGGTCGTCTACTTCTTCGTTGACTTTCCAGCATCTCGTATTGTGCTCGCATACGAATCAGTCACGAAATCTGAGGCCAGTTCTCCATATCATGCCACCCTAGCTATTGTGCGGATTTTCATTGCACTCATATTATCGCCAGTGTTCGTGGTCTCTTGGACTATCTTGGTAATCTGGAGCTTACTCTGCTGGACCCTGACCAAGGTCTGGACAGTGCCACTCAGACGATGGAACGAGGTCCAAGAACAGAGTAACAAAAAGCAGAATGATCACCTCAGGGAGAAATTCGAAGCTGACGCCAAAGCCGAAGCCGAGGCGGAAGCCAAGGCCAAAGAAAAGGCCAAAGAGCAGGACGGAGCGAAAGACGATGACCGGGAATCGACAGACCCTGTTCCGCGGGGAGAGAAAACAAATAAGAAGGAAAAGCCAAAGACGGTGGATGAGCGCATCGATGACACGCGCAAGAAAGAACGTAAGGAGAAGGATGATCGGATCCGGCAGCACGTCAAGCTGCTCATCAATCCTCCGGAGCTTTACGAGCGCATGGAGCACAACGCTTTAAGGTTGAGGAGAAAGAAAAAACGAGAGGGCGAAGACGACACCACGTCTTCTCGTACATCTCGCAAGGCGAGCGCGACGGACCTGCTCCCGAGTGATGAGAACGGCGCCGTATCCGCGACACAAAACCACAATCCAGTGCGCAGATCAGTGTGGCGCCTCATATTCGGCAGGCCTGAGAGAAAACAGGACGACGAAAGGTTGGTGGAAGGACGAGACAAGTAGACAATTTCCGTCATGGTGGTCTATTGCGTTTCGCAGGGTGAATTTTCGCAAGCCGTACCGCTTCCTGATCTGCTGGGATCCACGCAATGTCACGCTCTTGGCTAGCACAAGGACTAGGTCAGATGAACACCGTCGTATCGGCAAATTTTGCCTGATCCGACAGGAATGACAGGGCAAACTATCGACGGCTCTATCAGCGCAGGCTCAAGAACGGGTAACGGAGAGCCCTATCTAAATAGCACATTTACTATCCTACAAGCAGCACGCGGATATCACCCTTGGCCATGTATCTCCGGGCATTTGGGATCATATTAAATAGTCACGATCAACTCGATGCATGCTGCACGTGTGCCCTGCAATGAATTTGGCTAGAGAGGTTTGAAGCGAGCGGCGTCACGTTGGCTACCTACCGTGTGGGTTGCCATAAGCATGTCTTCGGCACGACAAGACCAGATTGCAATTTGACATTGTTGCTGGTAAGGCATGCATCCTGAGCTTTACGGCGACTGGATATCTGGGTGATCTGTCATCACCTCCTCTCAAGGAGGATTCATGTGAGAAGGGATGTGACAGGGGTCCGAGAACGAGCAGGACGGTGGGAACGATGAGGATTAGCCAATGGACTTCGATCGGTCTGTTAATACTACCTCCGCCATTGAGCCGGGCCTAGAATGATAAGTGAGGGTACAACAGAGGCTAGGAACACGATCAAAGATCACCGGGAGACTATCTATCCATCTAGAAATCCCAATCGTTCACTGACCGTGTGACAAGACAATCCGTCTAATCTCACACGGGAGAGAAGCGGCTCTACTTCGTCAACTTGCTGCTCTTGTCGCTGCCGAGATTGGCTTCTCGGCACAGGTTAGCGAAAGGTAGAGACGACGTGCGCGAGGGGTGTGATAGTAGGCTGTTGTCGGATCGGATGTGCTGTGGTGTGATGCATTGCGTGGCTCGGACTTCTCTGAAGTGCGAAAGCTGGTGTCCATAGAACGATGGAATTATTTTACTTTGTGCGTTGACGGTGCGAGTCTATGATTGGATTGAGATGCAGGTACGGAGTCTATCGGCATTACCTTGCGAGCACTATTTACAAGGGAAAAGCGGCGACGTGAAGATGTCTGTATATTGTCCGCGTCGCTCCCTCAGCCTTTGCCCCTTGTGTCTCTCAGCAGCCCCAATTTTTCCGATGTTAATTTCTTGCTTCTCTTCTTTGCCCTCGGATTCGTCCTTGCTCCAAGGGCGCTTCCTTGACACTTGGCCTCGCTTGCTCACCCACTACGTCACTTGCTCTTCTTCGCCGGCCTGCCACCCTCTTTTGAATCTCGGATTCGCAGGAAGGCTGTGACGATTGATTCCCCAGGCACCAGCCTCGACTTCTTGCCGGCCTGCCACTTAGACAAACCGACTCTTGCACGACGCGCACTCTCATTTCGACCGTTTGAATAGTCGATTTGCGCAGCCCCTGCTGGTACTTAGCCTAGGAATAGACTCACGCCCAATTATCGACGTCCGCGTTGTCTCGTAGCCGCCCTTCACGTGAATCGAACTCAAGGATCAGTGTTGTAGACGGTGATTTAGCAGTGACGGATCATGGTCGAGTCGCTTTCGTCAGATTTCTTCATCGCCTTCAAGGCCGCTGCGCGACGCGGTCTCGAAGCTGTAGCGTCGTTGGCTGGTCCTTTCTGTCTCACCGCCGGAATCGGAGACCCATTCTTCTTCCTCTTCGCAGAAGTTTGCTTCTTTACTGGCTTTGACGTAGCGACACGGGACTGTGAAGTATTGACCTTTTGCTCCTGAAGAGCTTGTTTTGTTTGATTGGTACTTGTGAAATTTACAGTTGCTTCTTTGGCAGCAGATCCTGTCCGAGGCTCGTCCCGCTCCTGACCATTTGGATCATGCTTTGCTTCGGCCGTCGACTTGCGCGTAGATCCAGAAAATTCCGTATGCCAGTGTATACGTGATGTCATGGACCGACTCCGTAGGGACGGCTTTACTTCGGAGCTTGGCTCCAAAATACTTGGACTAGACGGGTCAGAAGCAGCCTCAAGAGATACTGGTTGTCTCGTAGGCCAATTGATTCTCGTAAGCAGCGCTACAGGTGCCATAGAGTACCAGCGCGGTGGGCGTTCAGCTCGTTCTATCCTAGCGGCTTGGCGAGCATCGTCCTCGTGATGTCTCTTTTGAGGATCCAGTGTTTTCCGGGGCCGCTCATGCCTCCACGATGTACCTGGTATAAAGGTCCAGTCATCGTCCCAAATACCGTCTCTGATCCAGCGTAGTTTCACAGTTTCATATGCTCTCGTGTCAAGGTTGGTCTGCTGGTCTTGGTCTTGGTTGCTCAACCCCATGTTGATCCATTCCCGCTCCTGACAAAATTGATAAAGGAACTGATAGCATGGACGTGACGATTGCTGGTTTTGATAGTCAAAAGCGCGTCGTACCATTCCATGGTACTCCTCTTCAAGTTCGGAGCGCTTGCGTTTATGCCTTGTTTTCAACTTTGTGGCCCCACCTTCCTTCACAGAATCTGAAGGTCCCATTGGCGATGGATGATCTTGCAATTCATGCTTCCATATTTTGTAGGGCTGGCTGACCCATCGCTCGTCCCAAATGCCTTGCTGGATCCATCTATACTTCACGTTCGCTTCAGCGGCTTCCTCCAAATCAAAGAGATTGGGATGCTGAAGGAGACCCTTGTCTCTTGCGGCACGTATACGGCCCAACTCGTCTTTAATCTGAATTGCGAACTGCGCGTCCGCATCTGAATTTCGGAGCTCCCGGCTTTCCTTGTCTTGAAGGTGAGCAGTTGGACTCGGAGGCTCCGACTCTTCGTATTCTGTCGATGGCACGGAAGGCACACGGGGAGGCGATCGGCTGAAGCGCCTTCCGGAGAGGTCTTGGCCGGCTGCCGCAAAGTCTTCAAGTTCTTTGGCTATGTGCTCCAGTGGGAGAGCTTTCGAAGCTTCGTATGTAGGGTTGTAGGACATTGCTGTCAACCACAACCGAAGGAAGCGTCGGAGTACAAGGGCGACCCGCGAAGAGTGTTATGCATGAAATGTGTGGTGATTGACGGTCGTGCGTCACTCCAGCAATGATGTGAACTTTGATCGCTTGAGAAGTGGAAAATTGAGGTAGGCGTCGTTCAAGTGCCAATCTTAGAACATTTCCTGATCGAATAGTAGAGTAGAGGCACAGAAATATTTAAATTGAGGGACTTGATCTTGTGCTGTAGTGTGTGTAGCTATCTAAGTGGAACTCCAAATGGGATTATTCTCTAACAGTGTGGAGCTCCGTCTCCCGCACGCCTCGCCCAAAGGTTAAGAATATATTATCAGAGGGGTTATATCTCCTTTGCGGAGATCGGTTTCATATATGTCAGTTACCAAATCATTCTTTGTCGTCAAAAATAAATCGATGATAAATGCTACTAAGAAGAATAAGTCGCATTGATAGTAAAACACTTACTGTATCACGGAGAAACGGTATGCTAAGGGTCTCATTGCATTTGGGAAGACTCTCAATTTGTGTGAGTGTGAGTGTGAGTGTCAGAGTCTTCCGTTCCCGACCCGTGAATTCGAAATGTTCCCATCTCCAATCAAGTCACTTAGGTATGAGGTTTAGACCTGAAACAAGTGCACCCTCAGATGCATCTTGCGACACACCTGGCAAAAAGCGCTATCAGCCTCGAATCCTACCAAGGTACAAAATAACAAGTGACGACATACTTCCCGTGCGTCTCCATGTAAAGGCTCCAAACTGCTGCACCGATTCTTGGTGATACTTCATTCTTTGCGATCATCAATGGCTTTCATACCACTGTTCCCACAACTTGCTCGTCTTGGTAAGCCCTTGATAGATGATAGCACTAGCGTATCCTCTGGTGACCGGCTGCTCGAACCCACTTTTCCACCGGTCCGAGACTCTAGCTGAAGCGGGGGATTACATGGACAATAAAGGGTGATGCCCTACAATTATGATACCAAATATGGTGCTGGGAAACCGAATCGGATCGAAGGTCAAACCGCGTGATGCGCAATCGCGAATGGTCGTATACCAGGACTCCGAGAGTATCATCCGTCAGGATGCAACATTCTTCTCGTTGATAGCTTCTTCAATGCGCGTAGTGGGACCGGCGGTACCGACCTCGAGGTGGAAAACTTTCCAAAAGCCTGTCACAGGCATTTTCGGAAAGGCACAAGCCAAATCTTTCATACCGAATTGGATCGAGATTAGACCCAACAGCGATGTCTTTTGTGTTCTCTCACGCAGCCCCCAAGTCAGGCTACGAAGGGTGGCCACGCCCGGAGTATGATGCTGCTGTCACACCAAATGCAGCAACTTCTTCCACTTCCACAGCAATCCCCAGCCGCCGAACACTGACGAGAGGCCCGTGAAAATGATGAGGGGCCCGTAAGTCGTTCCATAACCAAAGCTTCCCACCGCGCTCGTGCTTCCGGCTTTGAGCAGTGGCACACCAGCAAGCCCACCACTCACATATCCAATCCCCCTCGCACCATTCAGCAGACCATACAGCATGCCAGTGTCGACAGCCTCATTTCTCTGCGCGGCTTCGCGTTCCAGTTCATTGATGACGCCTCCCCAAGTCGCGCTGTAGCCGCCAGCAAAGAAGCCGAAGGTGATGGAGAACAGTACCAAAAGCGCCATGCTGCCTTGCGACGTAAGGCCCCAAAGGAGGAAAGCGGATAGAGCGGAGCTGACGGCGGATATCGAAGTTACAGTCGTGGCCGAAAGGGGGAAGCGCGTGTTGTCGCTCAAATATCCGAAAAAGGACGAGGCGACGATGCCAGGGATGTTGAAAAGGGTGAGCAAAAGGGTGGCGGATGTCTGAGACAGCAAAGTGACTTCGTGGGCGTACGTGTTTAGGTATGTTTGCGGAATGCCATATCCAGAGCTTTGAAGTATGATGGCGACGCTGTAGATGTAGAAGGTCTGGTGTTTGAGGAACTGCCAAGGGATCTTTCGTGTCCGATGAGTGCTCGAAGATATGCTCGAAGGGTGAGTCGGTATCAAGAAGATTGCGAGAATGCTGGTTCCGGCCGCAACAGCCGCCCATATTCTCAACGTTATACGAAAGCCGTAGCGATCAAGAAGGACTCGCAACAGAAACGGACAAGCAGATCCCACGATATTTTTGCAGGACAGAACAACCCCATACGCCACAGCTCGATTGCTGGTATTAAACCATTCGCCAAGCGATAGTGTGGTCGGGCTGTAGATGAGAGCACATCCTAACGCGGCCATGACTCCTTGTGTCGCGACCAAATGCCAGACGTGAGTGCTGAAGGAGGACAGGAGGAAGCTGATGCACGTAAGCGCAGCGCCGCAGAGAGCTGCGGTCTGGCGTCTACGGGCCCATCGTCTGGTGAAGAGCGCGAACAGGAAAGGCATGGAGAGGTACATGACGCCGTTGGAGGTTGTGCCGATGATACCGGTGACTTGATGACTCCCTTGCAGCGTCCAGTTGCTGGAATAGTATTCTTGAAAGACGCCGTAATTCATGGCGAAGCCTGCGTGTGTGAGTTGGATTGCAATCAGGACGTAGGACTCAGCCTACCCCAGATCGGCAGCTGCAATATCGCGGAGCCCGCGAGAACGCAAGCCCTCTTCCTGTTGGATTCCCATAACCTTGAGTCAGCTTGATCGAGGTTGGATGCGTCTTGTTCGGTACGATGGGGCTCTTGCTCGCCGACGCCGGAGGGTAGTGACTCGCGGAGAGAGATGCGCTCATTTGGTGTCATTGCGAATCAGCTGGAGTTTGGATTATTGTACAGAGTAGGATATCGGCGGGCCAGTGTGCGATGTCTCGCTTTAAGAGCAATGACGATTTAGAAGCGACATGCGCCTAATAAGCTTTGTGAGGAGAGTAAAGTAAAGGATATCGACGATCTTTACTGTTCTTGGCAGGTCGTCGCGTGGATATGCTGCGTGACGGCATAATCTTACTCTGCGTCGTAAAAATAGACACAACAGCACAAATTTTAATGTTTTAATGTTTTGTTTTATTATTTAAATAACGAGTAAAGGCCTATAAATTAAATTTATAATTATTTCTTTTAATTAGAGCTGTCGAGTAAATTTAATAAGCGATCTTTAATAAGCGATATTTAAACTCTTTATCTTAAAACATTTATAAGACTAAATCTCATATTTCCTTTATTATCTGAAAGCCCATGTTTTATTCTATAATTTAGAGAAAAAAATTCAATTCTTTTAATAGAAAACTAAAATGTTATTCTAAAATTAAATAATGTGTATCTGTTTTTTGATCAGGGCTGTCGAGCGAACTTTGGAGAGCGATATTTGAATTCTTTGCCTTAAAACATTTATAAGACTAAGTTTAATAATTTTTTTATTTAAAAGTTCATATCACGTTCTATAATTTAAAAGAAAAATCTCAAAATTTTAATAGAAAACAAAAAAGTTATTCTAAAATCAAATAATGTGTACCTGTTTTTTGATCAGGGCTGTCCGGCTGTCGAGCGAACTTTGGTGAGCGATATTTGAATTCCTTGCGCTTTAATAATTATAAGATCAAATTTTGAAATTTTTTCATTTTTGAGAAGCGCAAGTTACGGGCTATAATTTAAAAAAAAATCTCAAAATTTTAATAGAAAATAGTAAAGTTATTAGGGGGTTAAAAGTAGAGGAAAAGATTTTTGATGGTTGCGGACGCTAATTTGTTTACCCGCGGTGTCTAACCAAAAAGCGTAGACCTGACGAATTTATGATTGGCTGCACATACAAATTCAAGGTTTTCTAGTTCAGCCCTACCTTATTCTTTTTATATATACTAATAAATGTTGAGAATTATTTTGGATGCTTAGACTTACAAAGCTCGAGATATCAAAATTAGAACTTATAGTTAATTTGAAACAGTAAGAGTGAAAGAGAAACAAAAGTGCATAGATTCATTCCGCAATCTCTGCTTCTATAATCGACCGGTGGAGTCTCTCTCTTGTAGGCCGAACGAATCTTTTTCTCTCTTTTTTGTTCAATCCAAAAGAACTACGACCCTGCATGGCAGCCACGATGACGAGGTGAGGAGAGTATGAGACTAACGACCCTCCTGTATCCGGTGATCTCATACTCAAGTGCTTTTCTGGGTGCTTTCTTTTCTTTGCGGACTAGCGTAGCACCACGAGATCCCACTTTCCACGACCATCTTTATATTTACAATGGATCGCCCATCGTCGTTACATGTACAGCGTGGACGCAGTCCTAAGGTCACCATCCCTGCTGAGTCGCAGGACCACCAGGACCATTTGCTAACAATTATTACGAATGTAGGTGGAAAAACTTGATACGCAAGTGAAAACACCAGCGAAAACACCAGCATCGCAAGTACGCAGTATGCAGTGAAAGTCATTGGTGGGTGTGTGTAAGATTGATTATCCTTTACCTGAGTACTGAGGCACAAGGCTGAAGGCGGAAGTAGGTGCATTATGAACGAAGGTGCTCGAGGGTCAAGCGCTTCCGCCACCGTCCCATTGTGCCATCCTTGGCTCGGGACGAATGTAATCCCACACCTGAGCTCCTAACGCTTGATGGCCTTAAAGTCCTCTTCCCACATTGGCAAATCCTACCGCTTGGAGCTACGTAGGTTCGCATCAAACCACACTTGCCTTATACTCATCTGCTTTGCCTTGGTAGACCCCACGGTTAACTTTGCAAATTGGAGAAGCAGAACATAAGAAGAAAGACGGGCAGCAGAAGCGATGTTGGCCGTAGCAATAGTGGGAAAGTGGTGCTTGCGAGGTTATGGCAGCTGAAGAAGCGGACAACCGGCTTGTGTAGTTGTAATAGGAGAAGGAAGTAGTACCCCTGAAGACGTCGCAGCTAAAGGTGGACCAGCTTGCGCAATGGGCACAACAGGTAGTGGTGCTCGGATTTCAGCTGCCAGAGTATGGTGCTGGCGAAGTCGACGCTAGAGAAGGACCAGACATGGTGACAACAGCTGACGTGGTTGCTTGTGAGGGCGGAGCAGCGCTAGCAACCGCAGCTGGCACAAGCTATGGAGGTGGTAATAGGTTGGCTAGTCATTGATCCACCTGTTTCTCCCCCTTGTGGCTGACTGTTGATTCTCCTCCCTCGAGGAGCTTGGAATAGGTATTGCTCTTAATCACTACCACGCAGACAGATCTTCACGGAATTGATCCTGAATTCAATCCAGGAGCCCTGGAGAGTGACTGGTTAAGTGAGCGGGTGCTTGTTAAGGAGAGAAATGCTGGCGGCAATGTGCTCTCAAATAACGGATAGTCAAGGGTGTCGACGAGGTGAGGGAAAGCTGTCAAGGAGAGCATTGTAGAAGTCACTAATGATCACGTTCGACGGTAGATATATAGAAGTGAGATTGCTCATTCCTTCAATTCTTTCGGCAGGTCAGCAACTTCGAGGTGACCCTTGAAATACTTGTAAAGGTAATTCTCCTAGCATATATCATCGGCTAGATCAATCGATGTCAGAGGGACAGTTCCACTGGCTTGTATAACCGGGCTCGGCCCTGCATTTTACACTCGATGACGGCTTTAGACAGTATCAAAGAGACTCTTTTGCTAGGCTGTATCGGCGGTACATTTCTCTCTCAAACGCCTGACTGAACCCGATGCATTGGGCATCTCCGGGTGGAAGGCATTGGGGAGCACATAAGCCACACAGACCAGCTGCCCGGTCAATCCACTGCGGACAACATCAGTCGCCATAAGCTTAACGAAGACTAGCAGCTTCTTGTCGAGATGATGGATCTGGCGGACTTACCCAGTTCACGTTCAGCATCCCTATGCAGGTAATTGCACCTGCCTGTCTTCGGTCCTTGATATCTTCGCAGTTCATCAACCCCGCAAAGGCCCGATTCTTCTGCGCTGTCGATGGGAGAGCTCCGTATACTCTATTGACCGCTGGGACTTGCAGCTTTTCCATCAAGGCCTTGCGGCTATCATCATCCAACTGCGGCTCAAACATGTGGTCCACGGTTTCCTGTTTCAGCAGCTTCCCATCGTTCGCTAGCAGGCTTCGCATGATTTTCATGTAATCCGCTGGCGATGCGAAAGCCCCGCCGCCGCCCATTCATCCTTCGCTCCTCCTTTTAGGAGCTCATGCTCCGTGAATATCATCCTTCCATCCTCGGTCGTATCCCGGATGCTCAGATCAGCCATCCTTCTCTGCATGTCATCCCTAACGTCGATGTGAAAGGTCACATCCGTTATACCCAGAGGCGTCCAAATATTGCGTTCCATGTACTGTGTCAAAGTCTGATTATTGTTGACGTGCTCTACCAACTCGCCGGCCCAATCCAGAGCTGACGAATACTCCCAAGAGGTTCCTGGTTCATAGACAAGTGGGTATAGGAACCTTTCCACAATCGTCTTTCCACCAGCAATCGTTTCACCCTTCATGTTACGCCATCGCTGCAGTAAGGGATGGAATCCGTCGTAGGACAAGCCTGAAGTATGCGTGGGTAAATGCCTTTAGTCTGCGTTAATAATGTCCAACCCAGCGATAGACAAGTGACTAACTGCACAGTTATACAACCAGCTTTCTGCTTCAAGATTGGCTCTGAAAACTCGTCGAAACCGGTCAAGATCTTAACATCCTTCAATCCATGGAGAATTAAAGTCACATCTGTGTCTAGAGAGATTTTTCTCTCCTCGACACATTGCAGGACTGCAATCGTTGTCATGAATTTGGTGAAAGATGCAATCTACATCGGTGTCTCTTGCGTCAGTGGCTATTGAGAGCGTTGAAGACTACGCACACGGAAGGACCTTGAGTATTGGAGTTTGTTTTCCTGCAATTAGTATATCAGCTGCTGAGATTGAAAAGATCTCGTGGGAGAAATGTAGGCTTCGAGGTTCTACCTGTCTTAGCTGATGCCAGGAGGACCACTCCCGATATTTGCCTACGTGCGCACGCAGCTTCAATGCTTTCTTCCATTGTGTATTGGTATCAACAGGAGCTGGAGCTACACAAGTGAAGAAATAAATCCTGAGCCGGGGAAGTCAGTAAGGCAACCATCTTGTCTTGGGCACCGCCAGGAGCATCTCAGTTGCGGTGCAACCACCAAGCGATCGAAGACGAACAATACCTACCGCACCTAGACACTCAAGTCGACTAAGCTCCCTATCGCTCAAGTGAGTTTAAACTCTATGATATGCTGAGTCCCCTGGGTACTTGCACGAGACACCAGGGGACTTTGTGGCTGGCAAAAGAGCAGCTCTAGCAATAGCGCACGTTGTCGCACTTATCATAGATCAAAGACAGGCCCACCCCCATGCGGCTGAGAAGCAATGTAGTACCCCTGTTCAATGCACGTGGTCCATGCTTCCACACACCCTCAGCAATTCATCGACTATTGAACCCATGCTATGGTGCGTGTGCCTAACAACATCTTTTCCTTATCCTTCCGATTGACAAGCGCACAGAGGTTCAGTTTCGATCCTCAACCTAGACTCCAGCATGGAACAACTGACTCTGCACACACTAGAGCGCCAATTGTCATGACGGAGATGGAAAAGATGTTCTTCTAGATCCTCACTGGCCTAGGTCTTTCGCACGTTCGCAGGAAATGAAGAATTACCATGGTCGGCATTGCACCAAGTATCTTCTCTGCTAAATTAGCATCGTAGGCTTCTCGGGCTTCTTGTCCATATTTAGCATATGTATCTGGAAACCTTTCGTTATAAGGGATAAGATTGTGGTAAGCGGTTTCAATGTTGGGGTCACGCGCTCGTCGAAGGCCAAATGCATCTTTTCTGTTAGAGATCACCAACGAGATCGCCGTGTTTGGTAGGACGCCAGATGCAATCGCATCGATTATAGCCTGAAGATTGGAGCCATCGCCTGAGATCAGCACCACCAGACGGGTTGCATATTCAAATAGTCTTGACTTGAGGCCTTTTGATGAACACAGACTAAAAAGTAAGTGAGCACTTCAGTATGCTTCGGAAGTATAGAAGAATGCACTTGTGATCTTGAAAGGCGAGATGCTACAGTCGATGTAAAAACCCTTGACGGATGCACCCGAGGGAGAAACCCCCCGAGAAAAGAAATCGAAAAACATTACTTTTATAGAACTCTATCAATACAACTGGAAGTTCTCGTCGTTGGGTTGATAATTTTGACGGTCTGGGTCTAGGAAAAGTACCTGGGTCCGTGTACGTGATTTGCGCGTATATGTCAAAGAAAACTTACTATTCAGGACATCGGCGGTTGGAGCAGGCGTCTCAATATTCGTGAAGATGCCAAGATTGGCGTAGATTTTGGGAAGCACGGCGTATGCAGCCTTAGAACGAGGCAGAGGAGTATTCGTTAGAAGAAGTGTTTTCGAAGATCGATTTCGAGTGTCACCCCGCTCTTTCGCTAAAGCGGCAGGGCTGAAGGTGAGCGAGGGGGCAGATTTCCATTGTCTTGAGATGCCAAGAACCTGTATATGAGAAGGCCTCCCTTACCTGTAGATATCTTCTTGTAAATCTTAGCAAATAAACCAGACCTCTTCGTCCGGATCAACAATTCATTTTGCACCTTTTCCCCCCCTTCCGTCATGAATCGTAGCTTGCGCTTTCGTATCTACATCTCTGCCAAGAGCCCAGACGCGTCGACATGCTGCAACAGTCTTTTCCGACCCAGCTCACCCACGTCGCATCAATGCGACGCTGGCTTTAGATTCATTCCCAGCATTGACATGTAGCTCGAACACAGTCTTTACAACTACAACGACATGTCCTACCCAATGACCCAGCTAGGCGGCAGCGGTTTGTCATCACCGTCCTCCCCCCTGACTCAAAGTAACATCCAGCTCACTCACTGTCCCATACATAGCATTCAACCACCAACCCCCATCCAGCTCCACCGAAGCAGAATACGACCGCCTGCGCGACCTCGCCCGCCAAGAAGCTGGCAAGCGCTCTTCATGTCTCGCCAAGGTCTGTCCATCCATCCTCCCTTCCATGCTTCCCCCTCTTTCGTCCCAAAACGCCTCATCCAAAACCCAACATACCTACTCTCCTCCCTCCCTGATGATACACACCAAAGACTCACTCACTCACTCACTCACCAACTGACACCACTCGCAGTCCCACCAAGCCTTCGAGCGCCACGATGGCGGTGCCGCGCACGCGCTCTCGGAAGAGGGCAAGCGACACGGCGCCATGATGGACCAGTACAACAAGCAGGCGTCGGATTATATCTTCCGCGAGAACAACGCCGTGGGCAGGGTGGACGGGGATACGATTGACTTGCACGGGCAGTTCGTCGAGGAGGCGGAGCAGATACTCGAGCAGCGGATTCGGTATGCGCGGAGCACGGGGCAGAATCATTTGCATGTGTAAGTGGGTTTTTGGACAATGCGGCCGGCTCCACGGTTGAATTGATGAGTTGGTTGGTTGATCGATTGGGCAATATCAAATATGATAATTCGATTGGAAGAATATGGGTACTGCTGCTGCTCCGACTGACCATGTGTGTCGCGTGAGGATATAGCATCGTGGGCAAGGGCAACCACTCCCCAGGCCACATCCAGAAGATCAAACCGAAAGTCGAGGAGATATGCCAAGAGCTCGGGCTGCAGTACGCGACGGAGGAGAATGCGGGTAGGATTTACGTCAATCTGCAGGGAGGACCCGCGGTCATGCCGGAGCATTTGAAGGCGCATCATGGCGGCGGGTATCATCAGGGGTATGGGGGGCCGGGGTATGGACAGCAGCAGCAGCAGCAGCAGGGTTATCAGGGGGGGAACACGTATCCGCAGATGAACTATCAGCAGGGTGGTGGGGGCCAGCAGTATCAGGGTGGAGGAGGGGGAGGTGGTGGTGGACAGCAGCAGCAGGATCCGAATGCGGCGATCGAGGCTGAGGTGAAGAAGTATTTGCCGCAGGTGCTGAGGATGTGTCAGAAGCAGTGTTGTACTGTCATGTAGGTGGAAGGAGGTGAAGATTTGGGGGAGGGGGGTGAAGAAGGTTGGATGTAAGAGGTTTGTTTGATACCCCGGACTGGATATCTTCGCTTCTACAATCTGCTTCTCCATCTGCACGGAATCACGTCGACCAGGTTATAATCTCCTGTCCGGTAAATTAGGTGTTCCCTCCACGTCGTGCTTCCTCTCCTCCACCACCTACCCCTTCCACCACCATCTCATCTCCAGCGGGAAAAAAACCGTCCCGCGTTTTCATGCTCCAGATCCCTCCCTCCCTTCCTTCTCTCACCTCCCTCCCAGCACTCCGACGCCAGCATCTTCCCACCCCCAGCCCAGCCCAGCCCATATGCCGCATCACCGATCCACCTCGCATGCTAACCATCCTTTCCGCACCACCGAACCTTCCACCCCAAGTCACGCATCTGTTCGCTTCCCATTCATTCCCTTTCATTCCCCATTCCCCATTCCCCATTCCAGACCCCGCTCCCTCTTCCTCTTCCTGTTAAATCACACGGCTTCCGATCACGGAATCCGGATCTGATTCCTTCCTCTGAGCGATTTCTTGTCGGTAAGGTGGGGGTGGGGGGGATATGGGTTGCATACGAGCGGGATCATCCGTACATGTATAACAGCGGGCAGGAGGCGAGATCGACCGGTGCGGTGGATGTGGGATCTTGGTTTGGGGTTTACGGGTTGGGCTAGGGTTGGGGAAGGGGAAGGGGAGGGGAAGGGGAGGGGAAGGGGAAGGGGAAGGGAAGGGGGGAGGGGAAGGGAAGGGGAAGGGGAAGGGGAAGGGGAAGGGGAAGGGGAAGGGGAAGGGGAAGGGGAAGGGGAAGGGGAGGAGGAAGGGGAAGGGGAAGGGGAGGGAAGGGAAGAGTGAGTGAGTGAGTGAGTGAGTGAGTGAGTGAGTGAGTGAGTGAGTGAGTGAGATTTTTTTTTTTTTTTTTTTTTTTTTTTTTTTTTTTTTTTTTTTTTTTTTTTTTTTTTTTTTTTTTTTTTTTTTTTTTTTTTTTTTTTTTTTTTTTTTTTTTTTTTTTTTTTTTTTTTTTTTTTTTTTTTTTTTTTTTTTTTTTTTTTTTTTTTTTTTTTTTTTTTTTTTTTTTTTTTT